AAAATTAAAATTTTTTAAATAGTATACAATGAAATTTTCACCATCCTACTATGGCATATTTAATATACTATACTAAACACTTAAATCATACTATACTATGATATTTTTTAACATACTATACTAGGACTTCTTTTTTCAAACTAAAATTGGATTTTTTTCTGTCATTCTCTTTTTTGATACATGACATGACATTTTACATTGTCTATGACATTGTAAAATACTTAACTATTTTTTTCAAACTGAAATTTAAAGTTTTTATCATACTGTACTAAGACATTTTTAACATAGTATACTATTACCTTAAATGAATTTTTTTTTCATACTTAACCGTGGCATTTTATAACATACTCTGCCTTTTTTCAAACTAAATTTTAAAATTATAAATCATACCATACAAACCCTTTTTTTCAAACTGAAATTTAAAAAAAATTATCATACTAAACTATGTAATTTTTTAGCATACTTTACATTGCATTTTTTTAAACAAAATTTGAATTTTTTAATCTTACTATACTATGACATTTTAGATATACTATACAATGACTTTCCTCAAACCAAAAAATGGATTTTTTTTTAATCATACTAAACCAGCCTTTTTTTAACATACTCAACTATGACACTATTTACCATACTATAGCAGGACATTCTTTTTAAACAAAAAATTGATTTTTTTTTTTTTAATCATACTAGAGTATGACATTTGCTAAACATACAATTCTATGACCTGTTTTTTAAACAAAAATCAGAAATTTTAATTCATACCGACGTTTTTCAACATACTATTCTATAACATTTTTTTCTAACAAAAATTTGACATTTGTAATAATATTATACTAAGACATTTTGCAAACATACTATACTATGACATTTCTTTCAAACTAAAAAAAATAGAATCTTTTATCATACTATATTGTGACATTTTTAACATACTATACTGTGATATTTTTTCAAACATGAATTTGAATTTTTTATCATACTAAACTATGACCTTCTTAACATACAATACTACTATACTATACTAAACTTGAATTTTTTTTATCATACCATACTAGGACATTTTTTAACATTCTATACTACGAAATTTTTATCATACAATACTGATATAATTACATACCATAAGATGATATTTTATCATGCATAACTTAGACCTTTTTCATACTATATGATAATATTTTTATCTTGCCAACAGACACAACAGACAGTGTAAGGATAGGGGGGAATTGAACTGCCAACCTTTTGGTTTTTTAACAAATACTTTACCTTCAGAGCTGCACCATACTGTTCCATGACATTTTTCATACTAAACTGTGATTTTTTTTAACAGATTATACTATATTGTTTTCTTCTATAGCTATATTTTAACATACTATAATATAATAATTATAATAATATAATACTGCCAGCTGATTATATGACATTTTTTAACCTACTGTACAATGACATTAGAAAAAAATGTCATAGTGTAGTATGTTAAAAAAAGTCAGAATATAGTATGTTAAAAATTTCATAGTTTATTATGATAAAAAGTTTAAAATATATTTTTTTTAAAAATGTCATAGTCTAGTATGTCAAAATAATATCATAATATAGTATGTTTAAAAAATGCCATAGTTTAGTAAGATAATGATTTAAATTTTTTTTTTGAAAAACATGTCATAGTATCGAAAAATATCAGTATTTAGGATTAGAATTTTTTTAAGAAAATCTCAAAGTATTGGATGAAAAAAAATCTAATTTTATTTAAAGAAAAAACAGTATAGTATGCTTAAAAATGTCATATAATATGTCATAGTTTTGTATGATAATATATTTTTTTGGGACAAAAAATGTTAGTATAGTTGGTTAAAAATGTCATAGTTTAGCATGATTTAAAATTACAACTTTTTGTTTGAAAAAAAATATCATTGAGTAGTATCTTAGAACCTGTCATAGTATAGTATGTTAAAAAATGTCACGTATAGAGTGATGAAAATTTTCAATTAAAAAAAAAAATGTCATAGTCTAGTATGTCAAAATAATATCATAATATAGTATGTTTAAAAAATGCCATAGTTTAGTAAGATAATGATTTAAATTTTTTTTTTGAAAAACATGTCATAGTATCGAAAAATATCAGTATTTAGGATTAGAATTTTTTTAAGAAAATCTCAAAGTATTGGATGAAAAAAAATCTAATTTTATTTAAAGAAAAAACAGTATAGTATGCTTAAAAATGTCATATAATATGTCATAGTTTTGTATGATAATATATTTTTTTGGGACAAAAAATGTTAGTATAGTTGGTTAAAAATGTCATAGTTTAGCATGATTTAAAATTACAACTTTTTGTTTGAAAAAAAATATCATTGAGTAGTATCTTAGAACCTGTCATAGTATAGTATGTTAAAAAATGTCACGTATAGAGTGATGAAAATTTTCAATTAAAAAAAAAATGTCATAGTCTAGTATGTTAAAATAATGTCATAGTATAGTATGTTTAAAAAATGTTATAGTATAGTATGATAAATAATTACACAGAATTTAAAAAAAAAGATGTCATAGTATAGTATGTTAAAAAATGTCACGTATAGAGTGATGAAAATTTTCAATTAAAAAAAAAAATGTCATAGTCTAGTATGTCAAAATAATGTCATAGTATAGTATGTTTAAAAAATGTTATAGTATAGTATAATAAATAATTACACAGAATTTTTAAAAAAAAGATGTCATAGTATGGTATGTTAAAAAATGTCAAAGTTTCGTATGGTACTTTAATATTTCGAATATTTTTTATCATCATGTACTTTGACATTTTTTAAGCTATAATATCATCTTTACTATTACATTTTTTTCTTACTATACCATGACATGTTTTCATACTAAAATTTGAAATTTTTATCATACTATACTATGACCTTTTTTAACACTAAAATTTGAAACTTTTATCACGATACACTATGATTTTTTCACACTTTTCTCCATGAGCATTGCACCGGGTATGGTATGCAGTCCAAAATGGTGGCATTGCGCTGAAGAGGTGATTTACAGAGGTAGCTGCACAACAATGCTCGGGCGTGTTGGTGCCCTGTGAGGCACTAGTTGTTCCTCAAAGTGAACACAAAAAATTAAAATATGAATCATCTATTTTGAAGTTTATTTATTACTTTTTTCTAAAACTCTTTCCAGATTTTTAATGCCTGTATTGAAGTAGTAGTTTTACAGTCTAGCTCTTCATTCTCACAGTTAACTTTGTTTATAATTATGGCTCATAAATAAACAAAGTAAAAGTGTCCCTTTTAATGATTTGCTGACATCTCAGTGGAAAAAGGTGCTTTTCATTGATTTTTCAGTTGCGTGAATGAACCATGAAGCAAATCGTCGCTTGTTGAACATTCTCTCTGACTTGGTGTGAGGTTGTAGTACATTTTTACTGATTTCATAGCCTTTTCATCATCCAGTTGGATCAAGTAATGACTGAGGGCGAGGTGGTGGGAGGAATCCATCAGAGAAAGCCAGACCTGTCAAAAAAATAAAGTGCTCTGAAGATTGGTTTAGACTGAAATGCTTTTGTGATTTCGTTTAGTTTTTGCTCATAAAAAATGTCAAATAAATTTAAGCTTGGAAGCGTTTTTACAGAGCAGACGATGTCCTCAGCACATCTAGTGGATGAACTTTACTGTGGACAAAAATAAACATAACATTGATTTAAAAACAGACAAATTTTTCGAAAGCTGTTACTTTTGCTGGTCAGACTAAAGACACACAGTCTGCTAGAAGCTTTGGGCCAAATTAAGTTTAATGTGTTGGACAGTTCTTTAGTTTTATGGAAATCATTACAAAAAATTAGCCCACTGAAAGATGCTTTGGCACTTTTAAAAATGGAGGTTAATGGTGAATGCAAAAACAAAGTTATGAATCAATTTAACATTTATACTTGCTTACCTTCCTTTGCTTGTTTCAGTAACTTGCTATCTACCAGAAGTAGCTTGTGCTTCAAAATAAAAGCATAGACTGTATAAAACATGGACGTTGTTTCTGTGACTAATTTTATTCTGAAGTGCACTTTCGAAGCCTTTCTGTTGCAGTCACTGTAATTGAAAATCTGACTCAACCCAACATTTGGTTGACCAATCAATGGTAACCTTTTGCCTCCATGTAAACAGCTGCAGTGTGCCCACCTGTAAGTCAAGTCAGCTTTACCTCTGACTGGCCAATCTAATAATTGTCCTACCTTTGACATGTATGTGTTATGATACGTTTTACTTCTTGTTGAAGTTGTGTTGTGAAAGCCCTGAGCTATTCGGACCAAAACCGTTTCATGGAGCAGACAGTGGTCTCAGCAACCGTGAACCGTGAGTCTAACATGTTTATTTTCGCTTTAAAAATTGGCTTTTATGTGAGTGCTTGGGGAACTACAAATGCAAGCACTGCATTTCTAAAGACTGAAGGTTGCAACTCATTTAAAATACAGAGTATAGAGCAACCTAAGGCTGAGAAAAGAGGATATGAAAATCTCAAGATAAAAGCATGGCAAATAATTGTTTTTCATCAGGAATAATTTTGGGGGTAATGATCTGATATCATGACAGTCCCACTGCTGAGGCTTTGTGTTCTGTATAGACTGAGATATCCAGCTCTGATTTGATTGATTCAGCCTGAGTTGGATTGACTCTCAATCATGCAGATTACACCCAGTGTTTCCATCTGCATATTACTTTTTCTGCTTTCTCTGTTTGATGAAAACATTTCTCTTACAAATGAAACCCACTTGAAGTCATCAGTAAAGTGTACTGTGTAACTTTTTCCTGGCTTTTTCTTGTTCTTATGTGTATCGTACATCCATCAAGTGTATTAACTTACAATGTATTTAGCAGGGGGCTGTCATCAGTCCTTGTTCAAACTGCAGCTAGAGAGACTCTGAAAGAACAAATGACAGATTTGTTTGGGTGAGAGGATGGAGACAAAAGCACGTAATGTTTTATAATATTCAAATTTCCACGCGTTAATAACGAGGCTTAGAGGAGATTAAAACACCTGCGACGACACATGATATTCACGAGGTGTAATGCTCTGATGACCAATCCTAATCACATCAGGACAAAAATCGTGAACTGCAGCCGCCCTTTAATCTCAAAGTCTATTAGAGCGGAAAAGCCGGTTATTAATAATGCCCCAATATGACACTCTCTGAGCTGTAACACTATCTCTTTCTCCCTCCGCTATCTGATTCATATGTAAGTAGGTCAGCAGTGCTGGGCCTTGCTATGAATGGGCTCTGTTAGCCACAGATCCACAGGCTCAAAGCAATTACACATTAACCCGGGGCTCTGTCCCAATTTTCCCCCTTTTAACGTGTGCTGCTTGACCCTTTAGATCGTCCCTAACAAGCCCCGACCACACATTAACAGCACTTTCCAGCGTTTAATGATTCGACTTTCCTGTACTGTCTGACTTTAAGATACTCGGGCATGCATGGCATCAATTTTGGAGTTAATAAGCGGTCATAGGATGCAGGGAGCAAGAGTGGTTGTCAATTAAAAGTAAGTAACAGCAGCTGGGTGAAGTTTACAAGCACAACAACACCATCCAGAAGGACATTTACTGCATGTTTGTGTCTTTACTGTTGTCCTCTCATTCAGCCTCTAAAATGGCCAGACAGTGACAGATCAATAAATCCATGGCAGCCACAGTTACCCCAAAACATTCACCCTACTTTTCCAGTTTGACGCCTAAGCTTTAACTCTATTTTTACCCAAATGCTCTTCTTGTATTTTTCCTCCATTATTTCTCTAAAAAGCCTCAAAAGAAAAACAGGCTGTTAAGTTTACTGCTGACTGCAGAGAAAGTATAAAATCTCTCAATTTGCTGCTCAGTGTTTGCTTTCCTACAGCCTCCAAGAGCAAAAGTGAGCTGCCCTTTGGCTGCAACACCATCACAGTAACATACACCGAGCAGCTCAACAGCAATTTTTATTTATTGAATTTCTTTTAGACAATTGTTTGTTGAAAATATTCAAAAATGAAAGATTTATGAACTGGAGGCCAATGTCAAAGTTGGGGTAGGCAGGAATCCATTAAAGAAGCATCTTTTTTTGTGGTGTATATACAAAAAAGCTTTTAATATCAGTCAATAGCTATTAGTTATTGATAATATTTGGGAATATAACAATATCACTGTGTTCTCTCATGTCTGTGTAGTCAACATTTTAAATTTTCAGAGCACTTCACTCCACTCTTTCTGACTGTAAACAAAGCCATTCCCCGCCTCCCCCATCCTGATTGGTTGTGAGGCAGACGCTGCTCCCCAGAGTCGTTCAGGAGCCCAAACAAAGTTAGCGTGCTGCAATATTGGACAGTAAAAACCAACCAGAAAGTACAGAAAATTGTCTGAATCCTCCTTTGGCCATGAGTGCCGACACAAGCAAGAAAACAAAGTAAATACCGGAGACTCCTGTGGAAGAACGGGCGCTGGAAAAGGAGGTAGACTGGACAAGAGCTAAAAAGCCGGGTCAACAAAGATGGAGGATGCTTGGGATCTTGGTGACCCTGTAACCTTTCTCCTGGACAGGTAAACCAAAGTAAGCCAAGTGTCTGTAACAGAAGTGTTTCTTGTCAAATGGGACCTGCTGCGTGTTGTAGCGCCACTAAACTGTTGACCTCAGGTCCCGGACTATGTCACTTTATCCTAGTTGTAGAAGTCCTGCAAACTTTGTGTTTGCTGGTAGTCTGTTGTCATCTACAGTAGCACCAATGCTTGTTACTTTCACGTTTACTGGGCCCCATTTGTAATTATCTGAAGTATTTATCTGCATTATATCTGAATTTAACTGGAACGATATGAGCGAGCAGAAGTGTCTGTTTTTGGGCGGGGCTTGCTGGAGCAGAGAGGGAGGGGAGAGGAGGAGCTGAGGGGAAAACTGGTTGGGAGGGGTAGAGTTTACATTCAAGATTTCTCCCAAAAACGGGCACCTCCTCAGATCCTGCCTACCCCACCTTTAATTGAAGCCCTTTAACGCCTGACACCACAAATTATGGCCAAAAAAATTCAAATTTTTTGGAGTTGTTTCACTTACCACTGAAAACCAGAAAAATCAAAATGTCCTTAAAATTTAACAAATATATTTATTATCCCGTTTGATACATTAGATATTTTTGGAAACTGATAAGCTACAAGAGGGCATGTTGATCATATTGGTTTGATATTGGTTTATAACATAAGGGCCACAATTTGTCAGACGAACTAGCACCTTTGCTTTTGAGAACATTTTCCATGTTTTTACACAAGCAGCGTTTAAAAAACTAAAATATTAATACATATTATAACTGACTGAAGCCTGCTCCCTCTCTGCAGCTCTGTGCCTGCTGATTGATTCGCTCCATTATTACTTTCCTGGAGTACTGCTGCTCTTTGAATATAATTGCATGTCCCAAAGCAGTTTAGTTCCACATGCTAAAGCCCAAATCACATCCAGGAGCTGCTCATCTTAAAAGTCTTACAGGCTTATTAGACCTGGATGCTGTTCTTGTCTTTCGACGTGTCACCTGTTGCTGTGATTGGTTGGCTGCTTCCTTCCTCACTCTACTTCCTCAGCCTATCTTGATGTCCCACTTATCACCCCTGCTTTGAAAGTAGTTCTGCACTTAGATGAGGAAATAGCTTTTTTTCTATTTCTCGCTTCGGTTTCTTCTTGACTCACCAGGATGCTGCCTCAGTAGAATCCACACACTCTGATCTGATCGTCCCAAATCCATCCTGTAAAGACTGCATTAAATATTGATCATGGTATCATGCAGAACAACTTTTCCTTTTTTTTTTTTTTGTTTTTGCTGTGCAAGGCTAACTGTGCACGGTGCAAGAATCCCTGCTAATGAGACGCTCAGAGTGTTGCAAGTCTTCTTCCCAGGCATCAGTTTGATCAAAGCTCAAATATAAAAGATTATTGAATAAGTGGTGCATGGGAGAAAAAACTACTCTAATGATAACGAAGGAGAGTCCTCATTAAATATGTACACCGAGGGGGAGTTAGTGTACATATTTCTTTACACTTCTTGCATTGCTGGAATGATGAAATGGCGTACATTAGCATCTCCGGCATCTTGACTCTGATCATGAGGTGAAAATCTACACAGAGGCATCACAGGGGTTGCTTGGTTGGACCCCCTCGCTGCACATCTTCCTCCATCTCCTCTCTGTATCCTCTCAGTTTCCCCTCTTAAAGGCAAAAATCACAAAAAATGACTTCAGAAAAATCAATGTGGCGCATTTTTACTGTCACCTAGTCCGTTTCAGACTTGATCAGACATCCACCCGCTCATTTATTTGGTTTAAATGTTAACTTAAACACACACTCTCACACACAAAAGGGCCAGAAAATGTCATATTAAAGACTGAATGATCAGTTTAAATGGTTGTGGCCGAATGGGCTCCATTTAAAGAAGTCATGTGTGAAGCAGAAACAACATGTAATAAGTTAGTAACCGTTAGACTTTTGTTTACCCATGTGCATATAAAGAGGGCGCCTCTTACACTTACACTATGGTGTCATTTAACATTTATTTTTTTATTTTAAATAATACAATAAATATACTACAAATGAACATTGGCTTTGGTAGAGTTACAAGTTCATCATTTTTCTCTCCACTTCACAATCGTGGACATGACTGTAGAAAAACTGACGTATCCTGATGAAGAAGAAGAGACGTGGACTGGAGGTCATGTCACTCTACAAATTAGTTATAACAAGAGAAAAAACTTTACAATTTCATGCATACAGATAGGTTTTAATGCTTCAAAAGACATACAAGAGTGGATGGCCACAGTAAACTTGAATTTATTGACATAAAAACCAATATAACTTCTATCCTCTTATCCTTACACAGGTTTGACAAGACTGTGAAAACAAACAAAACAGACAGACAAATTGAAATCTACAAAATAAAACAAAAAAACAAAAACAAAGGCAGCATCACTGCTGGTTCTGGAAATTTACAAAAATTTGTCCTTTTTTTTTATTGAGAGCAACGTGTTTAAATTTGGGTGTACTGCATCACAATGGAAAATAAAGCCAAAGATCTACAAGCATATTGAGTTACCTTAACAGAAATGGTTCAAGTCACATATGGAAGATAAAAATAAAAATAAAAGGAAGTAAAGCAAACCTATGTATGGAGAGCTGTAAAAATTCTGTGGTAGATACTAGTGGTCATAAGCATAGAGAGTGCATAGTTTGAACAAAGAGCATAATTACAATAAGGGCAAAAAAAATGAAATAAAAAATAGCGATCTTTTACTTTAATGCTGCGTGAGCTAACTCTGTAATCTGGCTAATTTAGCGACCTGCTACTGCGGTTAAATCAAGAAAATATACTTTTCAAGTTGTTCCCCGTATAAAAAACAATTGATTTCAAGCCATCATGGCCCATAAAGCTACAAATATAAACCTTTGGTGGAAGGGTTTGGGGTATCAACCAAAAATCAAAACTTTGGACCTTTTCCCTTTGGCCCAATCGCAACATGTCCACTCCTCAACTCCGTCACTCTGATGTGACACGGGTGATCTGACAGCAAGAGCACAAATGCAGCACGCTCATATGCAAAAGCCAACATCTTATCCCTCTGTCTGCTTAATCCCACAAGTTTGGTACAAGTTTATTATCTGTGCGGCCCGCTGAAGCAGGAGATAAGAGACGCCACCATGCTGCACTGATCAGGGAGAGAAATGGCATGCAAACACCACCGCTTGGCGTAAAAAACAAACAAAAATACAAATGGATGCAGCAGAGATCCACCTACGTCCAAACATGGTGGTTGGAAAGAGTCTCAGGGAGGGGAAGGGGAGTTTGCTGGTGATTGAATATTATCACCAAATAATCCTTTCATTCATACAACAACTAGAAAATTACATAGCACCACAGAAGAGAGAAAATAGCACCTAGTTTTTGATTTCTTTGTGTTCGCCATTAAAATGTGACATCATCTCCCATTGCATAGTCAGACAGGTGAGTATTTGAAGGAGAAGTTTAAAAAAAAAAAAGCTGTTATTAAGTTAATGATATTGCCACCGGAGTAGGTGTTCTGTTCAGAGGGCACAAAAGGAGGAATGTAGTATTTTTCTTATGCAAATCAAACTGTCACATAATATCACAGAGCTTGAATCCGTCTTTTATTTCCATTCTGTTCTTAAATTACAACAAGGTGTGCTCCACAACGGCAACAAGACAGGACTTCCCAATTGTTTGTTTTCTAATTTACAAGTCGAATTTCCTCACTTTACGCATCCATCAATTTCTTTTCTTTTTTTTTTTGTTTATAAAGATGTTACCCCGTTTCTGTCATCTCCTACCTCACAATGAATCAAGTCACATGCATGTTTTGAAGCCAGAAAAGCAATAAACAATACCAGGAAAAAAAATATACAGAATGTACTTACAAACATAAAAATTATTTATATATATTTATATATATAAGATCCATTCCAAGAGAATGGGGAGGACAATTATGCACAAACAAAGCTCCCGTAGTGAATGAGCGAACAAAGCAACAACAACCAAGTAAAGGAGACAAGTGGAAGAAAAGCCAGGGCGATGAAGAAGAACATGAGAGAAAAATAAAAATGAAAACAAGAAAAAAAAAATTAAAAAGCCGAATCAGATGGAGTCCGTGGTAAATGCTGCGACCGTCTGGAGCGGCTGCAGATCTCAGGGTCGCCTTCGAAGTTTGGGTCAAAAATAGAAAATTAAAAAAAAAAAAAAAAAGAGATGGCACAGGCGGGCTACAGAACTGTGCGTGCGTTTGGCGTTTGGAAGAGGCAGGATCTGACATCCAGTTTCAAAACTTGCATGTGATGGAGAAGGCACACTGAGGTTTCAAGGTTATTTTCCTCTATTCCTATAGGATTTCTCTGCACTTGATTTCATTTTTACTCATACTTGTTGCTTTATGGAAAAAAAAGTTACTTTTTTTTTTTTTTACAAATGTCCTATTCATTTTCATTTTGTTTTATTTTTTTCTGAGAAAACAAATATATGCTTTTATTTTTTCTCCATTTGCTCGGTAAACAGTCTTAGCCGATGAAACAGACAGGGCCCACTTCGAATCCGAACTTCTGCGTGGAGCCGCCAAAGTCGTTGAACATGATGTCCACAAATGGCACCTGCTCCACCTTTGGTGTGTTGATCTCAAGTACTGTCTTTTCATAGCCCTTTTTCAACTGTGGGAGAGAAAACACAGCAGAAGGGAGGGTTAGTGTGTTCCTATACTCCCGCGAAAACACAGACATCACTCGCTTTTTGTTCTGCCACTACAAAGACAAGAGGGACTCGATTCTCCGGCAGCGTTCCATCAAAAGAGGCCTCCACAAACTCACCGCACAGCCATCCGACACGGCGCGGATGTAAGGGTTGTTATCATAAGACATCTCCTCGTCGTTGGAGCCCAGGAAGCGGATGGCCTTGTCGTAGTTGTCCTGATCCTGGTCGTGCCAGGCCACTGACTGGTAGCAGTTGTAGGTCATGTTCTGTCGAGCCGCCGCGCTCAGCAACCTCAAGAAGGTCATCTGGACCACGCTGATGGGGTTGCCCTCTGCATCGACGTAGGAGAGCTGCAGGAGAGATTTGGTTCAGCCTCAAGAACAAAACAACAAGAGGAGGGACTGGTGTACAGGAGGAGTGTAGGGAGGGATCCTAAAAAGATTTAGAACACGCTATAATCTCCACACCGCAGCTTTTTCGTCCCCCGGGGGTCATTTTGATTTAATTTACGACTTTTAATTTGCTTTACTGCTGTGTTCAGATGTGTAGGACGTGTTTCGTATTGACAACAGAGTCCGAATAAGGAGGCGTCATCCAAGGACACAGAGTTAATAAACTGCCATGCTCCGGGAGAGCACAAACAAAACTAACAGGATTTCATTTCGCCTGTGCCCAGCAGAGAAGTACATGTGCTTGATCAATAAAGGGCGAGGCTCCAGGTGTTCCATATTTTTCTTGTTGGCTACTAATCCCTTTAAAAAAAAAAAACCAACATGAATAAGTTACACTAACCTGCCCTACCCTCTGAACTTTTCCTTCTTATTTAATAAACAACAAATCACAGTTTTAAGAAATTATAAATTGGTTCAAAACTCATCTGTTTAAACATTAGCGCACTTTCATTTTTAAGAACAATCACTGAAACAGGGAAATATTTGCCTTTTGGCACCATTTTTACTTAAATAACTTCGAAACCCATTCCAGACCAGTGGCATATCCAGGCTGTTTGAGGGCCAGGGGCAAAAATAATATAAAGGGCACCAGCACACAGAAGATTGCGATTAATACAAGTCTAAATATTTATCGCTCTTTAATTTTCTGTCTTTTTAGCATTTTGTAACCATGTTCCACAATAGCGTCAGTTCTAGCCTGTTAAATATGGCATAACATATTTTAAGACCCTGGACGGTGGGCAGCCTGAAGGTTACAGAAATGTAATAGTTTTTCAAACACTTAAAACTAACAGTGTAAGACTCATTTAAATTCCCTGCACTCTGAAGAATATTTATGCAACATTTAGTGGTGAAAATTTGGAAGATAATCACTAAAACAATTTTAACAACTTAGCAGAAAAATTAAGGTGATTTTCTGCATGAGACTGGTATTCAAGTAAGATTTTCATTTAGTCATTTTGAAATATTAAATTAAAAATTCAATCATGGAATAAATTCATCTGACACCTAAATTTAGAAAAAATGACTTTCTGGAGTATCAAATTTAGTTTTTAAATCTTGAATATCAACTAAGCATTTAATCTTTAATAGCTCGAGAAGGGCACCTTTTGACATTTAATCTATTGGAGGGCAGTCAGACAGTACTTTTATATCTTAATTTTAACAGAAGGACATCTAGAGGGCACTTTTTAAACGTTTTATTTACATGAGGGGCATTCAAGGCGCCTTTTTCGTGCTTTATATGGTAAAAGTGCCTCTAGGGGGCACTATTTTTACGTTCTATCCACTAGAAGGGAATCAATTGTCTCTGTTTACAATTTAAGAAACAGACAATGATTTATAAGTTGTGCATTAAATAAGAAATTTGTATTAATCTAACCTATTGAATATAATTGAATTTCCCTTAGTGGATAAATAAAGTTATTCTTATTCTTACTCAAATTAATTGGCACCATGGTGTGACACAAATATGAAATAGTTCATTTCTTAGGGACTATTTTAGCCTGCATAATTAAACATATTTAGCCACTACTGATAATTTATACATGAAAATATTCCATGAGGCTTTCACTCTGTGCATCATATATGAGGACTGTGTTAACCGGAGCAGCTGCACAGCTCACTGATATGTTTATTACTCTTCTTTTAGCTTGTATTTTTTAAGGCAAACCTAACAAATTAGATTTTTAGATACCGATACTTCCTTTTTGAATAGTTTTTAAACTGTGATTTGTTTACAACATAAACTCTAGAGTGTATATTTTTGACTATAAGATGGGGAGGATTTGGTGCAGAACATTTCTAGGTCTAATGCCCTGAAGCTGCACTAATGTGAAAGGCTTAATGTGGAAAATTCTGCCTTCAAAGTACAAGAAAATAAGCATAACTGAACACCTCATTCAGATCTTGATTATGTAATTATGTAAAATGCATATCCAATATTAGAAATTATAGCAAGCACATGAAAATGTAATTATCCTAATAGGAAATGTGTTGGAGTAATGATATGCTAATTGCCTGGTAATTAACCTATAATTAGCCTCGTATTTTTGAGCTTTTTGAGCTCATCTCTCAGAAAACGGAGATATATCCCATTAAGCTGATTGTATCGCCTTGTAATCCTGCCTGATAACACGGCATGTTTGGAAGCGCTTCGATTAATGTCCGTAAAGTGACTGATCTGCATACCAACCATCAGGAATCCATTAGATCCACATGGTTCGCTTCGTCTTTCAGACAAACAGGACTTACTGAGAGGAGAGCGCATGCAGCAGCAGCAGCATCCGTGCAGCATCCATGCAGCAAGAGACCTGATGTGTTCTTTCTGGACTTGCTCTTGCATAGAAGCGACTTTTCACGCACGCATACACACATGCACGTACAAACCAGAGGGCCGACACTCAAATTTGACACTGAAATCAGAATTTTTACTGCTTTATTTTGCAGCTTTTAAAGGGTTTAAATCAAAGTGTGAGCAGAATTTAGACTTTCTGCAAAATGTCAGAGAGTGTCAGCACTGTGGTGGAGACTATTCTGGGGTTTTCACCTCCATGCTCTTTCCTTTCACCCCACCACTGCTTCTTTTTCCCCACTTCCAACCCCCCCCACCCTGCTCAGCGTGTGGATCCAGCCCGACATCGCCAGAGACACATTACCTCTTCATCATCACAGCCGCAAGTCAACAGTGACTGAGTACCCAGAAGCCCCTGGGTGGTGACTGAGTGCCTGACCTGGTCTGACTCAGAGCCGCTCGGCTGGATCTAAGCAGTGTTTTAAGGGAGACGCTGGGAATGTGAGTGCGGCTGAATGGCTGCCGTGGAAAGAGGGAGTGACACTTATGTTTCCCCCCTCTCGTGAGGAGCGAACGACCCGCTGAGGCGGTTCAAGAAATAGAATGTGTGAGGAAGAGGGGCGTAAAGTGATGCATAAAGTCTCAGGTGTTTTATTCCTGCACTATTAAATCCTCTTTGTTTTGTTCTACTGCTGCTGCTTCTTGAGTCATTCAAGTATCAAGGCACACAGTCACTCTCAGGAGATGCTCTCTTAATGTAGCAGAGGCGTGGATATACAGTCAAGGATTTAAACTGCAGTACACTGTTTTCTTTGTCCAACTCCATCAGGTGTAAAATTTCTCGTTCCACTGCAGGAGAAACTCGCCGGTATGGTCCACAAACCTCCGCTCCATTGCCTTGTGAGAGCATCACCTGCTTTGCTTTTGGACTGAAGGTGAGTGCAGCTAGCGCTCAATCATGCACCGCAACCGACAAGCAAAACACTGAAGCGTGTACATACTTCAGAGGGCAGAACCAGAACCATGCAGAGCCTTTAAATCACACAGAGTCCAGGCCGCAGCGAGGACTTCTGGTACCGCAGGCAGGGCTACTTACCAGGGAACCTCTCTTGTAGTGACTATACCATGTGCCTGGAGAGTCTTTGGGCCATTTTGCCATTTTGCTCTGTAAAATATAAAAGGCATTCAGGGAAGGGAAAAGGACTTGGGAAAAGTCGGGCTTACCAGTTTACCACGTTTGAATTCACTGAACCAGGAGCCGGGATTCTCCTTAACCCAGGATGTGAGCCTAGCCTGGGGGTGTGAATCAACAGAGAGGCAGAGGAGGGAAAAAACAACCGTGTTAAAGCAACATCTAAACACACACACACATACACACACACACACACACAAATACACCCTCTTTCCCTTTTTTTTTCTTCCTTTCACTTCTTCTTCTTCTTCTTCTTCTCTTGAGGAATCTCCCCAGCACCCGGTGAGATCAGGGGGAGCGGTCCAGGGCAGGAAATTTTAGCGAGCCATTATGCCATTTTGTACAGTACAAACTGTAGCTGGCAGCTAATTGCTGCTGAAAAATTCATGAGTACACAGTGATTAATTAAGAAATGATCGCCTGCGAGGAGATCTTATACTGCGGCCTGTATCCCTGCTGTTCGGTGTTAGCGCTGTGCAGCCAGGGTGAACTGACTTTGTTATGCTATTAAAAACTGTGAATTGGCCAACAGGGCACAGCTGTAATGGTCTCCACTTTGACAATGATGAATTTCGCCTTAATGAGATAGCGGGGTTTGATATGGAACTGTCATCAATAGCTTTAATGTGCTAATGAATGATGGGCCGGAGATCACACATCGCTAGGGGGATGGCATGCATTAGACCCATGCTGCCTTGAAGGTGACCTTCAGTTTGCAGAGGAGTGGAGAGGCGGCAAACATACAGCATCTCCCTCTACAAAGAGTATCCTTGATAGCATGTCAGGCGATGTGATTCTGCAGATAACTATGTGCTCTAGTAATAAAAAACGCCAATCATAACACATGTGGGAGTCTTTGCAATCTGGTTGCAGAAACTGGCTTCTTCTTTTAACCCCCTGACACAAATGAGAGCCGCCCATCACTGACACGCTATAAAAAGTCTGCTTCATTATTCCAAGCTAAAGCAAACTCCTGCTCCTCTGAGGCCCAGTGAGTGGGATCATTAAAGTGGCTGTAGCTCTGCGCTATTACACAACCCCCGGCTTGTCATAGAAAGTGTTCCCAATGTTTCACCACACCGCTAGCTCTCCTCTTCTATTTCTCTCCTCTCCTCCACATACTCATGTATAATGAAGTAAAAATCTTCTCAGAGTGCCTGTCACCTGCCCAAGGCTTTACAGGTGATAAAGTCCGTAATGGCCTTGTATCTAAAAACGGCGCTGAAACAATATGAATGCAAAGAGTCGATGCATGAATTTACCTCCCTGTAGACGGGACTGTCAGAGCTACAGATTTGCACGTTGTTCTTACCTGCAAACTTGCACACACACTTGTTTTGTTTTTATATCTTCATGGAAAGTACCAAAAGAAAGTTATTCTACCTTGAAATATTATTTGCCAAAAACACTTTCATTAACAACAACAGAAAAAAGGTTTGTTTTACCGTCAACACACAATCTGTAAATAATGCCAAAGGATGAATTGTGACTTACACACACATTCACGTTTTCTTATCTTTGTGGGGTCTCATGAGCCAAAAATGACCTTTGCGTGGTCATATACACACTCAAACTGGATTCTTGCATAAAGTGCAAACTGTCACGTTTTGATGTCAATGAAGGGACACGCATCTGCAGATTTTTTACTGACATACGTTTACAAAATGTTAGTTCTTTGTATGGCCACGCAAACACACATACTCTGTGTACAGTACAATGCCTTTAAATGAATGTAACTGGCACACACTAACACGTTTTCCTGTCTTTGTGGCACTTCTTGGTTGGGTCACATCACTGGATTCATGCATTTTTAAGTTCAGCTAACCTGCAAACCTGCAAAAGTATATGTCCTATATATAATATTTAACCTTTTTTTCTCTAACACACGTTTCTAAAGTAGTGGTTTCTTGGTATGGACAAAAATACATACACACGTTTTCACACACACCCACACAAACAGACACTCTGTATGCAGTGTGATGCTTGAGCAGTGATTTTAACTGACACACAAACTTGTTTTCCTATGTTTGTGGGGTCCCATAAAAAAAACCTGGCCATGTATTTTTACTGATTGACTTGAAGACACTAACTGGATTAGTGTGTTTGATTGAACAAACCTGAACACATACTAATCTGTTTTTATATCAATATGGGGACATACTTTGTTGTTCAAACCCTTAGGTTTTTGTAACCAACACACACGAATCACTCTTATCTTGGAGTGGGCTTCTATGTATATAATATAATTCCTTTGAAACACACAAACATGTTTTCCTGATATTGTGGGGTCATATGTACACAAACTGGATTCCAAATTCTTATAGGCACTAAAACTGACACAGTCGAGGTGTGAAAAGTTTTTTGTATCTTACGGGGAATTTCAGCTGATGCAAAGTAACTTCTTTTTCTGACTCTGTGGAGTTACAGAAATATTTAGAGGGAGTTTTATCTTTGCTGGGTCACAGACTCTACCAACAGATCAGATTTTAAATCTTTGGGAAAATATTTTACAAACTCACACACTCATACACAAACAGCTTTTGAAGCCTTTAAGGAATTCAGGGAGTATTTCACAGTCACCTCCTTTATCTTCTTGGTAGAAACCCATCCGGTATTCTCATGGAGACTAATTACTAAAGTTCATGTGTAGGTATAAAAGAGTACCATTTGCAGGTACTGCTGCCTTGAGATGTTCAGGTTTTTCTAAAAAGAACACACAGCAGCTTGTTCCAGATGAGCGCAAAGTAAGAAAATCATCACTTATCAGGAGTATTTAGCTTATTTTACCGTCAATCAACATGCACAACCTGCAGGCTGAAAATAATTCCCTTCTTCTTTTTTTATATAACACCATCTTACAACTCTTATTTCCAACCCTTCTATCTGCTGCATCCCAAACCTTAGTGCTCATACTGTGTGTTTTATTTCTTGTAAACATGGTCAGGCTTACCCCTTCAGATTTCTTATCTGGGTAGATGCAGCTCTCTCCACCCGCTGTGAAGTTGCAGTAAACCTTGAAGGAGTCCCGGGAGCAGCCCTGGTTTGGATCGACCCAGTACTCACCTGGAGGACAGGAGAGAGAAAACAGATCGAGGGAGGCCATTATAGAGGGTGTGCAGTTGTAGGACATTGCTCTGACCTGGAGGTGTACATGTTAGGCTTCAAAGGTACTGGGGAGCATCTGAGCTGAATATCAATAGAAAACATATTTTCTATTCTTCACTATCAATGTTTTTCATGCTTCCATCATATTCAGACATGTCTTAGTAAGAAAAGTCTATTTTTTCTTGCTTTAGGGAAATATTTCAAATCTTTGAGACACCAAAAATAACATCTTTCTGTTGTTGGTAAAGTTGTTGGCTTTGATGAAGTCAAATGTAGAATTGTTAAAACAGGATATTTCAACAAACACCTTCTGTGTTGACTTTTTGTCTCTCACTCTTTTGAGAACAGGATGAAAATACCAGACTATTGCTGCGTTCGAGTTACCTCGGAAGTCAGAAGTCCGAGCTGAAAATGACGTCACATGCGAGTTACCGGCCTTTCAGTTACCAAGTCAGAAAAAAGCAAAATCAGAGGCGGAAACAAGATGGCTACATCTACGAAAGTTATTTTAGTGCTTGCCCAGTCTGAATATAAGGCATGCGCTAAAATAATTTTCGTACATGTAGCCATTCTTGTTTTTCCGACTTGGTAACTGAAACGCTGGGAACTCGGGTGTGACGTCATTTTCAGCTTGGACTCCTGACTTCAGAGGTAACTCTAACACAGCATATGAACTTATAACCAAGCACAAATGGTAAGTAAAATGCAGCTATGACGGATGAGCTGCTAACATGCTCATATAGCAAACCGATGATTGACCTAATACGGTTGAAACTCATGACTATTTAAAACTGGATAACCCAACAGACTAGAGGTAGCCCAAGTAATCGGTTGGTCGAAAAATGGCGTTTTGAAATAATCTGCAAAGTCAACACAAACCATCGGGGAAGTCAGGGTGGCAGAGCTGCAGGTCTTTGCAGGTACGAGCAGGGTTGCTCTGTGTGCCCAGTGGGTGCTTCATCTGCTCGATCTCAAGCTTCAGGGAGTTCAGGGATCCAAAGATTTCCTCCATGCCGTCGTCGTAATCCTTGTAGTTGGCGTCCATGGCTGCGTCGTCCACCATCTGGCTGGCATCAATGTTCCTGCGAGATCTGCCCTTGATGGGAGCCTGGATGGGGAGTGGGTGGATGACGTCGCCGGGTGGTCCCTGTCATGGACAAGTCAGAGATATGAGTGTCTGTGAAACTGAGGAAATAATGAGTCATACAAAAAAGTAAGGATTTCACTTACAGGAGGTCCAGGGGGTCCAGGTGTACCAGTCTCTCCCTTTGGTCCAGTTTGACCCTAAGTGGCACAAATCACAGAAAAGTTTCACTCCAGCAAAAAATTACTTGAAGAGAGGACTTAAAAGTTCTTATGTTGTTTCTGATGAAGAAGAACTTATAGGGAGAACACTTACAGATGATCCTTTAGCACCTTTGGGACCAGGAGGACCCTGTAAACAAAAAGATGACATAGAAATCAATACCTTTTAGACATAACACTATCAATTAATAACACATAATGAGGCAGGTCATCTTACAGGTAATCCAGGGGGACCAATGGGACCAAGAGGACCTGTGGGACCAGAAATACCCTGAAACAGAAATTAAAGGAGTGTGACCAGGATGTGAAAGACTTAAATGATAAAGACAAGAGGATAACTGGAAGAAACAGCCCGACTCTCCAACATTACCCAGTCTGTCTCTAACATGTGAGCATTTGTTTGTTATTTCCCACAGTGTGGTTTTGTTTACTTACAAAGTCTCCCTTGGCACCAGGGGATCCAGGAGGACCAGGAAGACCTCTATCACCCTTTTCTCCCTGTTCACCTGGGGGTCCAATGAGACCAATAAGACCCGGATGTCCCTGAGGGAAGAAAGCAACACACACACACACACGTATATATTATCAATACAACAGTCAATAACGCACCATTATAAACATTAGCTGTATAATACATCCGTCTGACAGACCCTCTAATGATCGAGGTAATGATTTGATGGCTGGAGGCAAACAACTGATCTAATCAATCTGTCAGTAAACAGACCCATTAGTCTTATTGAGTCCTGCGTGAAAGCTTTTATTTTGTTCAAAGCTGAAGTGACTCACCTTTTCTCCTTTGACACCAGAGTCTCCTTTAAGACCAGGCAGACCAGGAGGACCCTAAGGAAAGGATTCAGTTGTGTGAGATTTCAGCTCAGTCTCAAATATTCTGTAGAAGACCTCAACTGAAAAGCTGAGTTCACTTACCATGGGTCCGGGAGGACCATCAGGGCCTGGAGCACCTGGAAGACCTTGCTCTCCCTGCGTGGACCAAGAACACAGTCTTTTTAGCTTCAGCTCAACTCAGTGTACAGAACAAAGGGTACACTTTCTCTTTAGGCCGTTATGGAAGATCAGATAACAAAATGTGGCTTTGGTCAACAGAGATGAAACACTCTACTTACCACTGGGCCAGGAATACCCCTAAGACCTTCAGAACCAGGCTTGCCAGGTGATCCTTGAGGTCCAACAGGACCTGTCTTTCCTTGGGGACCTTCCAAACCAGACTCTCCCTGTCAAACAAAAACACAATACACACACTCGTTGATTCTTCGCCCATTTGTTGCGTCTTATACAAAAGACCAGAAGGTTCTGTGTCTGTTTGAGGCTCTACCTTCGCTCCCTTCTCTCCTTGCCTTCCCTCAGGTCCTGCAGCTCCAGGTGGGCCCTGTTTGATAGAAAAAAGGATGTCACAGTTCAACTCTGTAGAAATAAAAAGAACATTTTAAATACTCTGCAGTGACTGGAATAGGACTTACTCTCTTTCCAGGTGGTCCAGAGGGACCAGACTCTCCAGTGGGTCCAGGGGAACCCTAGTTTGAAAATCAAACATTACTCATTTTGTGATTTTATGTCAACTCTCTTATAAAAGAAGTCCCTTTCAGACACGACACTAAGTGCAAAATAAGTAGTCCACGGCACTCACAGGTTGACCAGCCTCTCCATCATCTCCCTTGTCACCAGGTGGACCGTCTAACCCCTGAATAAGAATGAAACAGATCCTCAGTCACGTATCCAAATGTTAAAGGTTAACAATAGACTTTGCACAATTCATTCAGGGGTTGGATGAGCTTTCATGCCATACTTACAGCAGGACCGGGCTCTCCAGGGGGGCCGGGGTCACCAGGGAAACCGCTTGGGCCCTGAAAATCAATAAAAGCTGCATTACTTGAAGGAAAAATCAGGTTTGGAGGTAAAAGGTTATCTTAAGAGAAATTCTCTCTGTCAGGCGCCAAAGTGAGAAGAAGCTTACTGGGCTGCCTTTGGGACCGTCATCTCCAGCGGGTCCCTTGGGGCCAGGAGGTCCAGCCGCACCAGCAGGGCCGCCTTCTCCCTTTTCTCCTCGCTCTCCCCTTGGACCCTGGAATATTTTAAAGTTTGTTATCTTATTTGAAAAGCTGGATAAAAAACAATAAAACAAATCCCTTATACTGTATGGTTCTCTTTCTTTTCTGCTCATGTATAAACAGGAAAAAGAAATTCAGATGACTTACTGGTGGGCCAACTTCTCCCTGAGGGCCTGGCTCTCCTGTTTCACCAGCATCTCCCTGGTAAGAGAGAGACAAAGACAGAGAGAGAGAACGGTAGGGAGGGTGAGAGAGACCATATATTATCAGGAAGCTGATTTGTTGAGCCAACATGGTTCTAAAAATCCCATCATTTACAGCAGCCTGGACTGTCCCGGTGCCCTTGTCACCCAAATTGCGGTAGAAAGAGATGACACAAGAGATCTCAATCCATCAAGCGTGGGCAGATTGGGCTAGCGGAGCTCTGGAGGGCGCTGACCTCACTGTTCTCCCAGGACCCTGCACATATATCTTATTCTCTTCCTCATGCCTTATTGGATAGTTGCCCCTCTCGACTCACCTATACACCGGGCACTCTCGTTACTCACTGTCACAGGCCTGACTGTCCTCCCTGCCGGGGTTTGCTGCAGATAAAGTCTGCCACACGGGCTTCAGGGGGGAAATGCCTACCGGTGCCATGTTTGCGGACTTGAAGTCGATCAATAGCTCTGAATGACGAGCTGCGCGGTGATGTGTTATGATGAGCATATCCAGACTCTCCCTCGCATGAACAAAAAGCTCTGCATTGTGAGCTGATACTCTAAATTAGCGACTGGCTGCTTTCCAAACTCCCTCTTGTTGCCTTCAAAAAATCCACTCTAAGCAGTTGGTACGCCTGTTTGAAAGCATGACTGATCCTCTTGTATTAGTGGAGCACTCCTCCGCTATTTATGCAATGTTGCATAAAGAAGAACCATGCACAGGCCGATGACAACCTGCTCATGTTCTCCCACAGGGGAAAATCTGCTGAGAAAAGGGAAACTAAAAGCATGAAAGACAGCTGCTCATCACAGATATATATACTGCAAGAAGGGTGCGTTCTTGTTGCTTCCTGCTCCGAGTAAAATGCCAGATCAGCTAAAGAGCGATTAGGGGGCAACAGAGTGCTGTGTTTGTTTGCACGGGGAGAAGGACAAGCTATCCTTAGGGAGATTATAAAGGAGCAAAAGGTGATTCTATTGACTGAACCAGATAAAGCAAATCACACTATCAATACGAGCAGAGAGGGATGAGAAGGTGTGCAGCAATGCAGCTGGACTGCTGCAAAAAGCGACATAATGAAACCGCAGCAACAAATACAAAACAGGAGCTGATTTTAATAATGCATTTATCATCTGAGGATTGTGAGAACAGGGCCTGCGAGTATTTATTTTCACTCTCTGCACCAACAAACAGCACCGCAGAGGAAGGCAGCCCGTCCATTAAGAGCGCCGCGCATCTGTTACTTTGCGACAGGGAAAAAATGATCATGTCACATTTAAAAGGGGATCATACAGAACAAATAGGCATGGGAAATATTAACAGATGCAAAAGCCTTGTAAAGAGGCATCATTCAGCATCTTACCGCAGGGCAATCAAACAAACTGCAAACACGCTGAATCAGTCAGCTGGATAGAAAGTGAACCCTACCTGTCTTATTGAGACGTCGCAGTGAAAAATACACACTCAATCAGGTACAAAAGCAGTCAGAAAATTACACCACGCTTCCTCTGGGACCTTTTCTTCAGGTCTTTTCTTGTCAGGAAAAACTGCTAAATCTTTGTTTTAAAACTTTACATCCACACTTGCATTATGCTGTGTCTTTTGTCTTTTGGAGGACAGCCAGAGGTGCCATCTGGAGTTTAAAAAAAAAGCCGTAAACTATCAATTAAAGGGTCGCATGTCAGCATGTAGAGGTGGCTTACAGGGCGTCTCTTAACACAGCTTCTTCTGGTGCTGCAGCTCAAAAACAGCCTTTGAAGACTGACATAATGTTGGATCATTTCCGTGATGGGGATAGTTTATTTCAGTTTAATCTGACAATATTATAGAGACTCCTACAGGATCCAAGTCTGTGTCAATACCTCTGTCTATATTAGTCTATTATTCGGTGCGGAGACTATGACTAATGATTCTAGTGATGTGGAAATAAATTACTGTATTTCCCCCTAATCTTTCTGTGCAATAATATCTTGTCTTTAATAGTATTGAAGACGCAACATAAGCTGATTATAGCTCGTGTCTGGAAGTTAAACTGCTTTTGATTACATTTCTAATACGTTCTTTTTATTGCTTGGAAAACAAAATGACTTTCAAAGTTTGTTGATACCTTCTTTTTACTCATGTGGCATTTAAGCACATCATAGCGAGGTTTTACTTCCTTAACCTGCCTTTATAATGATTTCACTGACCCAGACTGGAATCCTCATAAATCTTTGTATCATTATAGGAGACCTGGTTAAGCTAGCGTACGAGCTTTTATCCTGCTGATTGAACCCAATTTCAACACAAAATTACTGCTTTTGTTGAAGATTTTGGATTTTTTTGCCTCTTAGATAAATAAGAGAGAGAAAATGTGGGGAGCATTCTGCAAAGGGACTTAGTAGCCGCTGCAACAAAGACTTTAACCTCTACAGTATATATGAGGCTTTGACCACTAGACCAGCTAGCTCTGTAACTATTTTTAACATTTTAGTGACGGAGAGTCTGTGCTCAGCAAAGCTCATTAATGTTCGAAAAAACTGACGAAACAACAAAAACTAGAAGGTCAAAACCATTTTTGTTCGCTGAAATCAGGATAAAGACAAGGCCTCATTGAAAAACTGTTAAAAATTTGAAGAAAAAAAAATAACTAACTGACTGAAATCCTTCAGGGTCCTTCTCTAAAGTTCTTCCAGCAGAAGTGATGTTTTTTTCTCCTTTTTACTCTATTTTCTGTGGTCCACTTTTACAGAACTTTTAAAAAGTTTTTCTCTGAAACATTTACTAAGAGCACTTTTTTACTGAAGGTTTTTTCTGGGTCTTACTTCTGACAAGTACCATATTATAAAAGACTCCAGCTAACCCCAAAACTAATAAAAACTAAATTAAAAATGAAGCATTTTGAAAAATATTTGCATGAGAAATAAAAACTAATTAAAACTAAACTGAAAATAAAAACAAAAACTAATGAAAATTTCAAAAGTAGCCTATCCTTGGAGGAGGTTTCGTCCTGCTCAGTGTGAGAGATAATTTTGCAACACAAATTGTATTTCTTTTCCTTCTTCATTTGAGTTTTAGTAAAATGTCCCCAAACTTCAGACCTCATTGGACCTTCAGCGATGCGAACACGTTCTGGATGGGTCACGCACAGCTGGTCAAAAAAGTAAATATCTAATACGCATCTGATGTTTGACATGTCTTTTATTTTGAAAAATAGCTTATCTTAAAAGGCATGCATTATGTCGCGGTCCTCCTCGGTTTCTTATTAATGTGGCCTGAATGCAGTAACAACACAGTTTTTTTCTTTTTTGGTCTTCGTGCTATTTGATATTTATTCACTATTGTCCATGCTGTTGCATGGTCCTCCTCAGGTTCTCCTGAATATGCTCTGAATGCAGAGATCCAAATAAGTCAAATTTTTCATTTTACTGGTCTCCATATGCAATTTGATATATGATGTTTTCTGTATATGCAACTTTAGTAGTTGTTGTCCACAATTTATGTGCTCTGAAGTGTAGTTCACTGATTAAAATGGGTGTAATTATGTTAAAGATTTGAGTATTTAAAGGTTTTTTTATATAAAAAATAAATTTGCTTGCTTTGAATTCTATAAAAGTGGGCCATGGCTTAAGGACCATGGGAAAATGTGGGTCCCAGAGTGAGACCAGTTGAGAACCACTGAATTAGATAGTTGATGTTTGGTTGTGCATCAGTGGTTTAATTTAAATTACATGTCTTGAACTGAGATACAGGTCTCACCTGCACCACATCAACCTCCTCAGCTAAGGTCTTTTATTCAGAGTGAAAAAGAGACATCGAGGAGTCTTACCTTCTCTCCAACAGAACCAGGGTTTCCAATACCACCAGGAGGTCCCTGAGGGCCATCAGCTCCTGGGGGTCCTGAGGGGCCTCTAGGACCTGGGGGACCAGGTGGGCCCTATATTAAAAGACAGATTACAGGCTCATCAGCACAGAAATTTGTCCTGCAGACTTCATGTAATGAAAAGCACTGATTTATATCTCATACGGTGATTTAACATGTATTCTTAAAGAGGCTCTCACCATTTGACCGACGTCTCCAGTTTCACCTTTCTCACCAGGAGGACCGGGCAGACCCTGAAGAGTGAGCAGAGCAAATGAAGATATAACCACACTGTCTCTGTGTTTCTTATGAGTAACATTTGCACTCCATTTTGATCCCGCACCTGCAGGCCAACTGGACCAGGAGGTCCGGGGAATCCTCTTGATCCTTCATCTCCCTTCTGACCGAACAGACCCTGCTGACCTCTTGGACCGGGCTCACCATCTGCACCCTGAAATGATCACAGCCAGGAGATCAAAGAGTTGGCGGTATCAGCGGTCCAAAAAAAAAAAATGAAAATGAGGCGAATGATGGTGAAATAAACCAAAGCCAACTGAAGACTTACTGCAGGACCGGGTGCTCCAACAGGTCCTTGAGGGCCAGTGGGACCAGGTGGACCCTGTGGAGGAGAAAGAAGACAAGCTAATTAATAAGCGCTGAAATATGGAGTCAGTGTGTGAGTGTAGGGAGCAACACTTAAAGCCCCTGTGAGGATTTGTGTTGAGTTTGGCGCCCCCTGTGGACAAACAGGGCAAAAGCTCATCCTGCTTTCTTTAAGCACTCAAACGTATTACGAATAAAAAATCTGTCTGGCACCTACCCTACGTCCAAGATTTCAGTCATCAAAATTAACTTTATAGAGACTTAATCTTCTTCTCTTGTAATTTAATCTATTTTTTTCTTCACAAATAAAGGAGGGTATAAATACATTTTAGTCAGTTTTACAACCTGCCAAAAATTCATCACAGGAGCTTTAACCAAGCGACCTCAATTGCACATTCTAGATATTTCACAATAACAAAAGCAGCATAACAACAGATGGCAGAGCTAACAGAATCAGAGTGGCAGCATTGATTTGGAATAAAAAGAGAGAAAATGTGTAAGCAGGATTTATTTGGGCTGTGTAGCGCTGTGAAGTGGCAGCGAAATAAAACAAACAAGTCATTCAATTATGAGTTTGTGGAAGAAGATGTGTACGAAAACAGAAAAGGCAAGGATTAGGAAATGAAAATTATATACATGGAGAGAAAACACTTTTAAAATAGCATGCCAAAATACAAAAACTTAACTTTTGTTTGATAAAAAGCAACTTACATGCTCTCCTTTGTCGCCTTTGCTTCCTTTCTGTCCTGGCTCTCCAAGCTCACCCTGTAAAAGAAGAAAATAATCACAGTGTAAACCACAGAGCAGATTCAGAGCAACACAAAAGTGAGAGGAAGATGAAAATGTGGCGACAAATAACGGTAACAAAAATAAACATAACTCTCAGGAGAACAGAACCTGACATATTAGAGGCGCCATAAAATCTCAACTCAACAATATAACACCTTTGGAGAAGACACCTCTATAACAGTCTGTCCATTAGTATTTCAATTACATCCCTCCTTCCCTGACAAATATAATCCACATCTAAAGAGGGGGATTATCACGATGAGTCACCGGCGCTACTACCCGCCAAAACAGACCTGATAATAAGCCCCCATCTCCGCCCGTTTGCACCATCATTCCCACGGAGGAGAACCTTACACCTTTACTTCACAGCCTGCACATGCTGTGGGTGTTTGGAGAAATAATGTTAATAGCAGCCAGAGGCATTGACTATTTGGTTTGAGTCAGACAATGTTCTTTTGTGCAGCAGTATTAGTGTCTTAAATAAAAGCCTGGGGTTCTTCTTTCCCCGTGGACCGGACTTATAATGAGAGAGTGTGTGTAAACATTAGCTCGCGAGATCCTTTTTTTATCTACATATCAAATACCCCGCTGTATTCTCAGTGTCCGCCTGCACCGCGGGGGGACTGTTGTTAGGCCCGCTAAGAACTGAGGCCTTTTTCAAAAGGATGAGAGATTATCCTCTGAGTATCTCTGCGGCTGATCTTCCTGCAAATGTTTTCAGAGCGCGATGAGAAGTTGTGAAGTTGTTCTTGCCTGTGAATACTAGAGGGTCACTTTCACACATTCTGTCACTGCCACATAAACACCTCTCTCCTCCTCCTCCTCTTTGACTGTTTGCGCGGAAGAGTACAAAGCTGAAACAAGGCAGGTTCACCTTTTAAAGATCTGTTGATCGATGCGAGCGCTGTCAGACAAATTCCCCTCAGAGTGTTTAAGGTCACAAGGAGAGAGACCGGAGGGTATCCGCCTCAGATCTCTTCTGTAAAGTTTGGCGTCTTTGTAAGGTGGTTAAGTGCATGCACTGTATCCTGGTGTGAGGTTGAGTGTGATGCAAAGAGCTCAAAGACGAAAAGTTTCATTAAACTACATATCTGGGCTGAATATAAAATTAAAAGACAACCCAGCTCTTCGAGATTAGCGGTTGGAAAAATACTATTGATGGCATGTTGTGAGTTCAGTATCTTCAAATTAAGTTAACGAGACATTTTTGGTACTGTATATTGAACATAGAGTTAGTTCAGGCAGGCCACTAAGTCAACAGACAGCTCAGCCAATCAGCAAACGTCACAATGGGCGCTCTATTTAAACCATCCATCTCCACCCCTCCACTTGATGCTGGGTCTAATTTGACCAAAGTTTAACTGATTAACGAAGTTTCACCTGCAATTGATTATCTGATGTGCAGAGTTATTAATAAGCATGTGTATCCTCTTTGGCTTTGAATCAGGTTTTGGCCTCACTAATGGGAACAGAGTCTCTCAGGACTACATTAAGAGTTTCCAGACAGTCTATTTGGGGTCACTATCTCCGGACATTACACTCTATGAAATCCTATTTCTTGGCTGCTTGTCTGATTTCTTTTCTTGTGTATTTATTGCTCTGATCATTATCTGAAATCAACCTCAGTCGATGACTAATTTAGACCCCTTTAGACCCCCTTTTGTGCTGCCTTTTCAAGACCATCTTTCATCCCTGCTGCCTCCAACAATGATGGAGACACCCCCTTTACAAACAGTAAGATGCTAACCTTTGTGAACACATTCAAATGTCTGGACCCCAGATCCTACTTCTATAGATGTATTTTTAAGGAGTAAAATGAGTTCTATATTACAGTCATTAAGGTAATTCTCTATACCCATCAACATCCTCTAACAATATAACAAAACATAATTCTACTTTAATACAAAAACATGACTCACCTTGTCTCCATCCTCTCCAGGTGGTCCAGGAGGTCCTCCAGGTCCTGGCAGACCCACAGGTCCCTGAATACCGTCTCTTCCAGCTGGGCCTTGAGGTCCTTTCTCTCCCTAGAGTGGTGTTATTTTACACAGCCGAGCAAAAATGGGTTAGCTATGCAGTTTCAGTGAAGCATTTCTCTGATTTTAACAAGAATGTGATGATATTACCGGTCCACCCTTCTCTCCAGCAGGGCCTGGGGGTCCTTGAGGGCCAGGACGACCAGGGAGACCTGTCGGTCCAGCAGGGCCAGCAGGACCACGCTCACCAGGGGAACCCTAAAGCACACAGGCATGTTAGCAGGGCAGCTATTTCAGCTAAATACACCAAAACATTGAAGATTGAATGTGAAGCAGGGTCTTAATCTTAGGCGCATTAACTAAGAGGACCTCTCTTATATAAGCAGCTAACCGTGCATATCATTTTATTATGTAAGAGCTGTTAACAACCCAGGCTGGGAACTTTACTATGAAGGCAATTCCCAGAGATAGAGAGAGAAAGCAGAGTGTAAGAGTGAGCGAGTGAGAGTAACAAACTGAGGATGTGGATGCTGCAAATTGTACTCACAGCAGGGCCAGGTGGGCCATGAGGACCCTCATTCCCTTTCAGACCGTGAGCCCCCTGTGGAACAGAATAAAGCGAAGGCTTCAGAAAACAAACACATCTGTTGGAGAAGCACACTTCCTGCCTTGCACTAGGTTTGCTATCTTCAAACAGGCTCAGCGTGAGGTGGAAAACCTCCTATAGCTCCCTAAAGTGAAGGCTGAGAGCAGATGAGGATAGCGGTTATTTCACAAAAAACTGCTTTAGTTGTCCTTAAACTCAACAAATGAACAGGTGTATGGCATAATTTATGCATACTAGAGTTTAACAATAAGCTTCTTCTCTCATTTCTAACAAGTTCGCAGGAAGAAAACAACGTGAATTGCATAACAACCAGGACACGACTTTGTCAAGTTGGAATAAAACATTAAAAATTAAAAAAATAAGCAGCCTGGAGCACACTGTTCCTGTTCTGAAGCCCACTCAGGGATCTGATATCGAGTCTAATTCTTGAAGTTCACCACAGTCGATTTAATAGCCCAGAACTATTATGCAATAAGCAAGCTGTGAGAGATATTGAGTTTGTGTGATGCTATTGTGCTGAGCAGAAGGCAGCTCTCACCACAGGGCCAGGCAGTCCTCTCTCTCCGGGGAAACCTCTCGGCCCTGGGGGACCGTCCTTACCTGCAGGGCCAGCAGGACCGGGGTCACCCTGTTGGCAACAAAACAAAACAATATTACTGAATGCACAAATAAGACTTGTGTGACTGAGTGTTTGAAATTATGCTTGGATTAGACGTATAAAATCAACAAATAACACACGATGTTGGAGACTATGTGGGGAGAATAAGGCCAATCATTTTCATATTTTTCGGGGATGCTCTGGTATTATACTTTAGAGGCAGGAGATGAAGAAGAGTATGGAAAATATTTTGAAAGTGCAACTTCCACTTACATTTAAAGTTTTATATTTGGGAAAAGAGAACCAGGAGATAACAACATCAGGAGAAAAGTACATATTTCAAATAATGTTGGTGGCGGCTAAAAAGGCCATCACTAGAAATTGGCAAAAAAACAGATGCACCAAAAGTAGAAGACTGGGTAGAGGTAATGATCGATATATATATATAGAATGGAGAAGCTGACTTTCTCATCTAAACTAAAAGAGATACTTTTAAAAACTACTGGGAAAACTGGGTTGATTTTGTGTCTTAATTGAGAGCAGACTTTGTGCAGTGAGGGCATTGTGTATTGTAGATTGTTGATACCCTCAGGACAATGCAAGAGGAGTGTGAAAAAAGGACGAGTGAAAAGTGTTTCATTTTACTTCGTAAAATGTTACCGTTATTCTACTGCAACTTTACTTGAGAATTTATGTCTAACTATGTCTCTGGAGAAGAACGCAAATATTCTATACAGTTGGAAATTTGTTCAATATAAAAAATAAATTAAAAAATAAATAAAATAAAATCAACAAATAAAACTAAAACTGAAGATGGATCTGAAAAGTGGTGATAGAATATGTAATAGTTTTTCATTCTTCACCTTAGCTCCTTCTTTCCCTGCAGCACCAGGTAGACCCTGCTCTCCAGGTGGGCCCGGGGGTCCAGGATGGCCTCGATCTCCCATTGGTCCAGTCTCGCCTGTTGGTCCCTACAATTTCAATCGGAAAACAGCAATAAAATCACACTGCAGCACGACTCCAAATGGCAGAGGAGGTGTGAAGAAGCCGGGCAACATCAAGAAGGAACACTGTGAGCAAAATCAGCGATTTGATTACAAAGAAGATGTTACAATTTCTCTGCCTTTTGGAAAACATGGCGCAGAAAGGCTCGAGCATTTGCTGCGTGGGAGGCTTACTAGTCATTAAGGCCACATACAGCTTCGTTATTATCAATGCTTTCAGCTGGCATTAGCGCCGCGGCTGTGAGAGAAGGTCTGTTGAATCGATATGCATAATGGATGAAGAGATGTTGCTAATATGACAGAAGGTAAACAACACTCGAGTCAGGGTTCGTGATACAGGTACAGAGAGACTAAACGCTGAGAGTGCTCCTAATGATCAAAGATTTTTAAAGTCTAAAGGCTTTTGTTGGATTTAGTGCACAACTTTAATCCCTTTTGACACTCGGCCGATCTAGAAGTGCTCAATCAGTTTGCAGAAAGCCTCATTGATAACACAAGTGAGAGACTAACCACGCTGGATTTAATGCGATCATGACTCACCTGAGGTCCGACAACGCCTGGAGGGCCAGGTGGTCCAGTCTTGCCTTGGAAACCCTGGGATTTTCCAAATGAAAAAAAAAGTATTAATGTAGCATAAGGCTTCTTTAGAAAACAGCTGAAGAGATGAGTAATCAGACTGATTTACTCACAGTCTCTCCTCTCTGTCCGGGATGTCCAGGCAGGCCGTCTTTCCCTGCAGGTCCCTGAGAAAGACATTAAAAGAGATCCATGAGTTTCAGCGCACAGACAGGTGGAGGAAAAGGTGGGTTTGGTGGATGAGTTTGGACTTACTGGAGGGCCCTTTGGTCCTGGGAAACCTGTTGGTCCCTGAGGCCCTGGCAGACCCTGAAACAGACAAAAGATTTGTGAATTCAAAGTGATACCAAAGTTGTTGTTTTTTTTTTTGATTTTGCATCACTTCTTATTATTATTCGGTCGTGATTTTCTTAACAAGATTCAAGATTTGATATATTTAAATAGTTTCTGGTCTCTCCTTTGAAGTCCCTTTTAAAATGTCTCTTGGAAATGTCTTACAAACTGCACACTTTCTCAGAGAGAGCGTAATCCTCCCACACTGCTCGCATTTTCTTTCATGTTTGATCATTAAAATTAACCGGTTTGTCCGGCGTTGATGCGATGAAGACGAAGATAAGGACGTTAAAAGAAAGAGATGAACTTAAGCTTCTAACATAGTTGCAGATTGTCTGAAGAGAAGGTATTGTGAAGTCTGATTTGATCTGTTTCAGCAAAACTAAAACAAAAAGTGACTGTAAACAGCAAAAATTTGGAGTGGTAGCAAAAGTACTCATCCCTAGTGGACACTCCGGGTACTGCAGTTTTTTGCATTGGCTTCATTTCTTAACATGGGTACATACCCTCTCACCAGGAGGTCCAGGTGGGCCGTCATTTCCTGAGTTACCCTGAAGAGACAGAATAAAAGATCAATTATCATCTTGTGCTGAAAGTTACTTGTGAAAAGAGGTATTTGAGGTGGGATCTTCTCTGCACCTTTGGTCCTGCTTTCCCTGTTGGTCCCCTTGGTCCTCTCTCTCCACGGGGGCCCTGGAGTAAAAAAACAAGGACATTCCAGTCTTAGACACCGCTCTGAGAGATATTTGTACCTTTCTGTATTTCTCCCCTGAGCACGCTCAGGTTAAACCTCCATTTCCCCTCAGGTGCCAAGCTGGCCATCTGCATGTTAGCACGAGTCTGCTGAGTAAGACTCACCGTCGGTCCTCTCTGTCCGCGTGGGCCAGGCTTTCCTGCAGTTCCCTGTGGACACGAGGAGCACACACAATGATCAAAGGAGTGGCATTATTAAACGGCTGCATCCTCTACAAGACGGAGTCTAATGGCAGCAGACAGTAGCATTTGCAAACACATTTGAACAGAGGCGAGCGTTAAAGGAGCCGAGAGATCATCCTTTATCATTAATTAGGGATTAGTTGTTTTGAATATCCATCAGCATTTATCATCCCTTATTGCCACATCAGAATAAGACACAACAATGCATAATAAAATGATTTTTAAGCAGTGTTATGATTACACTCGCTGCATATAAATTTAATACGGAATACAATTACATCTTTTGTAAGGCTGTTAAGTTTCAAACTATCCCTTTGAAACTAAGTTAATGGCACAACTACCCGGTTCTGTCAGGGAGCCGGGTCGCATATACTTTACAAATGTTTTGTGAAGATGAAACGCTTTATTCGCCCTGCTCCATTCCTGGTGAAAAACCATTACTCTTGCAGGCAACCTAATGGGCCATTCCTTAAACAAAGAAAATGAAACATTGCCCAAGTAGCACAAAGTGATAAACAACGCTTTGCCTTTCAAAATGAGTTGTGTTAGCAGTAAGAAAGCAGAACTGCAATCGTCTTTCTGTCCTTGGTCAGAATCTTTTGTTTTCCAGCCATGAAACTTCCTCCAGGTTGATAAATCTGGAGCCCATCTCCTGCTCCACCGCTATTGATCCAACTCTTCTCGGACTGAGAGGAATAATAAGAAGTGTATCTGACGTACCCGAGTTCCTTTCTCTCCGTTGGCGCCAGGGAAACCTTGGAAACCTTGAGATCCCTGTGTGCAACAAACAAGGCAATTAATCATCCCAGAGACAAACTTTAAATATTATATCCCTTGTTTATTCTCCAGATAGCACCTAGCATTTTAAATGCAGCGGGGGGAATTGAGTGTGCCATAAATAAAAGCAGTGTTTTATTGTTGTCATATCAGGAGCTGAGGGCTGAACACCAAACTGCATATTGAAATCCCCGTCTCTTTGATCAGAGAGCTTCAAGCATGTCCGGCTGTCAGACTGCAGCTTTGTATCAGAGAGGCTAAAGGGTGAGCCATCAATAAAGAGTTCAGAGAGTGAGCCCTCACACGTAGATGTCTCAATTTATTATTCTCTTTGAATAACAAGCGTGTCTGTGGTGACACTTTGGCAAAACATTTAGCTTGTTTGTATTGCAACTCTTGACTGAAATCACTGAACTAATGGAAATACTATCCTGAAACAGAGCCAGTGTCTATAGGGATACATGCATGTACAGGTGTGTTTATATGCGCAGTTACCTTTGGTCCTTGTCTTCCTGGGTATCCTGGCAATCCAGGGACACCAAGTTTACCCTGTTGGTGACAAAAAGGCACATATCAATCAGAAAGAAATGAATGCATGACACTTTTTCTGAGTTGGAACATTGAAGAAAAACAAATTAAAGGAACAAACCCATCAAAACTATCGCTAAATCTCAAAGGTGACATTGCTTGGTAGGACTTTCGTTGCTTTTTAGGGGGGATTTCTGCCTTTACTTGAATAAACAAAGAGGGAGCATGCAAAAGGCTGCAGGTTGGAACCTTTGTGCATGGTAGAGGTGATACATTGCATTTTAAAGTGTCATCTTTCTGTGATATTTGCTGCTGTACCATAAAGGCATACAAATGCAGTGTGTTTTTATGGACATACATATATAATCAAAAAGTCCTCTCTCTTCCTTTTACTGCTCTTGGTTCAGGACTAAATCTAAAACTAGACCTGCATAAAATTGTCCAACATTATCACGTCAACAAGAAGCGTGGTGAATAAACAAATATTAGACATTTTTCAGATTCTGCTGTTTACTTGCTGGTCTTCATGTTTTGCAAACTAGCTGTGTTTCTCCTGAATCTAAAATGCATCCAAACTGGAGCTTTTTCATGTTTCCTAAATAATCTGCAGTAGCTTGCAGCTAGTTAAAGCTTCATCTACATGCTTTAACATAGTGTAAAGCACGGCCATAACACCCAGGCCTCCACTAAACAGATGCAGCAATGTAATGATTACAAATAATTATATTGCAATCAGTTTATTGCTATTGATTGTGCAGCTCATGAACACGTTGAGTGCATTTAACGCTCTTGCAGAATAAGATGTTAAAATAGGAGCTGAATGCATCTCAGGACAAAATCTGCAAAGGTATAAGAGGTACAACCTTTTTACAGATGGCGCCAAAAATCAACTCTATTCAGAAAAATCTTCACAGCAGCTTTAAAGAGCTACAATTGGCCACAAAATCAAACATTTTTGTTACTTTACCTTTGAGAAAATTCAATTCAATAGTCAAAATAAAGCCCCAAATAAGCATAAAAACCTTTATTTCTGCCTCTGAAAATAACTATAGAAAAATTAAAGCTCCTGTAAGGATCTTAACGTTTATGTTAGTTTCGGCACCTCCTGTTGACAAAACAGCACCCGTAGTTTCTTTGCTGATTTGGTCAAATATGTGACCTGACGGCGATCTTTTGCCATAGAAATGGTAAAATAAAGGCTGTTTAAGCAGCATATAGTGAACTACCAGAGCTGACACCTACCCCCCACCAGTAGTGACAGACATTAAAAAGAACCACAAAGAAAAAGTCGATTTTCGCACTGATGATCTTATTTCTTGTAGATAATGGAGAAACATCAGTTGTAGTTGCAGCCTGTTTAATAACCAGCTAATAATATTGCTCACAGTAGCTTTAATTTTTCCCACTTGCACAAAAACAGCACTTATATTTGTAGAGCTGTTTTGTATTTGTATCTTCATTATGTGAAATCACACAGCTTGTCATCTACAAGACTCTAGTATGACTATGATTTTAAACATGAAGTGTCTTTTATTTGCGTGTCTTATCAATGCTGCAAAACAGATCGAATCTCCTAATTAGCGCCTCGCCAGCTTTGATATAAAACGGGTTGTCTGCACATGGCTCACACGTGTAACTGCTCAGATGATGTAAACAATGGGTATGCTAGCCTTGTTCAAGTTGTTTGACTACGTTTAATTACAAGCGTGCATCATCCTAACACATCGGTGTTTATTAGAAGCAGCTCACATCATGACGGCTGCCGTGCTGAATCTAATTAAATATGAAAATGACTCAGCTGTCACTTCATATGGGATCCAGATACAGATCAGCTTCTACGTCTGCAGCAAATCCAGAACAAGCGCCGCATTAAACAGAGAAAGGACACGCATGCAGGAAAGTTACTGTCACGCTGTTTCCTCAAACTTTGACTGATGACTCGCCACATCCTCATTGACGCGCAGCATCTGTGAGATCAATTTGAGGCTTTAATGAAAGACCATTAAGAGGCTGCATCGACCAAAGGAGGATGTTTTCCTTTCCCACAAAAACTGCGGCAGTATTTTTAGCAAAGTTAACTCAGTCTTCAATTTAACCATAACAATGTAAAAGACGTGACTCCATTTAATGCCCCACACTAGTTCAAGGGCAACAGCGATGAGAAATCGGTGGCTGTGCGGAAGAAAACTATCTGAATATCTGTTTTCTTTATTAGGCCCCGCTGAGCGATGATCCCGGATCAATCCTGACTAACAACTTGCTCTAATCTGTTCTTCGAGCCGGTGTAAAGTTTAGGGCAGAGGACACAGCATCCATGTGAGGTTTCAGGCTGTAGGAGACAAACTTTTAAAAAAAAGAGCTCACCTTCTCACCACTCGGGCCAAGGGGACCGGAGTCTCCTGGGAGGCCTGAACGGCCCTTTGGTCCCTCAGGACCGTCTTCTCCTCTGGGTCCAGCTGGTCCGAGCTCTCCCTGGAAAACACATACAGAGTTTACACTCAGACTGCACCGTTAAGGTAATTCACTCTTTACCACTCAGCCTTTCCCCTTTGTTTTAATGCACATTCACAGCTAGATTTAAGGTGTCCTGATCGGAGAATAAAAATGCTAAACTGACCTTTACATGGAGGCGTTACAAGGAATATTGTTGTGAATCAAAAGCATTAAAAGTGACGAAGAAATGCACAATTTTCTTTGCAGTGGACTTATGTTGTTTTAGTGTATTTTGAACCTTTTTCTTTAGCGCAGGCATTAAGAAGTGAGAATTTTATAGAAAAATTAGACGTACAACTAAATCAGTTTTAAAGTAACAGTCCGTGGTGATGAAAACACATCTTAAGAAAAATTTATTTAAAGCTCAAATGACGAACTTTTTGTTTGACAAAGGAATTATTTGCTGAACTTGTCCTTCACATATTTTAGCTGTTTGACCGGCACCTACCCTCCTCCTTGCACCAGTTTCAGGTATTTACTTTAACAATACATAAAACTTAACTTTACTTGTTGGCTTTAGTTTATGATAAATACGCCTCAACATGAGTCTTGTAATTGTAAAACAAAAAATTGTAATACTTATGTGAATCGATTTTTTCTCCCACCCCGAACATTTAACATGTCTTTTTTAAGTTGGACCCATGTCCCATCTGTTTACATGGAGTAGGCCGGCTTTTTGGTCTAGGGGGAGCTCTACATGTTTTGGCTTCACTTCTGTGGAGCTGTCATGTTGTCGTTTGTCTACATAAACTTCTTACTTCTCGCACTTCCTTTTAAAATATCGTGCAAGTATTTTCTTGACAACCGCGCTGACTTCCTTTAGCTGCTGTTTACTCCTCCTGTATGACACATAATAGGTTTTTAATGTACTTCATTTTCCTCCACACTTTCAAAAGTGTCACGAGTGGAAAGAGTTTCCGGCGCTCGACAAACAAGTCAGTCCATCCTGAGTGACCCCGGCATGCCCTCTTAAAACTGCTGTGACTGTGAAGTTGCTTAAAGAATCAGAGGAGGTTATTTTCCCTCGCCGCCTGCCTCTCTAAGCTGTTAGCGATCCTATTATTGCTTCTCTCTGTTCGTGCGCTCGCCTTCTAGCAGGACACACACTTAAATGACAGAATACAAACTCGCCTTGACAACCAGTCGCTGCTGCGGGGACCCAATGGTGTGTGAAAGGTATCTACTTAAAGCCTTGTGCAGAGTTGCACAAGCGCACGCCCACACTCAAGTACACATAAAACGGCATCAAGCTAACTGTACTTGACTCACACACACTTGCAAGCTCATCAAAGAGAGCACTCTAACTTGAGCGAGCACACACACACACACTCAGACATTTCATGAGCGTACTTTGAAAAAAAAAAAAAAAGATTCATTTACATTCAAGTCCATGTGTGTCTCCTCCAGAGCAGAGGGCCTCCTCAAATCCTTGCTTTCATCTGAATGTGCTACATCTCCAGAGAGAAACAGGCTGAAGCCCCGTGTGTCTCTCTCTCGGGTTTGAAGGGTTTAAAGTGCCATTGATTTCTCTTTCCTTTTCTGTGCTTGGCTCAAGACAACCAGGTCAGGGATTGGGGGTTTTGATGCTTGAAGAAGGGGCTAAGGAGAGTTATGTTTCTCACTGTAAAAGACTTGTTTTCCCTCCGTTTGACATAGTGAATCCCTCATGCAGCAAGACCCGGTTACACCTGTCAGACTCGAGATTTTTCTCCAAAAGTTTTTAGAGATCCGGGCTGATGGGAAAGCGAAAGAGGGGGGGAGATGCTCATGTAAACGCATACGCAGGCGCACGCCAACAGCTGGCGATAGGAACGACACCTTATGTTTGCTCATTACCCACAATCCACAGCTGTCACAGGGGCTTAGGCCACAGGAGGCTAACTTGATAGGAGTTGTTGGTACTTTCACTAAGTTCCCGCAAGGGTCAAACTATAGCTCAGAAAGATTTCACAGCTGAAATACAGAGAGTTTCGAGCCTGAAATGTTGTAATAATCATTTTATTCTTCGGCACGTCTGATCACTTTAAACTTTCATCCTAGCTGATCCGAACTAATTACCCCTAGTGGAATTATTGGAGTAGTTCGATGAATAGATTGGCTGAGTGCTGATGAGAACAACACAAACAAAGACTCCTTACCCTGTCGCCCTTGATACCCATATCTCCCTTGAAGCCCGGGAAGCCGTCTTCTCCCTACACAAAGAGAATAAAGAGGACAGGGCAATGAGGAGAAATTAAAGGAGAAAGAACGAGATAATACAGATGTTAAAACCGTTTGTGTGGCGTTCACACACTCCAAGACTTAAACACACACACAGTTGTAGACTCTTGGCAAGATCTGCTGTTGCCATAGAAACTCTTGATCCTGTTTTTTTCTTTTTTCTACTTCAGTACCAGCTACATTCAGATCAGTTTTTACAGGGTTTCATTGAGAACATCATTAGTGTGAATCACATCATGCAAGCCCAGAAGTAATGTTTCGTATGATTCATTTCCTCTTGCTCTCCCCGTCACTTTTTTTCAAACCAAACAGCGGACTCTCTCTTACCTTTTCACCCTTGTTTCCTTTGAGACCACGTACGCCGTCGGCTCCCTGTGATGCAAGGACAGACAGACGTTACAAGCCGACAGAGTGCAAACTGGACAGAGAGAAGGTGCTGAATGTAGAGCATGCAACCGGGAGATTTACAACCAGTATGGGCGTAAACATTTTAAGTCATATTGAGGTGGCACAAAGTCAGATAGTAACCGATATCTCTGTCAACAAAGACGACATTCGAGGATGCATTTGGCTGTGGATTTAAGGTGTAATTAAATCTAAAAGCACTTGAAATCTTCTCGACTAATGTCAGGCGCTGATCTTCCAAGAGAGAACAGACACTTGAGTCTCAAAGTCAAGCCACTTGTTTGATCTCCTCACTTAGCAGACGCCTTAATGAGCAGATCAATCACAACCTCTTGGCAAGAATCATTTGAGGGAGTTTATTCCCCCTGGGGTTTTATCAGCCACTCATGGCAGCCAACATGTGAAAGGCTGTGCATCTTGAGCTCTTATCAGCTCCTGTAGCTAACCGGGGGTCCACCTTGTGCAAACAGAGTGATGTAAAGGTGACTCTCCTGTTATCTCTGCACCACTAAGATCACTGTTTAAAAGCTGAATCCACTAAATCACTCCAGACAGTTTTAGGAAAAGCAATCTAGCGAGGGAGTGAGCTTGAATTTGTTGAAAATAAGTGCATTTTTGAGTCACATATGCTTGTTGGAACTGTGTTTCTTCACCCTGAGGCTCTAAAACATGTTAATGTGCAATATTTAGCCCATAAAGAAGTGCTATTTGGAGGTTATGGCATCAAAAAATGTATTTCATAGAGCTACCTTCACGCCTCGGGGTCCAGGATAACCAATGGGTCCTTGAGGCCCAGCAGGTCCCTAAGGAGAGAGATGTTTGGTGAAGGATTGTACAGAAGCAAACGCTTTTTATTCAAATGAAATGTTTAATGCAGAAAAAGAGAGAGGAGACTCAGAAAAAGCGAGCATACCATGTGTCCTTTCTCTCCTGGAGGTCCCTCTTTTCCAGGGTGACCCTGTAAATTATTAAAAGAAATATTATTGCATCTCATTTCAGTATAATTACATCTTTAAATACTACAACAGTCCCTTTAAGCAGGAGATTAAGTTTTAAAGCTATTGGAGGACGTATCAAAATGGAAAATTAGAATTAGCTCCTGTAGAGTACGCTTTCATTTGGGAGTTTTATCTTTAATGCACAATATAAACGAGGCACTACCGGCTATTACCGGCTCCTGAAAGCCATAACTGCCCTTTTGGGACTTCACAATACATTACACACGTACTGTACATGCATGTGCACAAACACACAATCCAGAAGACACACACACAGAAACCCACACAGCTAATACAAATGTCCGGAAAAAGAGAAGGGGGAAAGAAAAAAAAAAAAAGACTGTGTGGAAATTGATTGCATTCTCAGGAGACAAAGTAGCCTCGCAAAAGCCTCTGATGGGTTTTTCGTGATGCGGGAGAGGATGGAGGGGGGGAACAGACACTAAAGAGGACAAAAATCAGGGGCAGGGAAGGAGCATTGAGATCGAGAGGGAGAATATTGCAGTTGATGGAAGATTCAACAAATGGATGAATAAAAAAAGCTGAGTGTGTAAATGGCAAAGAGCTATTTCTATTCCATGAAGACTCTGAAAGCCATTAAAAGACCAGGGGACATCTAGCAGTGTTTGCTCGGCGCCTCCTCCTCCTCCTCCTCCTCTTCCTCTTTTTCCTCTCTTCCACTAAATCCCCTTTTCCGCCTTCTTTTCCCTTTCATTTCAGATATTCATATTTCACAGCATCTCTTGTCTCCGTCTCTCTGAGGTGCCACCTGGCGCCATCTAAGGCACAGCTGCCATTAGCACAGGTGTGTTCTGTGCTGTGTGTGCAGAGACGGGAGGAAGAGAGAAAGCCTGTATGTGCTGAACATGTCTGCGTGTGGGCGGGTTGGTCCTCTATAACACAGCTGCGCTAATGTGTGGTTTACAAATGTTTTAGCTAAATAATTAACTGTGTTGAAGATTTTCATATAAAGTGCTATTTTTCCTCCATCTGTGTTGATGATAATTACAAAAGTATGACAAAGAAATGATTTTTACTAAACTTACCGGTGGACCATCAGCTCCTGGCATTCCTGGCAAACCTGGCTTTCCAGTAGGACCCTGAAGTAAATAGGAGACAAGGCGACAAAGCAAATAAGAAATGAGAAACTGAGTCAAGAGGTAGAAACTGAAGGTCAAACGAATCAAGGACTTTACAGCTCCTGTGAGGCACAGTTATAGAATGCTTCTGCTAGCATGCTAACAGACTAAAATACGACAATACTTATTTAGTAAAAGGAGTAAGAGTAAAATACTGTGCTATGTGTTGTTTACAACTGCTATAGCTAACAACAGCTAACAACAGCTAACAATAGCTAACAACAACTAACAACGGCTAACGACAGCTGACAATTGTAAACAACAGCTAACAACGGCTAACAGTAGGCGTCCATCTGGGTTTTCCGACTTGTTTACTGGAACGCAGCAACCCACTGAGCATTTTTTGGTCTAAAAGAGGTCTAATAGACGTCTTAATGTAGCCGAGATGACTGGTCTAAAATCAGACTACCACAGGTCTAAAAATGAAAGTTTTTTAGATGTCTAAATTGAGACCAAGTTTAGACTAGCCGGCCATACTATACTACACTGTATATTGCTCAACGGCTACCATAATTTTTTTGGTTAAGTACCTGGAGATCAATTATGCAACTCACAGTTGCTTTTTGAAATAAACAGTTATTGAATAACGGGTTGAAGTGCAATGTCTAAATTCTGTCTACAGAATCAAATCAGAATCAGAATCAAAATGTCTTGCACAGACTTATACATCAACACTGACCTCTTAGCTTGGCATAAGTTTTACCAAAAGGGAAACTAGTTTTGCAGGAAATCACAGCTGCTATCAGATGTACATAATAATCAAAGTTAATCTCAATTGAGTTTAAAGTTTTTAGGTCATTTGTGTCAAAGACTTGGTGATGTATTAATCGAGTATGAGGGGCATTTACATGAAAATTGATCCACTTTCATTACAGAGTGCTTCATTATTAAACTGCTTTTGTATTTCCAGTTTCTTTCTTTTCCTTTGTAATCCATCCAACATCACAGGAACACCTACGCCGGTCTCCCGTTCCAACTGTTCAATAAAAACTGAACCCCCTCTATAAAGCCTGACAAATGTGATTTAGCTGAAATTGGATTAAAATGTATCAGGATTTAAATCTATCTGTCTACCAGGCAGTATTTAGGCCTGTGCTGGGGTTGGGGGACGTGTTTGCATAATGGCGTGATAAGCATTTGGAATTGAATAAGATAGCAACCCTGCTTCAGCTCATGCAAATGAAAGAGACAATTTCCTGCAGTTTTATAGGTTTGCGGCCCCTGTTTATTAACATTTTATCAAGCTGGCACTTTTTTTCTTTTCCTGTGGGGTTGCAGAAAATGACATATTTCAGAATATATTATTGCTGCTCAGGGATCATATGACTTCTTACTTTCTCTCCTGGAGGTCCGATAGCTCCTTGGGGTCCTGGAAGTCCCTGTGAAAGGGGAATGGAAGTCTCAGAACATTTCTTTTGATGGATGGGAGACAAATTTGATGTCACACAACCTGTTTGTCACATACCTGAGCACCTGGGTTGCCTTGCTGTCCTGGAGGTCCTGGTTCTCCTTGAGGTCCCTGGTAAGAGATTCAGGTAATTTAAAATCCTTGTTACTCGACACAAAGACTGATTGCTTTATTTACAAAGGAAAGAGTGATTTGTTGCTCCATATGGTCCATTAAAAGTGAAATGTTGCTCTGAGCAGATACAAATTAGAAGCTGTCCAACAACGTATCACTGCATTATTACCGTCTTTCACCTGAACAGCCGTCATTTCTACACATATATCACATGCTTTAGTGGAACAAAGAAGACACACACACACGTATAGTCACGCCTTCTGCCTGAGTAAAGAAAACCACTGAAGCACAAACACAAAACACCTTTCCTCTCAATCAGTCATGTTGGCGAGGTGCAGGAGTGTGGGAAAGCGCTTGATCTTCAATCTCTACCTAGTTGGACCAATCCCAACAGAGCAGACAGGCTGCTGCAGACGGGTATTCTCTCATTATGAACAGGCGCTGTGAGAAATTGACCTGGAGTGGTTATAGTTAGGCCGCGGGAATGGATCTAAGCACAGCTGCTGTATACCTTATTACCTAATGCTTATTCTCTGAATCTACTTATATGTGTGTGTGTGTGTTTTGCCTTAGAGTGTGGATGTTGCGGGGAAGGCTCATAAAAGGCTGTGTCGTAGAGCAGATGAAACAAAGATTTCTCTTTTAGGCTTTTATGACTCTTAGGCAGCAGTTTTCAGCAACTAATTTAAATATTATCCAAAGGTCTTGGTCATACATGTCAAAAATTTAGTGGTCATCTTGTCAGATCATATCATACCATACCATATTGTAATGTGTCATATCGGAATGTAACATATCATATGTTGTATCGTGTCATGTGGTATTATATTGTAATGTGTCATATCATATCGTAACCTATCGTAGAGGAACATATCATATCATGTTGTATCATATCGTGATCTATCGTATCGTTATGTGTCCTACCCTATCATACATGTGTCCTACATATCATAAAGTGACATATCATATGTTGTATATCGTATCACATCGTATCTTATCATATCATGTTGTTTCATATCGTATCCTTACATACCGTATCTTGCTGTATTGTATAGAATCACATTGTATAACATCAATAGTATCATATCCAACTTCATTGTACCATATCATATCCTATTGTATCAAAATGTATCATATCTTACTGTACTGCATTGCATCTTATTTTTATATATTTATGTATATTGTATCATAGTATCTTTTTGTTCATTATCGTATTGGACTGTATCTTATTCATAACCTTTTGAATCATATCATATATTGCTGTATCGTATTATATCAAATTACAATGTAACATACCGCACTGTATCCCATTAAATTGTATCATATCGTATCGCATCAATGTCTATTGTATTGCATTGTATCATATCCTTTGATATGAAATTATATATGTTATCACAGTATAGTATTGGATTGTATCTTATAGAATGAATACATAATGCATTGTATTACATTGTATTGTATCATTGTTTAATTATATATCATATTTTATTCTATCGCATTGTATCGTATCATATCCTATTGCATTAATTGATCATGTTGTGTTGTATTGTTTTATATTGTTTTGTACCACTTCATATTGTATCATATTACACTGATATATCATATCATGTCATTATTTGTGAAACTTTTGCAGAATTGCTGTATTATAAAATTTCCGTATTGTATCATACACTATTGTCTTGTGTTGTTTATTAGCCTACAGCTGTGTATCACACCATCTGTTCCTTACTGTATCATTCAATATCATGTGCTTTCATATTCAAATGTATAATATGGATTTGTTTTCTACTGTATCTTTATGTGCTGTTTTGTGCAGTACCATAGATTATAGTGTCGTATCATATCCTTATTAAAGTAGTACTGTAATGTATCATTTTGTACTCAATCGTACCTCATCCTATTATATTAGAGTATCATATTCTGGGTCACTCTGCAGTTACCACAGCTGTTTCGAATGGTTAGTTAAATCCAGGTGTAATAAAATGTATAAGTGATGAAGTTTTTTCCTGTTTTTAGACTTTTTCTTGACTCAGCGACGATACATTCTGGAAAAGTACAACATTCAATACAGTTTAATGGCAATTTAATCAATTTCAATTTCACTTACAATGTTTCCTTTAGGTCCTGTTTGACCATCCATTCCAGTGACGCCCTGTAACAGAGGAGATGAAAACAACATTAAGTGGACACAAGGCCAGGGCAGAAGTGTGTAATACACTGAAAAAGTTTGTATTTCGGGTGAACTTTTAGCTTTCAAATCCCACTGTAAGCTCAAAACAAACTTGAAGAAAAAGCTGCCTTTGGACCAGACGTTGGCTCTTGGATCTGTACAGCATGAATTTAAGAGTTTGATTTATTGGATTTGGGATCTCTACATCTTGCACAGAGACATCAGCTCAAAATAAGCTTGGTGATTGATGTGCTCTGTCCATGTTAAATTAAATCAGTTGAAACAATATAAACATTAGGTTTAAGCTTTGCTCAGCTGCAGACATTACTCTGATATGCTGGAGTTAAACTCAATAACATATTCTGCTCTTTGTGTATGCTGTCTGAAACATATTGTGTTTGTATTTCCCTGTGGGTGTTGTGTGCGCTGTGTTTCGTTCTTGTTGCTTGAAAGATAGAATGAAATTGATTCTGCTGCGTAAACGGTGAATGTGATGAAAAAGTGTGGGTATGAAAAGTTGTGAGGAAGGGGTCTCACAGGGGGTCCAGGAGGTCCCTGAGGTCCTTTTGGTCCTAGCAAACCGCGTGGTCCCTGAGGGGGAGAAACAGAAAGGAAATGAGATTGAGAAAGATATCAAACCTGCGACAGAACTGATGAATAATTAAACATTTTCAGCTTTGTCAAGTTTCAAATGGTTCTTGCGGAGACAACCTGACTTCCTAAATGTCCTTGAGGATATTCTGCAGAGTCAGATTTGAGAGAAAAACTGAATCACCCTCTTTTTTATAATTTACTACACGTTAATTCCCTGCAGCTATGTCTATCAAACACTGCTTTGAATCTCTGTGCTCTGCCTTGCAGCTACAGTTACCCTGAAAAGGCAAATCGCCCCGGCTGTGTGAATTCAAACCTATTTAGCACACCCTGGTGGACAAAAAAAGTCACAACAGCGGATATCAAGGGCTCTTTGCTTGCTCTGTGGGGAATATCCTACATGGGAGAAAGGGAGGCTATTATAACAAGCTTGATGTGAGCTGCCTGCAATCCGCACCTCCAAAGCCTCTCTTGTACTGATGAAGCACCAGCATAATAATCACACACTTTCCAGCAGCAGTAGGCTAGAAAAATCTCCATTTATATGAACATGTACAGATGATACATGATCTCATAAGACTGCATGATTGTTGGCTATCAAAATGACACGCTCTATCATACAATCTCTCAGTGAAAGGGCCGGAAAGCAACACATGCGATCACTCACTGGTTCACCAGGAAGTCCCCTGGGTCCGATCTCTCCATCATCTCCCTGGGAAAGAGAGAGAGAAAGAACGGGTCAGGATGTGGAACAGGCTGTGAATGTTAATGGAGGCGGAGGAAAAGTGAGAATGTGTGTGTGTGTGTGTGTGTGTGTGTGTGTGTGTGTGTGTGTGTGTGTGTGTGTGTGTGTGTGTGTGTGTGTGTGTGTGTGTGTGTGTGTGCGTGGATTGAGAAATAATGGGGAGGCACAAAGAACAAAAAAAAAAAAAGGAAAAGGCGAAGAGGGAATCAAGTTGCGTCAGCGGCGGGTAATGAGGGTGAGGAGGGAGATTAGAAGGCGATAAAGGTGCCAGAGATCAGAAATATAGAGAAGATTGAGTTAGAGGAGGTGGAAAGGATGAGAGTGGATGGCAATTTATGGGTGGAAGTTTGGTGGAGGGTAAAGTTGGCAGATCAGAGGATGGGCAGGGTTTTGAATATCAAAACATATCCTATTGTATCATATATCATCCAATCCTATCATATCTTATCATATTATATGGTATCCTATCTTTTACTATCTTATCATGTCACGTCGTAACTATTTTATTAGGCTGTATTGTGAGTTTCCAAATGATTATATTATTCAAACAGTTAATTCGACCAAAATAAAAGTTTTAAGATCAGTCACTGCAGAATTGCTTCATTGTGCTTAGTTCATATATTTTAGGCATGTATATTAGATTAGTAGCATTACAGTAGCATTAAATCATATCCTACTCTACAATACCCTATCATTTGGAGTAGTAATCTGCCCGATTATATTGTACTTTATTGTACAGTACAGTGACATACCATCTAATTTAAAGATGGGCATATGAAAAAGTAGCTTTCATATCTTGCATATTACTGGTTGCTGCAGAATCAGTATATTGTTATATTATAATTGAATGGTATCATATCCTACCAGTTTGTATCCAGTTGTATCATCTCGTTTAGTATTGTATCGGTGAGGGAAATTAGGAGCAAGCCAAATGTCAAAGAGAGGTAATGAAATTGTCTGTTTTTTAATTTACCCTTTCTCCATCCTCTCCAGTTGCACCAGGAGGTCCACTTGGTCCGGGTTCACCCTACAACAACAGACATGTAGATTTAACATCAGCACACACAAACAGACAGATCCAAACACTTATTCTGGCACCGAAAAGACGACTTACTCTGTGTCCTTTTTCACCAGGAAGACCAGCCAGACCATCAAACCCTCGGTCTCCCTGTGGAGCAGAGGAATAATAAAAAAAACGGAGTCACATACCTCCACTTGCAGGCTTCAAGAAACACTTTGAAAGTGCATGATGATGAAATATGGTGCATTGAAGCGCATCATGAAATATGATAGATGAGCTACCTTAGGTCCGGACTGCCCTGGCATGCCCCTGGCACCGTCGGCTCCAGAACGACCCTGTAAAAATAACAACAGTTATGCAACATGTCTGCACACACTATCAGCACAAATGACACAACGAAGAGCTGAATATTCTGTGTTTTTTCAGCACTCCTAGGTATATAAAAACATACCCTTCTGCCAGGCTTTCCTGAGGGTCCAGGTGATCCAAGAGGTCCTCGTGGTCCCTAAATAGAAAGAAAAAGTTTTACTTGAGTTTGGATTGAAATGTTCTGTTGTTTTCTTTGTAATCCCATTTTAAAAAAAACAAGAGTAATAAAGAAAAAAGTTGCCTTCAAGAGTGACAAATGTAAAGCTCTTCTTGTTTAGGTAAAAGTCAAATTTGCATTTTTATACCCCATACCTGAGGACCTGCCTCTCCAGACTCTCCCTTCAGTCCCGCCACACCAGGAGGACCCTGAGGAGGAATAAAGTTCAGGATTAGATTCGACTCCAGACTGATGCAAGTTTTCAACTCGGTTACAAACTTCTGTGTATTTATTTTTGTAAACAGCCCACGATAATAACTCCTGATCAAATTTGTAAACTTGAAACTTTTATTGATTTTGAGTTTGTGAATGCCGTGAGATGGATTTGTAATACACACCAGAGGGCCGGGTCTGCCTGTCAAACCCATTGGACCTGTTGAGCCGCGCATCGCCAGCTGGAGAGAAGAGATCAGCAAAAAGGGTAAAGAGTGAAGAAGTTGTACATTTTAGTTATTTATGATCCGACTTTGCAGTGAGTGTGTTTGTGTCAGTTCATTTGTTTTCTGAGTATTTGCGCACTTATGTATTATGCATTGAGAGCAGCTTGTAGGCTGATAAAATAAAACAGTGAGAGATGAAGTATATAATAAACAAGAAAACGTGAAGTATTAAAGAGTAATGTCAAGTAGAATAAATGTTTGGTCACATAAGGGAAGATGAAAATAAAACATGGACTATGTAAGTTTAAGAAAGGAGGAAATACTGATGTTGTTAATTCCTATATCTGAAGAGAAAAAAGGAAGAAAACACAAAAAGTAAAAGTGAAAAAAGAAACAGGAGACAAAAATTACGAGATGATAAACAAACAATAGTTTAAAAAAGACAGAAATAAATGTAAAAACAACTTCAAATGAGGTAAAAAGAAGAGAAACAAAAGCTGTGTTTTGGTTCAATAAATAAAAAGAAATAAAATTAAAGAATTAATCATGAGAAAACTATAGTAAAAAGAAGGAAAAAAAGCAAAGCCATAAAAAAACTTCACATTTGGAGGCAAACAGGACTCTAAAGTCATGATTTAAAGATGAAAAAAAGAAGAATAAAAATAAAATAAATAAAAACAAAAAAAGATGTCAAAAAACAAAAGTATGAAAGTGAGGCAAACAAGACAAAAACAGGAAATATAGATGTCAAACTGGAAAAATAAAATAGTCAAGTCATAGGATAAGAACAGATAAAAAAAGGAAAAGAAGGAATTAATCAAGTAAAAACTACTAAGAACAAAAAAAAATAGAAAAAAATGCAGCAACACATAAAAACAACAAAAACTTACATATGAATTGGAAAACATATATATAACTTATAAATGAAAAAATTAATATGAAAAACAAAAAGGGTCAAGAAAGATGAAAGAAAGAAAAAATACAATGTGATAGAAAAAGAAAAAAATCAAAAAGGGTTAAAAAAGGTGAAGTTTTATGTTCATTGATTCCTGATCGTACAGAGCGAACAGTCTCGTTCAGTTGGGTGTGTTTGTGTGCTGTACTCTTACCCTGGCCTGCTGCATGATGGCCTGCATCTGAGCCTCCTGTGCTGATACAGCAGGTCCCTTCTGTCCTGAGTCACCTCCAGAGCTCATTCTGAACTGTGGAGGGAATCGTACATCCATGAGACATTCTCCTTCAGGAAAGATTTAACCACCACTAAACACAAAATCTCACTGTGAAATAAAGATTTTAGTTTTAATACTGACAACAAAACCCCAGAGTGTCTTTGGATTATTTTGATGTGACGTCCTTATCTCGAAACTTTGCAACAGATGTTAAACTTAGCACCAGCTCCCGGCTGCCAAAAGGCTTCATCTGCAGGCCCATAGCTTCTCATTCTACTGACATCTGGTGGTGAAAAGCCTGAATTGCATCATATTTTAATATCCAAGCTTGTGGTGCAACACATTTAGATCAGGCCAGGCATCTTGGGTTGGGTTACGCAGCACACACAGCCCTCGAGAGACCGACTGTCGGTGGGTTTACAGATGCTGAGCAGTGCGGCGGTGAAATACAGCGCCGGATTTCATCACAGAAATGTTGTTACCAAGAAGCACAAATACAAACACAGATTTAGAACATCAGGGTTGAGTCAGAAGACTGCGGTGCAGAGTCTGAAGAATCCCACGGTTTTTTACTCTCTGTCTAAGTTTGATTAAATATTGGCCCTTCCCTTCCCTATCTTAGTCATCATCAAATATATGCAGCTATTCCTTTTTTCTGCCTGCCAATCTGTGAGCCAACCAGTCTGTCTTCTCCTCCTTCCTTCTGCATCCTTTCTGCACTTTTATCATTCCTCTTCTACTGACATTTCCATGCATTCGCTGCTTAACCTGAACAAAATGTTCCCCCACATTAAACTGTTGACTGGCAAAGCTGAAGAAAGCAAAAAAAAAAGCACGCTGATTGGAACTGCTTTGTCAACAGAAAATAAAATGAAGACGCATCGCCAGTTGATGAATATAAGTGGAGCGTTTAAGGAAAAGCACAGAGCAAAGATTTGTCATTTTGAGAGTCCAAGAGCTGGCTGGTGAAAGAAGGGGTGAAACAACAATGCATGTTTCTCATTAGCTGCGGAGCTCAGGCATCGGATTACAAGTCGTGCTTTCTGCCAGTGGATACAGCAGAGAGACTGGAGTTCCTGTCCAGACGGAGCCTGACACATGGCTCACCCAGACGGCTCTGCGGACCCCCGAAACCACAGCCTCACATCTGCGCAACTAATCAGCTCCAACAGCAGTGGCAGTTTGGTACATTTTCCAAGTTCAACTAAAACAAAGTCAAAAAAACATAGACGGTGGAGGCAGCCGTCTACATTGCAGGCGAATCATTGGAGGAACGTTTATGCTTTTCCTCCCGTCTGAAGTTAAAACGACTTCCTGGAAGGTTACGTGAGAACATAGCTGAAATCTTTTCAAGAGAGAATGTGGAATATGCTGAATTATATAGGCAGAGGAAGTTTTTAAGAATATAGATCTGAGCTACAGACTGAAATGAGAAATTAGTAACATGCCATAAGAGGGCACAACAGCACAGATTCACATACTGGAATTCAAGTATGGGATGTGTAGCTCACCCTGTCTGGATTCTAATTTGCATAACCACCCTCTCACCATTACCCATCCCACATATTAGCTCGCCACCAACTAAAGATGGAAATAAGTTTGCACCAAGTATCGATTGAGAGATGATTTAACTAATTGAAAGATTTACAAATAAAGCTACTATGGCAACTGTGTTCTCGTGAGCTTTTTTTTTAAAGTTGTTTTAAAAACACTGTTTTCTTCAATTTGTTTGATGCCCCTTTAATTTTTCTGCTCTCTGCACTGCTTTCTTACTCTCCCCCTCTTTTGTCATCCTCTGTTGATAAGTCAGCCCTTCACCAGTAATCTCAAGTTTTATTCGCTTCAGACTAATCGAAGAGAAACCACAAGCTGGAGTTGAACCTGGGCTGCCCACTATAAGCAAAACTTCCACATATGGAAATGTTGCCAAAGCCCCTGTCCTGTTGTGGTAACTGTGGGTCTGTTTTCTTCAATTTGGTTGATATCTCCCACATCTTATGCTACTTCCTTCACTGTGTTTTTCCTCTTGTTAGCTTTTCTCATCCTCTGTTGACAAGTCAGCCTCTCACCAATAATCAAAATTTTGTACTCTCCAATAAACTGAAAGTAACACCAGAAAATCCTTCACGCTAATGCTAACAGAAACCAACATTTTTGTCACATTGTCAACAGGAAGAGCATGAACTGGATCTGTGCCGTCCTCTGCATTGATTGATTTGATATGATTCGTGTGATTTCGCGATCATTGGTATTGCACTCGCTAATCAAAATTAATAACCATTGTTGGGGTGCTTTAACCAATCAGATTAGAGAGCTCGAAAATAAAACTACTGTATTCAACTTACAGGCAGCATCAGGACAGTTCCAGGGGGTCCTGGCAGACCATCAGCACCAGGAAGACCGGGACGACCCGGAGGACCCTAAGATGAAAAATAACACTTACATGAGTACACACATGCAGACAGAAATGAGCTTAATTTCTATTTTTTTCCAGCTTTAAGCATCATGTGTGAAGCATACTATACACACTCACCCTCTCGCCTACATCTCCAGGACTGCCTGGTGGGCCGGAAGAACCCGGGGGTCCTGGGAGACCCTATTTCGAGGAGGAAACATCTCATTTTACACACATCATACATACATGCATACACTCATGCATAATGCAGCACAAAGGAGCAGTCATGTTTGCTCTGCTTAAGTTCTCGCCTTTATCTCGCAAAGTGGTCACACATGGGAGAAAGGAATGCATGAGGCAATATGGGACAGCTTGTTGAGTTGTAAATCCTTTGTGTGAGGCGCTCTTTATTTGTCTATAGCTCAATGCTTGAATGGCTCGCCTCTGTGGGACTCCATCTGCAGGGTGTCAAGAGCAACTGTGTCTGAAAAATCGTCCTAGATAAATAATTAAGTTCCCCAACATCTGGGCGAGTCCATATCTCTTCAGGGGGACTGTTTTTGGACACTCCCTTTGCATGAGGAAACAGGCAGAGAGGGAATTTTCTTTCTTTTTTCTCATATCCAATATGTGAAGAAGAAACTGACTGCAAGAGCGGAGGTTATAAAATTTTATCACTTCTTATCGTTTCACAAAGAATCATGCAACTCGTCATAAAGAGAAAAAGACAAACAAAAAGAAAGAAAGAAGACACATAATTTAAGACAGATTGACTTACTGTTGGCCCCTCAGGCCCAGGCGGACCCTCCACCAGCATTCCCTGAAACACACAAACACAGGCATCATTAAATCCCACATTAACCACCTTAGGACTTCATTCATAGATACCTAAGAACCTAATGTACTCGCTGGCCCGCTAATAGAGTAATTTGATCAAAGTAGATAAGCGTACATGCCCCGACAAACGCAGATCAGCTTTCCATCCCAATGTTGGCTTACTTAATGTACATTCCAGCTTGTCATTTCAGTCGGAGTGAATTCACAGAGACCACAAAGGCTAGAGACACCCGGAGGTGCTTCATCTTTCCTAACTTAGCTGCAGGAGGCACTTCTCAAACTAAACTAATAATCGATTTGTTCACACTAGGGAACCACGTCTTTGATCGTGCATTTGTAGTGAATAAAGGTGCAATACGTAGAATTTAGCAGCATTTGGCAAAATGGACCTAGTAGAAATGGATAAGCTCTTTGCTTCATTCTGTTCCTTCTCAAACTGTTTTTTTGACATACATATGTTGTGTAAATTTATTTTTGACATGTACAGTTGTTTGGTGTACATATGTATTATTTTGTTTGGTGTTTTTGTTTCTAGTTGGGTTTCTTTGCTGTTCTTAAAGTTTGAGATGAATACAGAAGAAAGAAAGAAAGAAAGAAAGAAAGAAAGAAAGAAAGAAAGAAAGAAAGAAAGAAAGAAAGAAAGAAAGAAAGATGATAAGTAGGTGTCATTAAGTGTTTAACTACCTTAATATTAAAGTTATGTTATTTTGAATTTAGAATCAGCCTCAATCGAAAAATACCAGTTTTTTTGAAAAGTGGGGAATTCACTATGTTAAAATGGACTTACGCAGTTTCACGTTCATGGGCGGATCCAAAGGGACAGTCAGGGGTGCCACCGGTCCCCTCTGACAGGCCACCCCAGAATCCAAAGTTTGACCAGTTGTTTGCTTTGTCAGATAGCTTTTTTTGTACTTTTTCATACTTTTTGGGGTTAATTCTGAAATTTTAGTAATCAGTTATACCCAAAAAGTACTCTATGGAATTACCTAAATTAGCAAATAATGCAGGAATGTAAGAAGTTATACATTTATGGAGGTAATCCTTTAACTTAATGAGCGTTTTTTATAAACTAGTTCAAAGTTTTAACTGCTAGAATTAGTTGCGCAACAAAAATTGAAGCCTTCATACATGAGGCGTCTGCTCGACTCGCTTAGCTAAAACGGCATCTCTGTTACCTTAATTTGTCACATTAGACATCTTTAAAGGGGTATGCCTTGATATTTTATAAAGTTAAAAACAGCTACAGGGGAATACAAACTTGTACAATGCTTTAATGCTAGTTCTCAAAGTACAAAGTATTAGTTAAAATAGAAAGAGTGAATAAATGCTTTCCTGTGTATACACACATACTTTAGGCCTCCCCTGCAGAAGTCAGTGCCTGGGCTGGACCACCCCTGTCAAAAAAGTCTGAATCCGGCCCTGGTTTTGATACCCTGGCTACAGAATTGGACTCTGAAAAATCTCACACTGGTGTATTTCTTAGCTTTCTTTGTTTCTTCTTCAGTGTCTGGTCTCTTTTTTCCCAGATAATAGTGCTTTTCAAGCCTTTGGGAGCTGGCTTGTTATATGCAGTCTATATATTTCACAAGAGTATTTCTTACATTTACTGCACAGACAAAAGGAGTTCACTTCATAGCGCTCTCACAGAGGCATTGTTGCAGCTCTGCGGCTGCAGAGATATTGCTTTGTTTGTTTGCTCTTGTGGTGACATTTTGGTTTCCTGCTTTGTTACGAGGACTGGAACCCACTCTTTACCCAAGCTTATTTAAAAAATGTGATTTCAGCTCTTTTCCCATTCATCCCCAAGCTGCACTCATTGAGCATTTTTACCTACGAAGGCTGTAAATGATCTTTAAAACTCCCTGGGTGTTAGTGTGTGAAAAGAGCAAAAAGAGGAGGAGGGGGGAGAGGTGTTAATGTTTGTGAGTCTGTCTGCTTTTTGCACGTTTACAAGAGACACTGAGTGGTGATGTGGACTCTTTGAACATGCTTATGCACACATGAGATACAAGGGTGTCTTAGGAGGCTGACACACTCAGTCATGGAGGCTTGAATGGCGAGTGGAGATCAGTGACATCTTGTTTGAAGTGAAGCAGCTGTAGCTGAATCAGAGATATCAAGCCTGCATGTGTGTGGTTTGAGAAGGTGTATTTCTTCTTTTTACTATGTTACCTGTATTCAGGTTTGGATCTTTTCCACCTGTTACCGTCTATGAAAGCTTTACTTTTTGGAAGAGAGGGGGGAAATCGTCTTTATTGCTCGCTTCTGTCAATCCTTTCATTCTTCCTGTGTTTACACACTACCCACACTCTGTTTAGGGATTATTGACCATCCCTGCATGGCTGTTCTCCAAATGTTTATTCTGCCGTCCTGATGACCAGACGATGAAGAGTCTTGAAGGCCTTAAAGAGTGTTTGGATCTGGGATTTTCATTCAGGAGCGAGAGCTGGACTGTGTTTACACGTGGCTCATTCGTATGTACTCGCAAATCTAAACAACCGTGTGCGCGCAGAGCGGCCATGTGCACTCGCAGCCTACATCTGTTGCATTAGTATGTTGTTGAAATAGTGATACTCACAGGCTCAATAACAGCAGGCTCTCCCTTCTGTCCCTTCTCGCCGCGAGCGCCGTCGACCTAAACGCCAAATACACAGAGGCAAACACAATCAGACTGTCTCTTCTTCATCATCATCACACTCTCAAGTGTCTCCTTGCGGTGACTCTCACCTGTCCGTAGTACTCATCGGTCTCAGCAGGCAGAACTTTGTCCTCTTTGTCGGCATAATCCAGATCTCCATAGGCGTCGTAGATGTCCAAGTCGCTGTAGTCGGTGATGGGATCCTCCTTGAACACATCAAGATCGGTGTAGTCGCCCTCACCGTCTATACCCAAACCTGTTCCCGTGGCGATGGATCCTCCTGCACCGGTGCCGGCGCTGGCAGATCCGCCACCAGCAGAGGAGGATCCTCCCCTGGAGACAGAACCGCCTCCGACAGACACAGAACCGCCTCCGCCCCCAAGGGTGATGGTAGAACTGCTGCTGCTGCCGCCTCCTCCAGCTCCAATCTGGATGGTACTGCTGCTGCTGCTGCCTCCTCCACCACCGATGTGGACTGTGCTGCTGCTGCTACTGCTTCCGCCACCACCTGCTCCACCTCCACCGATGTGGACTGTGCTGCTGCTACCGCCGCCACCTCCACCAATGTGGACTGTGCTGCTACTGCTGCTGCCACCTCCGCCGATGTGGACTGTCTCCGTGCCATACTCATATCCATCGCCATAGTCATCGTAGCCTCCTAAAACCTAGAAAAAGACAGATATTTATATGGATTTACATTCTATTGAGCGTAGGGTTTACAGGATAGCAAGAGGACGGGGATGAAACCTCTTGATTGTGATACTTTATGGCCGTGATGTAAAAATCTGGTATCATGACAGCCCTAATTCACAGAAACGGTTGCTATGGTATTTCTTCGCTTTGTTAAACGGTTCTTGAAATAAACAGTGAAATTGGTGAAAGTGTTTCCAACACCTTAAATATTTCCCTACAGCAGACATGTTGGACCTCTTTGCACTTTGACGTATTTCATTTTAATCCATCATTATCTAGAGAAATTTCCACATCTGTCGGCATAGTATCGTACATCCATATTTCAGAGTAAGAAAACAGGCATTTTTTTTAGCTATGTTGGAAAACATTTCTTATCCTCCATATTTACATTCATCTTCAATTCATGCTGCCCTAATGTTGATTGGTGGATTAAAGATTCTGAGTGCAGGTAAGCCTGAATGGCATGTGAAGAATGGGGTTTGAAATGTAATTCAACAGTTAATCGATAAATCTGGTTGACATTCATCAACCAACTCTGACACTAAGTAAGAGAGGCTGTCTGTGTAATCAGTGTCAACCTACTGATGTCTTATTGCCGGTGAGGGTTATTGAACTTCCTCCTCCGCCGCTGGTGATGACCCTGTTGATTCCAGTCCCTGCATCCAACTTGATATCTCCCCCTACTCCCAGATCCAGGTCTCTTCCTGTGCCAGCGCCGGTGCTAGTGATGGTGATGCGTCTGGAGGTGTCGCCGTCGGGTGAGGCTGTGGACTCCTCGTAGTAGTTTTCATAATAGCCGTCATAGCTGTCGTAGGTGCCGGTCTCCTCTCCGTAGGCTTCTCCTCCACCCGCCGCCGTACCTGAAGAGCTTGACGATGAGCTGCTGGAGGAAGAGCCAGTGGAGGCGGATGTCACTTTGCCACCGGTGCCGCCGATTCCAGACAAAACTTCTTCAACTGTAGACACCACACGGCCTCCATCCGTCTCCTGAAAGGGAAGCGGGATATCATTTTTGTCTTTGTTGCGTGTGAAACCAAACAAGTGAACATGCATGAAAAGTCTGTGTGCCACGCTACCTTGAGTACTTTTGTGGTCGTCTCCGTTTCAGCATCATAAGATCTGCCATCAACGTCATCATAGTAAGGGTATTCGTAATAGTAGTTGTCCTCCCTGTTGGTCTAAAGGACAGAAACAAAACACAGACACTCAGCAGGGACAAAAAGTTATCAATGAATACTGCTCTGCTGCTGCTGCTGCTGCTACTGGGTCCAGCTGATAAATGTGCAACATGCCGACCATCGATCACAATCAGCAGAAGAATGCCTTCCACTTGGGGGACACCGCCTGTTGTATCTCCCAGTTACAACTTGTTACAACTAAATGACAAATAGCTTTTCCTCTTCTTTATTAATGAATTCATCTTAAGAGGAAAAAAAGGAAAAATAGGTCACATCAGTGTAAACCTATCAGGCACACTGACAGGCCCCAGGCGGAGGAAAAGGTCAAGAGGAAGAGCTTCCCGTCTATCTTTTCACACCTCTCTGACACTCCTTCACTTAACATGCATACATTGATTGGTATTCAGAGTGTACAGCGAGCGAGGGTGCAAAGATGCAGGCTTAGGCAGGCACCACATCATTCCTGAACATTATTAACTAACTGATAACTCCGTTCTTCCCCCACTCAGCACTTTCTTCTGGCAGAGCGCGGCTCTCTCGCTAAAGCCAAGAAGCTGTTTCCTAGCTCAGGATCCAAAGATCTGATTTGAAGTATTAGAGAAAATTATGGATTAAGGGAAATGTACTTCCTTCGGTGGGGTCAGCCATGAGAAAAATTATCTCGCCTCGTGTGACAGGAAATGTGACAGCCTTGACTTGGAGGGGGAAGCCTCAGGAAATATGGCTTCGAGGAGTAAAAATGTAAATTTGGTTTCAAGTTTATTGATTTAATTAGCATGGCGGAGATGAGGGAGATTTATGATCTTATCTTCTGGTCCCAAAACTGTCTTTCTGTCCATATAATAGTTATCAACTTTGATTCAAAGGTCTGGTTACTCACATATTCATCTGTGTTGGGGTCCTGGTTCTGAGGCTGGTCAGGTGATGGCACTTCACAATCCGGGCTATAGTGCTCACAGTAGTCATAGGCAGCACGATGGTCTGCTACAATCATTAGCTGCTGGATGTCTCCCTGAAAAGCAGAAGAAACAGGAGGTTATGAGACCGACTGGACGTGAGCCATAGTTGTAAATCAACAAACAAACAAACAGAGACGAAGATGGCTGTCCTTCTCACACTCTGTGACCTGATGGGGAAAAAATGACAGTATATAAACAAATAAAAGATGCGGGGGGAACAGCTGTGTGAGGCATTAGCACATGCAGAACAGGCAGTAGAGGAAAGTAGGTCAAGCCAGAGGGAAGTTGAGGATGACTAAAAGATGAAGAACTTTGTCCGCCGTCCAAAAGTGTCGTTTTAAATCATAGCTGCAAACAAGCGATGAAGAAAACTTGCAGCAAACAAGAGAACATGGAAGAACTGACTTCATCTAGCTGCGGACGATGACAAAACACACACAGATGAATTATTTGGAACGGGCTGCATACTGTAAACCCTGACCTCAATCTGCAACGGTGAAAAACGGATGGATCAACTTCCAAAAACATGAGCAGACCTGCACTCACAGATCGCTGACCTGAGCTGTTCGACATAAAGGAGTGTTTACATATACTTAGTCCACTTGACGGGGGATGGGGCAGAGAGAGAGAAAGAAAGAAAGGAAAGAGGAGACAGAGAAGAGCAGGAGAGAACAAGAGTGAGGAGGAAACGGCTCAGAAGGATCCCCGGGCTACACAGGGAGCAGGGTGTGTGCGTGTTTGCCACATGTTTTCAAGCTAGCATGCATATGGCGCTGAAAAGACTGTGTTGTATCTATTCAAACATGTTCATCCAAATGCGGTGTCGTCATCCCACATCAATCAAACACGATGTCAGTGAAGCCGAAACAAATATATTTTCAGGGAGGTATGACAATCATGAAGCGGCGCAGCTATGCGAACAAACCAGTAAGTGTTTTTAATTATGCGCAAAAAAAAAAAGAAAAAAAAAAGTCTTCCCAGCTTCAATTCTCCGTGGATTGCCCTCTTTACTGACAAACAGGAACGAATTGTGTTTGTGGTCTAACCATTGATAGCTCTACACTCCAACACACCACACAGAACGCCCCCTTCTCGAATCCTCCTTTAACAACACTTGCAAAACACCCCACAAGCTCGAGTCGTCTTGGCTGAGAATATCGGCCGGGTTTGTGGGGGATACAGGAAAACAAATCCCCAATACTTCCTCCGAGGCAGTAAACCTGGAATTGCCATTACAGATCTCCCAGGAAACTTTTAAACGGCTACCTCAGAGTCCTAACTTGCTATCAGTTTAAGTGTCTCTCTCTCTCTCTCCTCCTGGCAAGACTGCCTGTCGCAGCTGCTCCGAAAGAGGATGATGGGAATTCAATGTTTAAAATGAGGTCACGTTCAATAAGGAATAAGCCCGCTGCACAACAAAACAGCCCTAACATCTCGAGCTGTGCAACTGCTTCCCTATTCACATGCCATTCTCTGCTTATTCCTCCTCTTTTTTCCCACCACTCTCTTTTTCTGCATCTCCCAGAGCAACCGAGAGGAATGTCAGGGTAGATCCCGAGCCGCGAGAGGTGTGATCCTAATTGTGTCGAGATGAGATGATTAATCACACACCTAGGCGTTAATGAGAACATCCTCGCAGCGACTGACAGCAGAATGTGTTTAATGATGTGTGGCATGTACACACAGTGAAGAAAGAGTCGTGTGCATGCCTAGAAAGAAAAAAGTACGCTGCGAGGAGGATCTCTTTGAGGCTGGAAAAAAGCTGATGGCTGCATCTGATTGTGCTAAGTCTATAGCCGGAGGCATGTGAGAGAAAGGGAAAAAGGGATGAGAGGAAGACGAAGAAGAAGAATAAGCCAGAGAGGGAATGTGAAGCTGAGCTGAGCTGGACTTTGCGGCACAAATAGTTCTTGAAGGCAGAAGTTTTATTCAGTGTTAAAAATTCAACTCTATAAAAATGGAGGCCAGGAACACAGCTCTATATAAAACCAACAGCAGATGGAAAGAGAAGCTTGAAACAAATACTTTTCTCTAAAAGAGGCCGAGTAGAAACTTAGATTTAGGATTTAGTTGTTGAAGTCAAAGCAACAGAGTGTGAGACATGTAGTCCAGAAAGATCAACAAAACACTGAGGCCTAAATGTGCCGACTGATATCAGTTCTTTAAGGCCGATACAGATGACTGATTTTTGCATCGTCGGCAAAAATGAAAAAAAAAAAATATGTCAAGATTAGAATTGAAAAATTATAAACTAAAACTTTTAAATGCTGATAATCTGTCTACTTCTATTATTGGCCTACATTACCCAAGATGCAACTTTCAGTGTCATAGATGGTCAGGTTATCCACAAACAAACATCTTCTCTAAAAACGGGGACCTAAGATTAGGATCAACAGTAGAAGTGTCAAAAAGTTATCCTGCATTTCCCATAAAGCAACTTTTTAGAGTCGTCGTTCAGTAAATGATAACTTTTTTCAACAATTATCTGAATTTGTCAGGCCAACATGGAAGTGTCTCCACCTGCATACTCAAAAATGTGCAGAAGGGGGCCAATTAATTGGTTGAACCCATTGTAAGTCTATGAGATAGTTATCACACTTTTTCTTTATAACTTTTGGGAACTTTTTATTAGTTAGATTAAGCTCTCTATCTTTGGTTTTATATCCATACCCATGACGATAAAGCATTGAAAGCTTTGTTAGCATGTGTTGTCAACAAGTTCTTGCTCAGCGACCAACTATGGTGTAATGGCGTGTGCTGAATATGGTTAATTTCAGCCATCCACTGTATACAGCAACGAACAGATCACCGCCTATCTCATGTGAAGCCATAACTTCAAGAGCTCCCTCTGGTGGCTAGCTGTAGCATTGGTCCTCCATGTTAACAGATGGAACACGTGTGAACAGCGCTCTCATTTACTTCTCATTCTCCAGTGCCTTTCTCTCCATTTTCTCCCTACAGGGGCAGTCTACAAACTGGGGGCAACAGGTTTCCCATCCACATCCCTTTCTCCAGTTTGTTTTTCTCTCTTTTTTTAACTGACACAATAAGACACGTGTGAAAGCCTCAGGGATCACTGGCATTTAATTGGTAAGTAAAATGCACGTCTCCGGAGGCGCTCAGAGTAGAACCACTGCTCCTTTACGTCGAGAGGAGTCAGCTGGCTTGGCTATCTGGTTAGGGTGCCTTCTGGACGCCTCCCGTTAGAGGTGTTCTGGACATGTCCCACCAGTAGGAGACCTCGTAGCCAGCCCAGGACCAGGTGGAGGGATTATATCTCTCACCTGGCCTGGGAGCGCTTGGGAGCTGGTGGAAGTGGCTGGGGTGAGGGCCGTCTGGGCTCCCCTCCTGAAGCTGTTGCCCCGCAACCCGGACCCAGATAAGAGGAAGAAAACGATGAAGACGACGACGGAGCACATTAATGATATCATAAAATATGATAACCATGAGCCTTTAGAGCAGAAATCCACCAACTAATGGATGCCTTTAGCAAAACTAACATTGCTTTGTTGCATTCAGTGGATTATTTGTATTGACCGTTTATTCACAGATGGCCTTTCTAACGGATGAATGAATTAAAAGTCTGCTATACTGGCTCTGCTGCAGGTGTGAGGAAAGTAAATTATATGAGAATCAAATTTCTTTTTCCAAACCGGATCATGGTAAAAAAAAAAAACCTCAACCTGCAAGGAGTCATTTAAAAATGTTTATTTCCTTTCCAACCTTCATCCGCACACATAAACATACAGCCATGACATACCACACACCTACACAGAGAAGCTATTGTCAAAGTCTTGATCCACCGTGACAACCACTAAAGCTGGTTCTGATTTCCTTTCTTTGAGCCAGAGCTGCTCTTTTTTCACCACACATCACTTCACGAGCTGAGGTGCCAAACACTGAGATTATATAAACCACTGCTACAGATGTAAGGAAGCACTAAATATTCCTTTACTGTACTCCAGCTGTATGCTAATGCCAAATTTCTCATTTAGTATTCTGGCGCTGGATGGTGCACTCAGTCCTGCAGCGCACTAATGCATGAGATATTTTCTCCATTACTGTATACAGAGGCTACTTCTTTATACTCTGATGGCCTGAAACTGCTCTCAAACTACAGCTTGTGCAAAGTCAGGGATTCAGGATTCGATAAAAGTGATCGGTTAACCAAAGACTTCAAAAGAACAGGAATTTAAAGCTCCTCCCTCACCGCAGAATCGAGGGAGGCAAGCATGAAAAAGTGCCGCATGCAGAATGATTACCATACAGCAACACGTGCAAACTGGAACACCAAATCCCACACCCCAAAAAAAGCACACCGTTGGGAAAAAAATCCCTGAAATTATACAATCACACCCAATCGCCGCAGGGAACCCTAAAAGACATGCAATCATCTTTCCTTTTCAGGAGGGGATGGTGACATTTTTCACTCTGGAGCATCATGTGGCATATCAGAGTGGTGCTTAAGGGAGAGTTTTCAGACAATAACAGGGCTGCTGCTGTCAGCATCTCCCTTGCCTGGGCTGAAATACGACCCTTCTGCTGGCCAACGCTCGCCTCGTGTCGAACTCTGGTGGAGAGGAGTTGAAACTGTTGCCTGTGGCTGTGAGTAACGACCATGCACACTTCACATACTTCATGTTGAATGCTCGCATTAATCCACGGCTGTTTACATGCTGCAGCCTGCATCTAGATGTATGAACAGCACTCAGAAATCCTTCAATTCCTCCTGTGTTTAAATGTGAAATCAACTTTCTGGCTTCAAATCCAGGACCTCACCCTTTTAATCCCCCCTACACTCACAGTTATCCCTGATGGATGTTCTGGAAGTGTCCAGGTGGGGGCAGGAGAGTGCTCCAAAGAGCATGGAGCCAAACTCTGTCTCCATCTGAACCTGACCCACAATCACGCTGGGTGGACTGAGTTCATTGTGTTCCCCCTTCTGAATAAAAAGATTTCATGCATGGAAAAGGGGAGGAATATCAGTGTGTTTCCAAAGAATCAAAACTCTGCAGATGTCTCTCAAATGTAAGGAGGGTTTTTGCTGAAACATAACTGCATGGATCCATGTTTTTTTTCACACTCTTTCGCATGCACATGCACTCAAAGTACGACGAGACACGAGCCGACAAAGGGTTATTCCGAGAGAGAGAGAGAGAGAGGTCTCAGAGTGATGTCAGTTTAGGGGGGTCGGGCTCAGCGTCGCATGAAATTTGCACTTTCTTGGCTTAGAGCACCAAAGCATGAAATAAACAGCAGAAACCAACTCCTGCTCCTCCTGTAAGTCCACTGGGACACCTGATAACGACTTTGTTTGCATTTAACGCCCCGCCGAAAGCTTAAGGGGGGCAGCTTTAAAGAGAAAAACTCCACTTTCTCATCACTTTTCTGGTCATATTTCAGCACAGGAAAATTGGGCAGGAGGGCCCCCTCAGAGCAGGATAAGACTCTGGGAGGTCCGAGCTCTGGCTGCGTTTAAAGGGGGCGAGCTACTTTCACAACATATTTACACAGTCACCCCTGAGCTCGGAGCCAGCCAGGACCTGGTCCCACTGCCAGCCCACACTGACACACTCCCAGCCTCAGAGCCTGGGCAACCTCCAATCTGACCACGAAAACCAAACAACACACTGCGGAGGTCAGCTTTGCCACACAGGGGCAATAAATCAGCACAAAAACACGCATGGACGTGAAAACCAAAGACATGCATGCTGTCTGCACGATATGAACATGCACTTAACATGTTAAGGAACACTTTTGGAAATGCATTCAGCTGAATTCAACTCCACTTTCACCAGACCTAGAGTAAATTTTCACCCTCAGACGCTTTCCCCTCCAGACTGTAGCTAAATCCCATCATTCAGATCAGCTGCCAAGAGCAACAGGACCGTCTGCCACCCTACTTATCCTCTGCACAGCACCTTCCCTCACCTCTTCCTCATTGTCCTGTTTTTGGATCCAGTCTTTGCCCCCCCCATCTTCTCCAATTCTCTCCTACCCATCCCCCATCACACTCCCTCCTGTATACGATTTTAATTCAACGTCTCTGAGGACTCCTGGCAGCCATATTCCCATTACCCTTTCATTCAAGGGGGGGAATGGAAACCAGAGCGTCTCCTCAGGTCTAACAGACGTAGACTCTTAGTGTTTGGTTTGGCCATTTGGTGAATTTTACGTTACCCAGAAAGTGCTGAGGGCACACTTTAGGACGTGCTGACACAGTGAAGGAATAACAGAAGGAATAAGGAGGCGAAAGACAAACATCTGACATGGGTTGGGGAAATTCTCTTCATTATCCATGTTGGAAACTCCATCTTCTCTAAAGTGACTGAAGTCTATATCCCTTTCCTTAGTCTGGATGTATGTATGTAGTATGCTTTGACAGTCAAGCATGACATTTTAAGTTTGGCAAGATCCACCACAGCAGACGCATGCTAAGGATTAGGATTGAAACTATCCTCTTTCTAAGGCACAATAAAAGACATACACAGCTACATTTTCACACAGCCACAAGTTTTCTTCTTCAAATCTGCTTTAACCTATTATCAGGATGACTAATGCTCCCAAAATGGATGTACCAAGATGGATTAATGTATCCAGCTGGGACAGATTGCAGTTCACACATCGAGCCAGAATGCCTCTCAAATTAATCTCGAATGCATCCCGTCCCTACGGACTCGACTTTATCTGTGGGAAAACTGTAGTTCCACAAAAAAAAAAAAAAAAAACACATTTGCTCTTGATTTTACAGCACAATGAGCTCAGCGGCAAGCTTATTGGATTCACTGAAAACCAATGCAATCCTTAAGGCAGTCTTGTAATTCTCCAAACAGTTTAAAGAGGTGTTGATTAAACTTTATGGTACTTCTGTAGCCTGCACTCCAAATGAATGCTAATGAAAATGTAAGAGGATGTCGACTAAAAGAAACACCTCTTACAATAGACTCATTAACCCGACTGACATCTAGACCACTTAAGTACCTGACTCTGTTTCTCCATGGTGACCCCATTCCTCTGTATCTAATTTTACTGTGTTTGGGTGGCTGTAAGTGTCTTTTAATGACTCATTTGTGTTCACACTGATGAATAGGTTTAAAATAATCCACCTTATTGATCTTAAACAATGAGAAACTCCTTAAAAAACTTTACTTAAACCACTCAATGCAATTGCTTTTTGGATACAGCCCCATTTCTACCCCTCTTCAGTCACAATGACCCAAGAGGGGTATCTTATTTCCAAGAGGATCCTCAAGAGAAGCTATTATCTTTCCATTTAATTTAGGCTTTTTACTGATTTTGGTACTTTTTCTACAATAAAAATGAAAGAATATAACTCTAAGTTTCCCACTCTTGAACTTAATGATTGAAAGTCTTGACCTTTTGAGTGTTATTAGACCCCAGTCAAAACCTGGAATAATTTGTAATATCAATATTAGTTCTCCCTCAGACCCTGAGCCAAAATGGATTAAAGTAGATTCTGATTTTGGAACGCTCATGTGGAACATGTTCTGAACTTTACTGCAGTTCAAAACAGAGTTGAAGGAAAATAACAGTACACCAGAGAACCCCAATTACTCATGATAACCTATCTTATTTCTCTCTTGACTGATTCCTCACACTTTAAATTTTCAATTAAAAAGGGCTCTGGCGAAGATTGTATGGGAACTTTTAGGGGGGTGTTCTTTGCCTTGTGGTTCTCAAACATGGAGTTTAAAGCAACCAATTTATAGCCTATCTAACATCATAACCCATCATGTTCCATAACATAGTATAACAAGCTATCATATCATATCATATCATATCATACAATAACGTATCATATCTTATCACAAGGCATCGTAAACCTATTCATATCATATCGTATCTTATCATATTGTATTGTATCGTATCATATCCTGTCATATCACATTGTATCTTATCATATCGTAGTGTATCGTATCATCTTATCCCATTGCGTCATATCATACCATATCATATTGTGTCATGTAGTGTCATATCGTATCGTATCATATCATATCATATGTTATCATATTTTATTAAATCATATCATATAGTATTGTATCGTATCGTGTCATATGAAATTGCAGGTATAATAATGTATTGATCGTATGGTAGCATATCATTTTATATCAAAATGTACAATACCGTGTTGTATTGTATCATTCCACATTATATTGTATTGTAGTGTAACGCATCATATCATATCGTACTATATTGTGCTATGTCAGATGATAGCATATTAGATTGTATCATAATGCATCATACTGTATTGTCCTGTACGGTAGTGCATCAAATTGTGTTATATTGTATTGTTCTGTTTCATACTAAGTCATATCATATCATATAGCATCCTTTTGATCATGCTGTCATATCGCATTGTATCGTATCCCTCCAAATAATATTGTTCTGTTGTATTGCATCATAACACATTGTATTGTATCGTACAGTATTGAACAGTATCATATTGTATTGTTTCATTTTTTCACATTGTATTAACATCAAAACTTATCCTAGATTACTGTATAAAGATGTTTACGGTGTACAGCAGAAAACCTTACAGTAAAGTTTCCTGTATAATTATATAGCTGGATTCTACTTTATCCACAGCACTTGTACACTCTCCTTTTCATTAGCTGTAAATCTGAAGCAGCACTGGGGATGAACAAATCCTAACCTTAGATTACTGAAACATATAACGATAAATTTGTGGGTGCCGAGTGAACATTAAGAAAACCCATGAGCAAAAGATGAGAAAACAGGATGTGTAAATCTCATCGTGCCATCACAACATTAAAGCTCTTAACGAGCATCAAGCTCATGTGCTGCATGTTTTTACTACTTTTTCCTGGCCCTGGTTGCAGCCTGGGGGCTCCCAAACCCGCCTCATCCAAAGACTTCTCCTCTTATCATAATGACTCCCACACTCATTCCATCCCTGAGCCTTTATTCACCTCCTCTTAACCTCATCTTTCCAAGCCCATCATTCTTTCTCACCTATGCTACTCAACTTATCACCCCCAACTCACACATACACAACCCCTGGACTTGTTCAGACCACCGGCCTATCAGCAGCTACCAAGGAAACCTCTGGATGATGTCATGTGGCGCAACCGCTGTTCCAAGACTGACATCAGAGGGGGGGGGAGAGAGCTCCTCATTCTTTCCAGAGTATGACCCAAAGTCTTGGCTGCTCAACCGTAAACCAACGGCTCCAGATTCTCCGCTCCTCCACACGCTCAACATCTTGTTTTCACAACACCCAGACTATTTCCAGTGTACTCTGCTCCTCTTACTCGAAACACGCCAAGTTAAACCATGTCTCTGACAAAAACTCGAGTCATTGCGATAACAGAATCAGTATTGGAAAAACCTCAGAAACTGCCTCAAATGAGATATTAAGTGAGTAAGGATGCAGGACCATCATCTGTTAGCCCTGGAAAAATAAACGTCAGTGTTAAATCTTCTTCTCTGCTTCAACAGTAGCTTTGAAAGCTGCACCATAGCTGTTCATCTTTAGTCTATATCAAGATGAGCCCTAAATGCTCCAGCTACAGTCAGATAGCAGCTAACAATAGCATTCAGCTGTGCATAGTAGACATGCAAGCTAGAACATTTAAAGGCATGGTTGAGGATTGAAGAGATCGGTAATTTTTATGAACCTCGTTTATATGGCGATCGTGGTCCTATAGTGCGATCTCCACAAAGTAAAGAGAAAAAAGAATGGAAAAATCTGTTCACCCTAGTAGGTGCAGGGCTGCAAAAACAGTGACCAATGGGAGCCATCCATCCCGGATGCGAATTTTTTTTTGTAGGACGGTAGGGGTAAGGAGGGGAAAGTCCCGCCTCCTTTGCCTCTGATTGGCTAGAAAAGTTGGAAACGTCATCACACGCTCAAGCCAAATGCGGGCTATCTGCTCTGTACATCGAACAGAACATTACGTAACATTATCGCACTTCCTTAAAGCGACAGACGATGACATTGTACAGCCATTAGGAATATACAATCGAAGCCCAGCACTTCTAGCCAATCAGAGGCGAAGGAGGGCGGGACCTTCCCCTACCATCCTACAAAAAGAAAATTCGCATTCCAGACAGCTCCTAGTGTTCAAACTCCTGCTCCGTCTCTCCATCCAATTCACCTTGCTATATTCGACACACCCCTCTCCTGTAGCTCCGACTCATCCCTCCCACTCTCCCGGCCTTCATTGGAGCTCTGAGCGGCTAAAAGTAGCGTAGCAGCCTAGCTACAGGAGCTGCGATGGAGAACAACACAAAAAGAAAGGGCAGAGACGAAGAAAAAATGTGACCAAGCGAGGAATCTAACTCGAATAAACAGTGGGTTATCCTTTGAGTGGTGGAGACAGCTCTGCCAGGATTTAGGCCTGAAAACAGATGCTGAGAAAGCAGAGTTTTTGTTGAACAGGTAATTTTTGCCTTTTATCATGGCACATGTTACATAAATAACTCTTATTCATCTCTGCAATGTCAATATGGTAGCTGTCCAGGCAGCTGAAGATGGTGCTCGCTAACAGAAGTGAAGCATTTACTGCCGCTAGCCACTAGCAATCCGACATGGTGAATCCTATTTGAGGCTAGTGTAGGATCTTCTGCCAGCCGGCTTCTTGCTCTGCCAGAGTGGGTGTGTCGTGGAGAGGGCAATACAGGTTTGGGGGGGGGGTTATCGTGGAGCACAGAGGGTAGAGGTTTGTGTGTGGGGGGTGGGACGCTTTTTCAAATCTGCCTCAACGGCTCAGTTTTTTTCAACTGCTTCTCAGATCGTCAACCATGCCTTTAATTACTTGTTAGCTACAGTCAGACAACATTTGCAGTCCACCAGTTAATCTACTATGTGACCAGTATGCAGGGCTACAGTTAGGAAGGTGTATGTATACAACTAATACATTTTTATAACCGCACTGGAACTAGACTGGAGCTCAACATAAGCAATTACTCAAGCTAAAGTACCACCTGGTGGGACGATGCTATGGGATAAGTTTCTTAAGAGTGCCCACATTATGGTGAGCTGCATTCATACTAGACAAGATAGCACTCAGCCTGCTTTCACTGCAACAATGGAGGCCAAACAAGAAGTGCTGTGTTTGCAAAGCTCCACCTAAAGTCCCCGGCGGATTACCTCTAAGGGAGGCCAGGCCGTCTGCCTGTCCTTTACATGTTCCCTGAGACCCACCGCAGCCATTTGTTTCACTGAACGCTACTTAGAACCGAGGGACGGGCATTAAATTATCTCTGGTTATTCTTGGCACACTCATGAGGCGGGAAACAACAGTGAAGGCGGAAGTGAGAGGATATGTTCTGCAGATGGACAAACTCATGTGGGCCTTTTCTACTTGACAACAGGGATTAAAATAACCTGGCATGCACACCCTGCAGATCAACAAGAAAAAGTCCTGAACTTGATGACTTTAATGACTGATTTTTAACATGAACATTACGGTCATTCTGATGCTGTAATAACTGTTTCAATGGCAACAAATGAGCACTGATTACCAGGTAAAGTACATTTCTTCCCTAGCATAATTTTCACCTTAATTACCTTCATACTCTTTACCAGCTCATTCTACAGTGCTGTTATTCAAACGACTATGAAAAAAAGCCACTTTGGCAGCTTTAGAGGGCAAAGACTCTCTTTTTGACCACAATAACCATGCTAGAAACCAAACCACAAACCACCTCAGCATACAGTAAGTGCCACTGGCCTCCTGACTGACGCATACACAGAAAAAAAGTTCCACTGAAGACGTTTACAGGCAGAGAAATTATGATTGCAATATGGAAGACGACTGGGGCAAGACATACAGGAAAAAGAGTTTTTATTGCATTACACTGTGTACTTAAACTTTCAGTATCAATACCAGACTTTGGAAGGAATGTATCAGCAGAGGAAATGTCTTTTTTTTTTTTTTGTATGACCTTGATACAGACAGATTTAATGGACTTAAAGACAGTTGAACAGAATTCTGGGATAAAGTCAAAATATTAATGAAAGCAGATGTTAATAAGTCCAAAGAACTCCGACTTTAAAATGCTGATTTATAATTAAATCAGTAAGAAGATCATACTGTCAAGTACTATATCAGGTTATACCATACACTATCACTGTATCATATCCTATTATATCTAGTTGCATAGTTTCATATTGTATCATATCATGACGTATCCTATCACGACATATTGTATCGTAACATATTGTTTTGTATTATAGCATATCATATTGTATTGTATCATGTTGTATTGTACAGTATTGTACCGTAACCCACCGAATATACCATAACGTATCATATCCTATAGTATTGTATCGTGTTGTATTAGATCGTAATCCACCACATTGTACCACACTGTTTCTGGCCCTTTAAATCCAATTGTATCGTATCATACACTATCTCACATCTTATCAGATCTCATTATGTTAGACCATATGGTATCATATCCATACATATAGCACATTGTCGCTTATAGTATCAGAAAGAGTCAGTAAAGTTCCCTATTTTGATTTATTTTTTCTGATACCCGGTTTTGAGTAAAGGTAAAGTTTACTTTTTAACTTTTTTAACTTTTTGTGAACATTTTAACCTTTATTTCTCTTGATTTAATTAATTAGAATAAGAACAGCATGTACCTTGTAGTCTTTGTAGCCAACAGTTGTTGGACTTTTCAACTCTTCCCAACTTTGATAGCCTCTTCTGTTGCAACAAACTCTCTCCAAGAACTTGTATACAGACTCCAAAGACATCTAACTCGAAGAAACCAAGTGATTCCTGTTGAAGCAGCTTTCTTTTAAAACAAAATTCAGAGAGCCTTTTCTCTTTTTGTTGCTTCTACATTCGACATGCTGTTTTCTCTGAAGAGAAACTGCAGGCTTTCTAAGTCAACTGAATTAATTGGCCTGTCAGTGACATCAAAAACATTTTTTCGTGTGTTTTTATGCTCAACACCTCTCTCTGGTAACTGACTCTGGCAAAAGTCAACACAGCATCAGTTTTACCTTCAGAGGGGGGGGAAAGGAGTACGAGTGGGAACAGAGAGCAGAGCCTAAGCACAATTTGGAAACTATGTGGCATATTTTCCATTTTCTGCACTCACTGGAGCCTATCCTGTCTCCCAACTGGCAGACACACAGCAGGAGGGCTTTTAACATCACTCACTAAATATCTGTCTGTTCCCACGGTAACAAGAGGTCATTACAGTGGTTCTGATAGCTGGTTGTGATTCATAGTGTTTCTTTCTTACCACTATCTGAAATTAGAGAGATTTTCATTGCTGATAAAAACATGATAAATAAAGAGAAATAAATTGTAGTTAACCACAATTAAACTATGACCTTGTCAAAATAACAGTATAATCAATCAAATTAGCATTAATTTGAATTAAATACCTGCAACAGGGTTTTGAATGGAAGTCAATGGTACAAAATGACTTTTGCTTCTTACGATGTAAACAGTATATACCTACTTAAAGTGAACATTCAACCAGGATGAGAGGAATTGTAGATGAATATTAATACAGTGGTAGGCCAATGTTCATCTAAATGATCCTGTGACAAAAAAACTTCCATTGAATCCCATCTCTTCTATCACCTTAATCAAACAGAAGGAATTTGTTGATGATAATATCTTTATTATTGAAAATTATCTAGTAGTTATCATTTTTAAATTGAGCCCCCTCAATGCAAACTTAAAACAAGTCAGCATCTGTAAATGGGTTTTGAATGGATGTCAATGGCAAAATTCGCAAATCTCAAAAAATGAGAATGGCTTTGAAGAGGAAATGAATAACACTTACATTTTATATATCTGTAATTGGATTTGAAAGGAAGTCAATGGTAAAAGATGACTTTTTGTTGCTAAGACACAGGAAACCTAATCTAAAATGGATTTTCATCTAGTTTGTTTTGATATTTAATATTTCAGCTGGTAAGGACTTGAGTGTATAGATAGCTGTAATAACTTCTTATTAAAACCACTGACTGGATATCCCGAGTTGATGCAGATAGATGACAAAATGGAAATATGCGTAATATTAACTAGAAGGTAAAAGGTAAAAGTTGATAAGCAGTAATTAAGTTACACTTAGCTCGATTAAGATATAATTTGATAACTACTGCATACACGGTGAACATATATATCGCACTGTTTGTCCTTTCTGAATAAGTAAACTCTGATTTTGATCGAGCACTTTTGATTGATGGTTTGGAAAAAGGGCAAAAAGTGACGTTTGATTTCAATACCTCATCACATATCTCTCTAATGGCTTTGCGGGTCGACTTTAGGGACGCTGATGTCATTTTTCAGTCTTTTTGTGTGTTCCCGTTGAGCAGCAGTGAGGTTAAAGGTCACCTGGCTCAGCATCAGTCACATCAGTCAGCCTCTGTTACTAATTATTATTGAGGGCCTCAGCCTCACAGACTAATCCCCCTTTAAACAAGCACAACTCTGACAGGACAAAGACAACACTATTCCTTGTGCCTCTCTGTGCGGTGTGTGTGCGTGTCCCTCAAAAGGGTCATGTTTAGGAGGCACAAATATCCACACAAAAGCCCATTTTGGGCACCAACCAGCCTACTTCTGACTCTTCACAGTGATTCGGGAAGAAACAGCAAGTATCCTATGATACAATGCACATCAGGTATCACCAAGTAGTGAAAAAAACCACCAAGGTTTTCCTGTAATTAGTCAGATTACCATCAATCTTTCATCTACAGCCACAAAGCTTTCATACATATGAGAAGAGGAGGAAGTAAGAAGCGAGCTCTTATTCTTATAATGAAAACCTGTCAGCACTTGATGAATAATCTATGTAAACCAAAATTTCTAAAAGAGAATCCAGACAGGAAACCACAAGGACAAATCCAACGTTTAGGCTTAAGCTATATTAGCCACAATGAGGCAAGCCTTAAGAATAGCAGAAAACAGATGCAGAATGAACAGCAAACAAATGCAGCGCAGTTGGAGAGCTGGAAACAAATTCAAGGCAATTTTGTTTTCTTATGTGGCAGATTTGGAAAACATGACGCGTGATATTCAATTTGATTTATGATTGTGTGCATGTGTATGCTTGGACAGTGGGGTCTGGGGGATCAGATGTTGTGGATGGAGAATGTGGTGGCTACCACTATCTCCATTTCATGCAATGAAGCTCAGTTTGGGGATGACCAACAATATGACCATACTGTAGTCAGAAAGGAGGATCTCATTGGATTTTTACCAAGATCCACTCAGTCAATCATAGCTGATCAATAGCACAAACTGGACAAAGTAAAAAGTGAAAATTAAAATAGCCCTAAATGGTGTAAAATGAATGAATAAAGAGAAAAACACAATCAGATAAGCAGTTAGGGTGTAATTCTTACCTCGAAGACTTCTTCATCAAGTATTCTAGTTCCAAACACTATAATTCCCTTGGTATCAATGATTGGGTTTGGGCTTCGAAGCAGCTTCTGTGTGGTCTTTTTTTTACAGTCCAGAATGAGGGTGATGGTTTGTTTGTGTACGCTGATGGCCACTCGATGCCATCTGTAAGAAAATAAAAGGGGTTGCTGTCAGTTTACTCAAAAATTTGGTTACATGCTACCAACTTTTACACAATATTTAAAACTTTTTTTCATTTTGGACCTCTTGTTCAAATTTAATTTAAACAAAATCTTTGTTTCTGGAGTGGAATACAATCACATTTGACTCTTTGAAATGCATTTTGATTGAACAAAATTGAGTGTAGTGTTCATCCAAGCAGGCCGTGACACTGTAGAAATGTCTGAATTTTAACAACGGCTTTGGGCTTTTTGAAATCATCTCTAGTGCTGCTATCAGTATGAGTGGAGGAGAGTGCTTTTATATTGGCGAGTAGCAACTTTTCATTTCGAATTTTCGGTTGAAGTCAACATTAGAAAAGGTAGAAGTAGTTTCTTGTTTGGTCAAAAGCCAACCCTTAAGGATTGGTTGATTCCTTAGATTGTCGGGGAAAGACATATTGCAATACACTGATGATCTGATTTTCTTAAAGAGCTCTAAAAACCATGACTGATTTCTTTAACCTGACCACATACATTTGGTTTCTAAATCCAAACAAACTCTGGCTTTTCAAGGATGTCCTTAATTCATTGAAGCTAACTTCTTACAAAGTTATAAAGCACACCCTGGCTGCATTGCATACATGATATTATATACTGTTGAAAGTAATGGGTTTAAGTTATGTGACTCTATTCAGTAGTTTGTGTCATTGACACCAAAACCACGATCCATCTCCTAACCCCAATCATGAAAAATTTTGGTCTGAACCTAACCAGACTGTGGCGTTTCCTGACCATACCACATGTAGCTGACTATTCTGCAACACGAAATTTCTCACATTAAGATTTCTTTTGAAAACCTAAGTGAAATTAAAATATTTCGTTTATCACCTAGACTCCTAGTTTTGAAAGTTTAAATGGACTTTGCATATGTAATGTGTAGGGTTGGGCATCGAGTCTCGAGCATCGATGGGAACCAGGAATAACATTCCGATTCTCCTGGAACTGTTCAAATTTTGGAATTACGATTCCAAGTTTTCGATTGCAAAATTCGTGGAGAAGTTCAGACATTTCATCCGAAAAGAATCCTGGTTAGCATATTTAAAACTTGCACTTTTTTATTCTGCCTTTTAAAAGAATCGGAATAAAGAATCGCAATGAGGAATCAGAACAAGGAGTCAGAATCAGAAGCGGAATCGTTGAAATTCAAACGATGCCTAACCGTTGTAATGTGTGAATTTTACCTATATTGATATCTGCAAGGCCGCCGTTTGAGTGTAGGGTCACTGACCAGGATGCAGTTGGTGAACAGATTTCTAAATATGGCAAATTAATACTAACTGGGTTGCCTGTCCTAAAAGACCCTATGGGCAAGATGGAGCTCAAGAAACTAAACCTTCCATCAAAGCCCAACACATCCATCTGGGCTATGATTACAGGGGGAGACACATAAACAAAAAGCAGTCTTAAAATGGCTTATACAAGTGCAATCAAAAAGATTAATTGCTACTACGGTGCACATACTTTCCGTCAGCCAGGTTGACTCCTCTGAAGAGAGGGTAGTCCTCGGGACTGGGTTTCCCTGTGTGGTCTTCATACAGGAACACTGGAGATCGGCCCACTTCCAATCCTAGCTGCTGGATGCCCTGTTCATTGTACACAGACAGCAGGAAGGACTGGCTGCCCTTCTTCGGCTTCACTGTAGCCATGATGGAAAAGTCCTCCGGGAACACATCACCTGCCAGGGCGGATGGTGGGTTGGACCGAGAGAGAGAAACAGTCAGTAGATTTAAGGCAGCGGTAACTATTCATCATCAAAAGGAGGAATTGTGTTTGGGTTCAGGATTTTGTAATCTTATTATTTTAGGAGATAGGATGTTCTCTTTGGAGTCTAGAGAATAAACTCGGTCGTTATTACTTCTAAAACAGTCAAAACTGATCGTTGAGATTGGAAGATTGGAGAAGATGGCCTTTAAGCACCAAAAAGAAACATTTGGAGTGTGTGGTTTGCCAAAAAGGTAAGCCGATAGGATCAATCTGATCAGATGGCTGGCAGGCTAGAGGCCAATAAGAGAGAGAAATACAAAGAAGTCTGAAGACCAAGTGCAACACAGAGAACTTCCAGTACTTCACAGGATGAGACACATAATGACTAAAGCAGGTGATCCTGAGAGAGTTTCTCGAGCTATCCTTCAAGTCCCTCTTCTCCACGTCATTTTTCCACAGCTGATTGATCTAACAGGCGCTGAGACGCTCCAGCAGAGATTGAAAAAGAGTTTAAAGGAGTAAAAAGTATTCAGAAGAAGTTACAGATACATGAGTGTGGAAATGGGGAGAACTTTTGGATTTTTAGACATCAAAAGTGAGGAAAGAGTGAAAATGACGTGTTTGCCTCCATCTGTATGCTTCTGCGAGCAGTCTCAACTATTTCCTCCATTTTGCTGCAGCATGAGGCACATCTGTCAGACAGATTCCCTTAGTGGGGTGTTCTCAGGACCCCAGAAAGAGGGCGGCCTTTTCCAGCCATCTGAGGAGACTGTTTTTGTGCTCTGATGTGGAGGTCAGACTACACTTGAGGCAAACAAAGCGCTCTGATCACTGAGGTTTGGGAAAAAAAGGAAACAAAGACTATCTGACTTTACAGAAACCACTATTGTTATGAGAAACCAGCTATCTGGATTAAGCTTAGTATAAGCAAAGAAAAACTTTGGGGTTCCAGTAGCAGATTTTTGGTGTTCAGGGAGTGCAGAGCAAAGATTTCCAGGCGACCGGAAAAGAGAGGCAGGGCTTGTGGCTGCAGTGGTTTTGTAGCACCTCGTGCAGCCATCAGAGCCCCCTTTCCTCTGCCACAATTTTCAGAATAATAGCTGGAAAATGCCAGAGTGGAGTGACTTTGGTTAAATCAGCCAATCAGGAGCGGTGAAGGAAAAGACGCCTCAACGAGAATGCGGAGTGGAAACCTGAGGTTAAGGGGAGAAAGTGGAAAAGACAAGACTAAAAACTCACTGGAATCACCTTAATCTACAAAGATAAATCAAAAATGATGAAAATAAAACTATTTCTTAAAGTTATTGCTCGACTGGAGTGATGATGGTGAAATAAAAGGAGGAAAAAAAGAGGAAAAGCTGTGATACAAAAAAGTCACTTGGCAGAGTCTAAAAACTTCCAGCATGGTCTAATACAAACTGATTCAAAGGTACATTTCTTTGCAAGTGAGTTTGAGTCATCATCGAATTGAATTTCAGGCATTAAATTTAAACATTTTGATGTCAAAAGATTGGCCTAGCAGTTAAAGTGAACGCCCCATCTACAGAGGCTACAGTCCTTGTTTTAGTGGTAGCTGGTTTGACCCCAAGCCATGTCTCTTTGCCAATTGCCTCCTCCCTCTTTTTGTTTGCAACTTTTTTTCTCTCTACAGCTAATAACAAAAGGCAAACATTAAAATAAACAGGCCAAAAAGCCTAATCATAGGTAGCAGGAATTTAACTTTGGATGGAAGTCAATGGTAAAAGTTGTCTTTCACAATCACACCCTTCATTGCCTTTTGTATCATATTTGATACATACTTTTATATACTTCTACCAAATCAATATGATCAACAAATTACTAAAAAAAACACCTGAATACAGTCGAATAAATGATTAAAAAAAATGTCCTCTTGTAGTTTATCAGTTTTCAAAAACATCTAAGGTATCAAACGAGATGAATAAATATATTTGTAAATTTTAAGGACATTTTAATTTTTTTGGTTTTCAGTGGTAAGTTAAATAAATATTTCAGCTAAGCCGATAAGGATCAGGCATTAAAGGGTTAACTCCTGAAAATTTTTTAAAATTTGCCTAAAACTTTCAAAATTAGATGCATGTGTGAACACAAGCAGCTTTTTTTTTTTAACCTGATTTTACCTCAATTTTTACTGCTGGCCCAGTGTTGAAATCCCCCCCCCCCAAAAGTTGTAGCGAGCTGACAACTACCCTCTTCTGCTTATCTGCTCACTAGCATGATCTTTTCCTCTCAATCACTTGTAATCTGAATACTAAAAATCTCCTTAAGTGGGGGACATGTGTGAACGGGCACCTTTGGAAAAAATTAAGGTGTGAGCTGTCCTGAAATTTTGAAGTAATTTTTAGTAGATTTGGAGATCTGGGGTCAAAAGAGATGATGTAAAAGGAAAATTAAATAAAAAAATAAAGTAGATAAGAAGCTCCTGAACCAAATTCCACACTGACCCTCGTTTTAATTGAGAGACTTCCACCCAGCCTTCATCTGTGTGTCTGTTTGCCTTCCTCCCTTGTCTTCCTGCCTTTTTCTATGATTCCTTCATTAATGCCAGGTTTCGGATCACATCATGCGGAGAGCACATGCCTTGGCAGCGTGCTCCCACAGGAATTCAGCTTGGCATCATATGAGAAGCATCGCTTTAATTGACAGATGCTTCGACAGGAAGGTGTGAGGGGGAAGGAAAAAAAGGGAGGAAAAAAAAATCAGACAAGCCTTCAAAAATCTTGTCTGGTGGAGTGTGGTGGTAGATGAACAAGAAATAAAGAGGGATGAATATTCTGCCGATCAAAAGAGCGTGATGATGGAGGGTTTGTTATAACTTCCTGTCGCAGAGACAATGACTCAGCGCTGGCTCAGGGAAAGCCGTTTGCGTGGAGGTCAAGGGTCAGCTGTGGGGTTTAAAGGAGGGTTAAAATGACTAATTTTGGGAATTTAAAGGCTTTTTCTAGAAGCAGAAAGAAACTGTCTCCGAATTTGAGTCGTATTCACATTGTGAGGGCTCTCAGTCTTGTGCAGGGTGTCCCAATGTTCCCTAACAAGGCGAAGTCTGAAATGCCTCAAGGGGACAAGTAAAGGAAGGGTAATGAAAGGAGAAAATTGAGGATACTTTCTCTTAAGGACTTTCAGGTAAAGTATGAGAAGGGGAGAAGCTCGGGTTTCTCTGGAATGTGTCTTTCAAACTGCGACTCCAGGCCACCAGATGAGAGATACTCCACTCCTCACGTGGGAATGGAAAGACTCGTGGTGCCAGAAGTCCTGGGAGTTTATTCAGGCAACCCCACAGCCATCAGAGGAAAAAAAAGGTCTGGGAGAAATCTCAAGCAGCCAATCAACCCAACAATTTCCTCAAGATTAAATAAGCAGCTACAGTCTTCTGTCATTTTGAAAAGTGTGATTCACAAGTTTCTGTGTGGGGACTAACTACAGCATAAGAGGCGATAGAAATCCTGTCTTCAATTTCCCCCAGTGTTTGACATCTGCACCTTCATTTTTAATCTTAAAGAGTCTGTAAGAAGAAGAATGCTGAAGAAGTCAGGGAGGGGCAGGAGTTATGCCAGCACTTTGGCACATCATCTTTCCATCTGTCAGTGTGCATACAAGCAGGTAAATGGGGTAGAAAGTCTTGTAATTGGTCATTCAGTCATCGCTGTGTCCAAATCCCCCCTTATGGATGAGGCAAGCGGCATTCCAGTGGGAATGAGCATCGCTGCAGAGATAACAAGAGGAGCTGTCTGCTGGAGCGCAAGATTGTGGACAAAGAGAGCAAAAGAGACAAAATTCATCCACTGTGATATCTTATTGTGTGTGTTTTTGTGCAGGATAGTGATCCAAACTGTTCTTGGACTGAAATTACAATCGTGACAAGCTAAAGGCCTGAGTCAGAGCAGTGCTAGAGAAGAGACTAAGATTTCTTTCTCTGGTGAAAATAGTGATAAAAAGCCAAATTTAATGACAGCTTTTTTAGGGGGGATTACATTCAAAGTACCAAAAATAGGGATTTTTTTTCTTGACGCTTTTCATCTGATTACTCCTGCGTCTGTTAATGACCGACCTTCCTTTTCTAAAGGCCAAAATGATACGATCCAGAGGTGATAAGTATCATATTCCAGAGTAATGAGAGGGCAAAAGCAGGATAAAATGCAGAATATAATCTTTTTAATTGATACTACAGAGACATAAGAGGGCGAACACTGCTGTTATTATCTGAGTTGACTATAATGATAAAAATCTTTATTATGCATAGCTGTTTTATGCTGTCATGCTGAATCTTATGGTTGCAATTGTCATTTTTCTGTATTTTACAGCAAAAAAGTGTAATTCCAGTGAAGTTTATCAAGTTTACTTCATTTTGGTGTCTGTATTCATAAAATGTTCTGATTTGTAGACTTTGAAAAGGAGTAGTTTATGCTGAAATAACAATAATACAGACATGGATAATATTGAAACATTAAATCAGTATATGTATATCATGGACACATACGTACAAGATGGACAACATGACAGCACCCTAAAAGTAATGCCAAAATATTATAGCAGCATATAGGATTTAAAGCCTGCCTCCTCCATGTAAACAGATGGGACATGGCTCGAACTTTAAAATCAAAAAACTTGCAGGAAAATCTTTTTATCAAACACGGTTCCTATGATTGAAGTTATTTTTCATCATGTGTTTTAACATCAGAGATCATGTTTATGACAAGTTTAGTATTTGATTGTAAAAATGATTGACAGCTATCTTGTGGCCAATCGAGCGTGACTGAATCAGTCTGTGGATTGGTCTATAATCACCTAGAAATACATTTATTTCTGTCAACTTGGACAGTTGGGTTTCTACAGGAGCACATGATGGACAAACTAGTAACATTTGCCTTTTGTTCTAAAGGAAAGAGAGCGGCTGAAAGTAAAAATCGGACAAACGGAGGATCATACAAATCAGACTGCACAGGAGCTTCTTGTCCTCGGAGGCCACTGTAGCTTCATCAATGGGAGGGGTGAGCAGGGGACACCTCATCCATCTTTCTACGCAGACAATAATGAGCACTCATACATGAGATTTGACAGGATACAGAGGGAGTTTTATGACAGACTTGTAAGACGTGGGAAGTGTTGGTATTAAAGTGAAATGAGGGCAGACGGCTTCATCATCCTGTTCCTTCAATTTTCATTCACTTAATAAAGGTAAGAAAGGACCCTTCTGTTTGCAGCGCCTCTGTAGTCTCAAATGAATCATCCCTTCCACATGTTTGCCTAATGATTGCATGTCTGCACTCGCTCCTTTTCCAGCACATCATCACAGACTGTCTGTGGTTACGGGGTCACGGGCCAGTGTTTTCTCAATGGGAGCTACTGCGGTTTTAATCACAAACATTAGAGTCAAAACAAAAGGAGAAATTAGTGTGCTTTACTTTTCTGTACGTGGTGTTGTTTTGGCTTGAGGAGGCAGGATGCTGTGCTGATCATTTGGGTAAATTGAACCTCCAGGCTCCCGGCCAGAGTCATAACTCAGTAGCAAAGTTTGTTAATGGGGGAGAAGTGTTGGTTAAAATGAGCTCAGCTTGTGGAATATATGAGCTGTACATTGTCTTAACATCGAGGCGAGAGGGCGACCACATCACAGACGCCTCGCCTGGATTTTAAGGTCTCCCAGCCACAGACGGCTAGTTATTCAGTTTGCACCTCAAGACTTTGTGGTGCCTCTGATGAACTCCTCCAAGCCGGTTTGTTTTATGTGGACTGTTATTTTGGATGAGCCAGAGTGGTGTGTGTAATTACTGCATGCATATCTAAACGGAGACTCTGCTGTCACTGAGCTTCAAAGTAAGGAGTATTTGTTTGATTGGGGAGCATGATAGGGCATGCAGGCCGGCTTTAAGCCCCAAAGAAGAGCCGTGACATGCATCAAAGGTCCACTAAGGCCAACGCAACGCCTCAAAGGACCATGAATGGGGCTGTCATCCAACCCAAGCTTTGCAGGGGGATTTACTCACAGGAAGGGTTATTAGTTCCCCCTGTTTTCTGCTCCTAAACCACATCCATGCTCCTCTTTTTGTCTTTAATCTGCAATCACAATCACGTCAAAAATAGGTTATCTAGGGTCGGAGAATTATGGTTTTGTGTTTCTCTACTGTAACGCAAAAAAAAAGGAAAAAAAGTATCTCCACTAAAGAGGGAAGAAACACTGCAGGGCAGCAGAGAAATCATAGAGGGAAAGATTATGGCGCTAGAGGGAAAAGAAAGAAGAGAAAAGAAGAAGAAGGAGGGAGGAAGGATTGCCGGAGAGGGAGGAGAAGGAGGAAAATGCTTCTGCAGAGCAGCAGAGAGCAGAAACCCAAAGCCACGTCAGCACAATAGAACAAGGCAGAAGAGGAACCCCAGACTTCCCTCCTCTTTACCACCCCTATTTTCACTGATTTTCCATCGTCCAGCTCCTCCTACAGCTTTAAATATTACAGGGCTGGATTTCTCATGCATCTGGACTGTGTTTTCTAAGTGGAGACAGCATGCATTATCCTAATTCAGCCCTTCATTTGCTTCAACATCTGGATGTATGACTAAAAAATGAACACAAGGCTTGGAGTAAAAGTCGCAGACAAACAGTGTATGCTTTGGTAACGGGGTAAACACGGTTACAGGGGGGTGTGAAGGATGAAACAGCAGGCGCACCCTGCTGAAAATCTCATAAAGTGAAGATAGAGCTGACATAAATAATCAAGTTACAGGAGCCAATAAAAGCGCTACCTGGAGGGGGAGGAAAGGAGCAGGCCAGGTGGGAACAAATACAAATTGCTTTCCTGCTAAGTGGAAATGTTATAATCTACGTTTACTACGATGCAGGGTGAAAGGTCACAGAGATGGCCAGATGGCAAGAGTGTGAAGAAGAGGCAACTTGTAAGATAACTGTGGAGAAGCAACCTCAGAGTGTAGTACAGGGAACCTTATGAATTTAGGTTTGCTCTCTTGAAAATTCATGTATCCAAAGTAGGGCTGGGCGATATGACCTCAAATCAATGTCACGATATATTGAGCAGTTCACCTCAATAACGATAAATGGATGATAACTACTCCACAAGCTGCTCACTCCCTCCCACATTAACTTCATCTACTTCAGCCACTGCTACAACTTTTGAACCGTCCTCCATCTCCTCACATGTCTTTCCTTCTTTGTTATGGACTGGATGGGGTGGAATCATGTCTCTGATGTAGGACAGCATCTTAAAGGGACATGAGACCATAGCCTATCTACTCACATCCAAACCAACTTGTATCTATTTATTTTTTTGACACTGAATATATTTACATCGGCAAAATGACATCAGTTATTATCGTAAATTTTGGTATCTGTAAATTTTCGGTTTATCACCCAGCCCTATCAAAAATCCAACATTTGGCGCAGCTTCCTGTTTTTTTTTATATCAAGGTCATAGATTATGATCAGATAGAAAAACATAATGTATGTTTCAGGTCCGATACTCACCTGGATACAGCTGTTTGGTGGGGGCGCTGAGTTGGGCATCTTTGGATACTCTGTAGGCCACATCTGAACCTTGTGTTGACCTCCTATGTGCGCACAAACCCGTTATTTTTGAAACACCCTCGGGTAAACTGTGAAAATCTAAAATCTTCAAGAGGTCTGCTGGTTCCGCTGTGGAGAAAGAAAGGGAGAAGAAGAAGACAGGATGTCAGATTTTTCTAAAAACAGAATGAAATTCCACTTTAATTGAGCTCTAAAAGTATACATTTCAAACCCATATATCATCCTGTATATAGATAAAGCATCCTCTAGTTTATGCTTATCAAATGAGTCTAAATTATGGCCCATCTTCAGACCATTCCCTCCATTTTCTGTGCTGTGCTGACTCAGAAGCTCTAGTTACTCAGCAGGAGAGTTTGCTGTTGTGGTCCACAGAAGATCTCAGTTATCCATTTTGACTCTAAACAGAGATGTGCCCATTTATAGAGCACCATGATCATGGGTTACAGCTGCAGCGAAACCCATCCTTCCATACAGCTCCCTGCAATGCTGAACCCACCGCTGCCTCCCTTTGGCCACAAACATGCAATTAGCACACTTTCAGACCGGTCGTCCCGGCTGCGACCAGGCCACCGCAGGAGAACACTAGGTCAGAACAATGTGACATGAGGTTTGACCCTGGACCGCACCTCTCACATGCCAAAACCACCCAGGACAAACAGCTGTTCCTGCAGCCAGATGCATGCAAAACAAGCTGCACAATGACATCCAGACTTGTCCCAGTACTGATCTGGACTGAAAAAGGACACTAGGTCATGCCTATAGGGACAGGGACAGGGTGTTTTAAAGGCGAGTAAACACTAAAGCAAAGAAGAAGGCTATAGAGGGGGGATTTATGGCACGGGAGTTAAAGAAATAAAACAAGACAAAAGCAAAAATGCTATGGTATTCTCCCACTTGATGCTTTTTGTGTGTGTGTGTGTCATTATGTGAATGTGGGCTGTCAAAGGCAACCCACACACAGGTACAGCAGAGCTAGTGTCAGGCTACAAAGACCACACACACTGTTCAGGCGGAGAAAAAAAACACTCAATAGCCCCATCCATCTGAGAGCCAAAAGGAGGCTGGGAAAGGTGGAGAGGGGAGTGGGCAGGGCGACAGTGTTTTTACATTCTGTGTTACCCTGCAACAGCCTCCAGCTGGATGTCATTACACATGACTCACGTGCAGCAAAGATCAATCAGAAAAAAAACTAGACATTCTCAAACAAAGCTCTCCATTTATGAGCACTTTGGCTGCAGGTATTTATCCACAGCTGCACCGTGATTTTAGGGGAAAAACTTCCTCCTCATCAGCTTTGGTCTGATTGCACGACACCTGCGTTGATATCCTCTCTAATGCACAAGGAGTGATCGAGCTAAATATTTATTAACCAACAAAAATCTACCAACTCACAAAATATTCATGTTTGCTGCACAGACATACAAATTAGACTTTAACGCACTTGATACCACTGTAAACAAAAAAACATGAACTGTTGTAATCTACCCCACACAGCTTTTTTAAAAATTATTCAAGACCAAAAAGACAAGTCACATTTTGTCAATTGTCATTCAAATCAATAGGCTAATAATGTAACTGATAATCCTTAATTGCAGGGGTGTGTCTGGGCTTTTTACTGGAGTGGCCCTACTGGGGCACCAACAAAGGCAGGGGTGGCCCAAGTAAAACAAAAGCACTTAACCTTTCTGTTCTCACTATCAATTTTAGTAACTTTTGTTTCAGCTTTACACAGCTATTTCTTTGTTTAATCTTAGCTTGACTCAAAAAGAAGCTGTCCAAAGTCACAAATGAAAGCACTAACTAAAGAAACTACATTTAAAAACAAAATAAATTTCTGCCAACCTCTTAGAAAACAAACTCTGATCAAGGAAAAGCCAACTGCAGTAGTTCAGGATTTCAAGGTGGGGCCTGGTGTGGCTAAGTGTTCTCCAGGAAGACTATCCAACACTTACGCTAATGCTGTTAGGGACCCTAATAGAGAAAAACAGTAAAGTGTTCCCTTTTCCCAGGGGGGTTTTGGCATAACTTAAATAATACTCAGTGGTCCCAGCATGACCAGAGAAAATATATTCCTATGGGAAACTGTGAGAAAGAATGGGGAATAACTTGCAGTCAAGGGCCGCAAGTTGGAACCGAACCCAGGCAACCTGCAGTCTATGGACGCATACAATTTCACCCCCCGGGCCAAAACAGTGCCCCCTTTAGGTTTTTTTTGTGTCAGGAGTCCCTTTCTAAATGCCGTTCACCAGAAATTGAGGAGAAAATGAAAAGATTGTTGCATCTTCTCGTCCAAAAAGTGTCACTTTGGGGGCTGCAAGCTGAGCTGCCACTAGCTTTATTTCTAGGTGTTTAGCTAGATATAAAATCAGATTTCATTACTGAATAAATGGTGCAATGGACAGGGTTCAGACCAGGAAAGTGAAAGACTTCATATTTTATAATAATGTCTCTTTGGGTGCTGCAAGCTGAGCTGCAACTAGCAGCAGCTGAGGTCCTCAGCTTGATTTTGAAGTTTGAATCTATCAGTGTACATCCTTCACAAGGTTTTACCTAGAAGATTTATAGACTCAGGCAGTTTTGTTTAAAACTGGGGGCTGCCAGCTGAGTTTGGCCCAAATCTCTGATCCAGTAATGCTGATAGATACTATTTGAAACATTAAGAAAGTAGTAGGGTGAAAATGTTGGATTATTTGGACAAGGGCAGCTGTTGTAAACATATATCTTATAGGTAAAACATGAACTGGATCAAAACAAAGCACCTATAACCCACCTGGTCCAGCAAACACACTCTTGTCGAAGAGATCACAATATATTCATATGAAAGAGCTGCATACCACAAGTTGACAGAGCCTATGAGCGAGTGGAGGACCTACACATAAAGACAAATTTTGTCTGTCATCAGCTTATAATGAAGAGACGGACAGGATCTCACCCACATGCCAGAAGATGTCTATCATTCACCGCCATGCTTCAGGCTTATTTAATGAGCTCTCTCAAAGGAGGAGTGTAAAAATGTGTCAGGATGTCAAGCGGTGGGAAATGTAGTTCTGTTACAAATGCTGTGATTGACCTATCACTGCTTAAAATCTATGTTGTAAGTTGTTGCTCTAAAATTAGAAAGCCATCTGCAGCTGTGATTTAAAAAAACCTCACATTTTACGAGAAATTATCTGTTAAACTGCTCGGCAACCAACACTTTAACACCTACAGTAAATATGTAAAGAGCTTAAGGTGTAAGATTTACAACATTTAGGGTGTTAGGTATTTAAAGCACACAAGAAATTAATCACAGGGTCTGGATTTTTGCGTAGAAAATGTTCAGTGAATTCATGAAAAAAGGCGGAAAAAAACCATCCAGATTCACACATTTTTACTCCTGAACAACATAAAAAGTCCTCCACTTCACCATCCTTCAAATCCAGACACAGGAAGCTACAGTTTCTAAGAGAAGTAGGTGACACACACACTGGCACAAAACGCTTTTCAATTTAATACCATTTTAACAGGGACCTTGGTTCACCAAAAGCAAAGCTACCGGTTGTTTCCCTTTACTCAGACAGCCACAAATGTTCCCTGCAAAAAGCCACAACCCTGAAGTGCTGCTACACTACAGTCATTCTCTCATTGCTGCCAACATCCAACAGCATTTTACTCCTTGGGAGGTAGATCAATCAATCTCTGACGTTCGCAACAGGATGAGCCCGTACAAGGCATGGAAATCACCTCACCGTCCTACAGTTCAACACAGCAACCACTGTGTACAGGATGGAGCTAACATGTCAGATTAACCCCGCTGCAGTATAAAAATCTGCAAATGGTTGATCGCATTCATGTGGTTTTGCCTCCTTTTCCTATCTCCTCCTTCCTTATAAGGACATAACATTGCATAAGCCTCGCTGCTGCAAATTACTGGTGGTGACAGGTACCAACACTCACATCACATATTACCTAAAATTATAAAAAAGGATTTCCCTCACTGTGAGACTCATATAGATGCTAAAATACTCTGAATTAATCCTAATTACAGGGAAAGCTGTAGCATTTTGGAGCAATTTAAAATTGGGCATGGTTATAACCTTCTCTGGTGCATAGACATTCAGTGCAAACGAGCTCCATATATCAGATGTTTCCAACCAGCAACCTCTGTTTTATTAATTTATAGATGACAGCAACACACGAGCAATATGGTAATAAATGATTCAAAGAAATTCCTCCAGGCAACAAACTAACCATCATAACAATATGACTGTCACAATATGAATAACAGCGTCATAATAACAGGCCTCTCTGCACCACATAGAAATGAGAAGTCTGTGAGCTGGTCGAGGTTTATCACATCGTAACCCCCCAGTGAGGAGCGGGCTGTTGTTTTTGCTAATCTACACCGACATAAAGCTAATCTCATGAAGATCAGCGGCTATTTGAAGGAGGAAATAATTCATCATGTCAGAGATCTGTGGCTTCATATGATAACATACGACTGTGGTTATAATTAGAAGTTTATCTGATAGTTGATATAATTTTAATCCTTCCAGAAAGATTAAGATGTGTATAATAAGGAGGGATGGGGGAGACTCTGTGGGGAAGGACATCTAGACATATCTTACATAATTAAAGCATAATTGATAAGCTACTGTCTGAGCCGCTGGCAACTTCCAAGCTAATGATACTGTTAGCCAGGAGGTATGGAGGAATAGCAGTAATGTGAGACTCTTAATGGCTCACATTACTGCTCTTCTACTATTCTACTTCTATTATCTAATGGCCATGTTACATTAGAATTTCTCACTTTCTACCGATCTGTAGTGTTAGCAAATAAGTGGCTTCATGCTAATTAGCCTACCTGTAGCAAATGGAGTGCTGAATATGTTGCTTTAAATGCTCCTTGGGCCTCATTTCCATAATTTTTCATTATTTTGAGATTTCTTTTTATTTGCAAACCAATTAATTTTTCAGATTTTTTACCTTAATGCTGCTTTGAACATTTGGCATGGCAGTACAGCATTACCACATTTGAACTTCTCATCCTAAGGGTGAAATTAAAGAGGAAAAAAGCTGCTTTAAAAGTTGTAGATTGCTCTCTGGATGCCTTTCATTTCACACCTGTTAACCCCTCTTTTCGTCCATCAGCCACTACGTTATCCAAATGTTCCACCCTCTCATTTCTAATTTCCTTTTTCCTAGGGCATAATCTGTTTTATCAGCTTTTCCATGGATGTTTTGAAATCCCCAGAAGGATCTAAAAGTGACCACAGGGCCTCTGCAGGGTCACCTGGAGGTGAGCCAAGGGGGAGAGGGGCAATTAGCAGCTTACAGGAAAAGAGCAGGAAGGTGAAAGGACACCATGATATATCTCTGCTCAAAAATTAAAAGCCCAATCAGAAACATATCAGAAAATCATTACATTTAATGTTTAATAAGTCTCATGCAAAAAGAAAAAAACAGCTGAGGTGTGTCTGAGTGCAGGAAGGGGCAGTCAGGCAAGCACAAACATTATCGTCTCCTACACACACCTTCATTCAGGGATTTCTGTCACCAGCAGCCAACCTTTGGGCGGAAGCTTTACTGACCACATCCCAAGCCACAGGTATGGCTCAGTCCCACCTTGTTAAGCTGAGATGTTTACCCACTTAGCATGGCAGACCCCTCGAGGGACCAACACCTCTTACTCTCCTTTCTAAAAATACTCTCCGCCTCTGACCACAGCCCCTCTCATCCAAGAGGCAGGTACACAGAAACTGTTTATACGACACAGTCTTGTGTACATTTGCTCCTCTTCGACAGCTTTAAATACTTTGGCAAGATGAATAAAACGCAGAGCATTTGTTCAGCATTAGTTGCTTTTTCATGTATAAATTAAAACAGATTCTTTCCATTGCGTCTCGTGTTATCCTTATGTTGCCTCCAAAACCACAGCGTGGCATTATTCCAGATGTGTGTAAGGCTCAGATCAGCCAAAGGGCCCCTGCTGTCTACAAGCATTTACAACACAAATATGAAATAGTGCAACCAAGGACGTATAATGTTAAAGGGGGATAAAGCTGGGCGGGTTTTAAAGTTTAATATGGTAACAAATCACAGGACTCACTTGAAACTGCAAAACTGTACAAGACTCCCTCAAACTCGACACGATTCAAAGCTGCTTTTTGCTGTGATGTTCAATTTTTCCAAAAGTTTTCAACCCCCAAAACACCCCCTCTCTAACAGACAGGGTGTATAGGCTTTACCTTTATTCGCAGAGTATAATCCTCCCATGTTTTGTGCTCAGTGGAACATCTAACTGTGATCCCAAAATTAGTGAGCAAAGCCATCTTTGATGTAACAGAGGGTTGCTCTCAGTCTTTTATAGGTTTGTTTGTCAGACATGAGGCTGCAGAACAGTAAAGTGCAATGAATTCATAAAAGTATACCGCTTACATGTGAATTATCTAAAATGTGTGGTGAAACTTACAACATCTGTTAGAGGAAAGAGGGTCTGATGTGGTTTTCTGCGGTAATCTTCTCCTCCCTGTTCACTGCACTTTACCTCTTTTCTCCCTTTCTCTGAACAGTAGCTCGAGCACCAGATTCATAATCCTAGTGGTGGCTCAGTGCCAAAGCTGTGGTGTATCCCCTTCCACTGACTTATCCATCCACTCCTGATTTCCACAAAGGCACCCGTACATACACACGCTCTGTAGCAACACTTAGCGTCTCCAGACGGCACCATTTGGTTTGACAGGAGGAGGGGTGCCGGACCAGTGAATTAGGACTTTTTCATGGAGGGGGGAGATTAACATTCTTCTCTCTTTCCCTGCCCCCTATCCTCCTCCTTTTCCTCCTCCTCCTTCTACTCCTTCTCCTCCTCAAACCCCTCCTGAAGTGAGGCCTGATTCTCCAGGCACATGCTTGACCTGGCGCTGAGGACAAGGAGTAATTAGCAGCCATAAAGAGGACCCCACCACTCTTGGAAACCGGCACAGCCAAAAACAAGAATGCCCAATGAGAGACTTCCCCCTCCTAGAGAGCATCACAGACAGGGAGGGTGTAGGAGTTTTTTTGTTGTTTTTTCACCTGATGCTGTTATAAAACTTTAACTCGGGCCAACTCTTGAGAAGCTGGAGCCTCAGTCAGAGTACAGAAGGTTACGGTCGAGGCCCTGACTGTAATTACTCAAAGAATAACTGCAGGACTTTACCAGGTGAAGTCAAGGCACTTCACTTCTTTGAAATGAAACACAAAATTCACAAGAAAAAAAAACTCTTGCTCCAAAAATACATAAGGGATCATTTTTTCAATTCAGTGTGCAGCTAGCATAAACATACCATGCTAGCTCTCGTTAGCTTAAAGCCATCGCAAGGCAAGGCATAGTTAACTGGTTACGAAACAGGCTGAACTTTACAGTAATGTCTCTTATAACCTAAACAAGCATAAAAGACCATCAACAACAAGACCTCCCGTAATGTCATTATTAATGTCTGGATCAACTGTGAGGGGGTAGATGTTCAACAAGACAACTTAAAGAAACAGCTTTTCTTACTTTTTCCCACTGCTGAGGGATACATTTCACCACAGCGAGGAAGCAAGATGAGATATTTTGTCAGGAAATACTCCTTAAAATTAGCAATTATGTGTTAGGTACAGCCTTGTCCACAGGGGGCGCCAGAATCAACGCAAATGGAAAGCCACTCACAGCAGCTTTACGCTTGCAAAACTTGTACTGGCTAAAGAGTATGACGAACTCTTTCCCTAAATTAGAGGTGTGGGTGCTTAGTTCACTAAACGTTTGAATGTCAACCTCGCTAGCAAAGCTACTAGCTATTTGCCTGGGTTGTAGCTATGGTCAGTGGCTGCCATGATGCTTGAATGCTCTACTAACTGGATGTAAACAAGCTCTGATATCAGAGATTTTGTCACACTCATAAAATCCTTAACATTGATTCACCACATATGCTGTTATATAGTGTTTAGCAATATTAAATAAATTGTGCTCGATAATCAATTTTGTAGATATTCCCCTACCTTAAAACTAGTTGGTCAATTTCTGTTCTTCAACTAAAAAATTTCTTGATCTGGAACCTAACCTTTTTAAATGCACTTGATCTAAGCATTATCTTTATCCAGTATTAACCACCTGTGGCCACAATGGCCACTTTAAGGAAAGAGTACAAGAACCTGCTTTACAGTCTGAAAGTATAAGGAAGGGTGTCCTTAAAGAAAACTGGTAAACTGTGGTTTTAAGGTTCCTGTAACAGACTTTATCAACCAGCCCTGACATATTTCAGAACCCTTCTAGAATGTTCTCCTCTTAACATTCTAGAACCTAAAACAACACTCCAGAACCAACAAGTACATTCCGGAACATACAAGAAAATTCTGGAACCTACAAGAACTTTCTGGAATCTACAAGAACATTCCAGAACCCTGACTGTATCAACAGGCTGAAATACGACTTATTTTTTTCCCTGCGAGTGTTTACCTCATGTAACTCCAGCAAAATTCCGAGACACACTTCCAGCAACACATTGACCTTAAGTTGTTGCTCCATGTGACCAGACCTGGAAATCATACTGCAGGCATTACACATGCTAGATTGAGCTCATTACATACACACACTGCACTGACATCCTGTGAGAGGCAACGAGGCAACACACACACACACACACACACACACACAGTACAACAGAGCAGCAACACATGAGTAAACTAATAATTGGCTCAGTACTGGGATGTCAGCTAGCACACACCTCTTCGGCTAAGTTAACTTCAACCTCCAAAACAAATGAGCACACTTCTGGGAAGTTGCTGCTCATGCTGAGTTAAAAGTTTGGCACAGCCCTTATCAATACTGTTTATTTTTAATTGAATTTCTTGTAAAACTAGGTCACAGTTTAAATGTCACAAAGGTGTAAATGTGACATGGTGCTAATCAGTTAGCATGGCTTAAGCTTCAACAGAAATATGATGTTATCTAGAAAGGGTTGGATGATATGAATGAAAAATCTTATGAATAATAGCCAATTTGTAGATCAGCTATTACGGTTTGTTTCCATCACAGTTTAGGAGTACTGCAGCTAAAGTTACAACTGTAATGCTCTAGTATTAGCATTAGCAATAGCAATTATGTTGTCAGCTGCTTTGTTTTGAGTAAAGATGAAGTCTGGACGGCAGCCAGGTGAAAGTATGCGACTATGAAGGGTGAGAACTCCAAAAGGCAACTGAGGACAGTGTTTTGTAAATGAACTCATGTGCCGGTATCACTTCGGTTTCTTTTTATCAGTCAGTTTTAGTCCAGACATTGCAGGACACTGACCCAGTGACCTGGGCTTAGAGCTGCATGTGAAAGCAGCCGCAGGGAGGAGGAGGAGAGAGGAAAAGAAACAGGGAAGAGGGATCTTTTTGTTTATGCCTTTGTTCTCCAAGTCATGATCGACTCATTTGGAAGCTCATAATGGAGGATTGTCAGATTTACCACAGTCTCTGATCACAAGATGACACAGTCCAGCTGAAATATGCCAAGACAGAATGTGCAGACAGTCCTCCGAACTCACCCCTACACCCACAAATGTCCTGTCCCACACAAACACAAACACTCGGACCTGAAAGACGATCCAAAGAACAGAGAGATTTTCAGACCAGAGCTTCTCCTGTGTACTCTGAGGCTCAGAGCCTGAGCCTTCAGACTCTTATTGCTTTAACAGGGGGAATACCAGATGGTTTACTTCACTGTCTCCCTGCTGCAGCTCACAGCAGTGCAGATAAATCACCGCCTGCCGTCCACCACAGACTAAGATGGAAAAACTGAGTCAAGATTCCACGGTGCACCTCTAAATGCTCATTTTACAGCACGAAAACTGCAGGAGTGGTACTTTTCAGACACATGTGAAGACTCTTACCTGCCTTTTTATCTCTTTTTCATTCACCAAACTGCCTTTGCTATACCAGTGTCATCTTCAAACCTCCATTAGCAATTTTTATATCCCTCTGCCCGTTTTATTTTTCACTTTTTTGATGGCTTACTGCAGAGAAATTTATGATAAAATAGGGCCCTGCAGCGCTGACATTACAGAGCCATTTCCTCCCTACCCACCCTCACAGATAGCCATTATCCAGCACCAACACACTGACTGAAAACAATGAATCTGGAGCTCATAAATATGAAATCCTGCATGATAATGAAGCTTTTTTCCCATTTGTTGAAGACTTTCCAGCCACAGTCACACTGGCATGCCTCGCTCAGAGGCGTTGGCTTCTTATCTAACAATGGGAATTAATCCAAATATGCAATGTTTGCTAACAAAGGTGGAGTTTCATCATCATGAGTGACCTCAATAACCCATAAATATCAGAAGAAAAGATGTTTCCACCCAGTCCACTCAATACACGACATTAATACAAGAGCAGATGAAAACACCTCTTTAAAATTGAAAGAAAAGTGACTATATCCATCAGATTTTCACACTAAGGTTCAAGTGATGCTTACAGACTAATACTGACAACTTGAAACAAAAAGTAAGTGTCAGCTGTTCTTTCATGATAAAAAAAAACACATGAAATCACGCCAACTATGTCGAAATGGAAAAGACTGGGAGTTTGAAAAGTACTGGCACAGCATCAGGGAGGTGTGGAAAGAGTGACAAAACATCAAAATGGAAAAAAAAATCTAAAAGGATCTCTGTCCTATCAATCATTTTTCTTTTGAAAGTGATAACATACACTTGAAATAATTGCAGCCTGAGGCGGGGAAAGATTCCCATCTGCACTGCCAAAGAATCTGCCTGAGTTGCAATGACAGCCAAGTCAGCCATCAATTCATCCACTGACACTTGAACCTGTGTCATACTTGAGCAACATCAACACGATGAAGGAACAGGCGCTACCGTGAGAGGAGAGAGTGACTTCATGACAACAGGCCTCTATAGTAAATTTACCACTTCAGTAGATGAGGATAAAATACAACCAAACAAAACCTTCAGCCGGAAATTAACTTTTGGTTGAGATTAAGCTCTTTGTACACTTTTTGACTGCAGCTAGCTTGGTTTATTTTAAGAGCTTTAAGGTTTAACATTAAATGTAAACTGTAGCTGGTTTTGTCTTTCTTGAGCAAAAGATGAGCAACAGTTTGAGATAGGCTTTTATTCTGAAACAGGAAATGGAAGGAGCCAACTTCTGTGAACTGAAAAACCTTCCTGAGCTTCTTGAGGAGTAACAGCATGTGGATTTTTAATTAGATTTTAGTAGCATCAGTATTCTCAATTCTCATTGGTTATAATTCTTGCTTGTTTTAATTATAGAAATTTATGCGGTCATGGGGTTTAATTTGGGTCATTTTAACTGAACTAATCACCCCTCCTCGTTGTATTTGTGTGGTTCAGTCTCTAGATTTAAAAAGCCCTCTTTTTTTAATCAGATGTATAGGGTAGTGATGGGTGGATGAAGCTTTATCAACCTCTGAGGCTTCCTTTGTTTGTCGCTTCGAACTGGACAAGTATGGGGACATCCGGTGGCTTGTAAAACTGAAGGCAGCTCTCTCTATGATGGACTGCAGCCCCAATAACATTCTCTAATGTTGATCATTAGTAGAATATTTGAAAAATTAAATATGCTAATATGCTCAGATATAAAAATACCCATATATTTGTCTACAGTTGTTCAGATGTGCTGCAATAAATATTTCTACTTTAGTGCAAGCCTGCTGCAAACACAGATGCATGCATTTCTTATATTTACAGACCACCAGCTCTTTAGCTTTAGAATCATTAGCCTATTTCTGTTGTTTTGGTGAAGACTTTAGCTGACCTGATGTGTCATTAGCAACAAAACATTCTTACTCAGTGAAGTAAAACAAAATTTATACTTCTTCACTCACTTTGCCCTCTTTATGTCTCCTGTTGCTACGCTATCTCTAACAATGGTTGTTTCTGCTAGCTTAATCCTGTAATCTTCATTAGCCACTTAAATTAAATTAAAAAACATATTTAATCTCCCAGCTTTTAACATGACTTACTTAGTGAGACCCACATGGGGTCAGCATTTTACAACAAAAGCATTTTGGCTAACATTAGCAAAAGATGGTTTAGCTTACATGCTAACACAGTGAACGTGTTGTGTTTTGTGATTTAGTCCACTGTCTATTACATTTCATATCTAAAACAAACATCAGAATCTTTCCTTTAGCTCAAGCTAGTTCTGTAGCAGCAGAAATATCATCAAATCATGGTTTGGTCACATCGTCACAGCTAAATATATTGGAATACAGTTTACTGGTCAGTTAAGTGTTGACTTAAGTGGTCAAATAAGCATTGCAAATCAAAAAATGTTTTACAGTTTGGAGAAAAGTAAGTTAGTCTATCAAATCACAACCAAATATCTGTAATATTGAAGACAGTGTAGTTTAAGCAATTATTTCTGTTGGTACAGACAGTTTTTCTTCGGTCTCTCGTGTCTCTTTCACTTTGCTGTAGCACAGGCGAGTGTTTATGTCAAACTTGAGCTGGGTCCCTTGTTGCAACAAAACCAAACTAATAAAGCCTTAGGCTTAATTACATAACGCTACTTAATAAGCAAAGACTTGTCTTTATTCTAATGCCGCCTTTCCATTCCAGCTCTTGCTAATTAAATCACATATTAAAGTAAAAATAGAAATCATCAGACGACTATGAAGTTTCTGCAGAGACCAGAAAGCATTGTATTTCTCCTTCTTAGAGAAGAAATGCTTACACTCAGTATTTCTGCTGCCCAGGCTGTGGCTAAGCTCTGGCAGGGGAAGGGGGAATGAGGTTGGAAAGGATGAGTCATACATTGCTTTCCATGCTCAATGATTATAATACCCCATTACAGAGAAAAGCACTGTTTCCCAGCTGAAGTGAATACTCGGCCTGTGAGCCTGGACCAGACTTTACTTTTTTCACTCTGCCATGCACTGCATGCTGCAACAAAGCATACTGTAAAAAAAAAAAAGGATAAAGGTGAAGGAGTTGCATCATGAGGTAGCAAACCATCCAACTCTGACATCACTGATGTGTTCATATTTCCAACAGAACTGTCGCCTTTTTCCCTTTTTGCTTTCCAGGGAGTACAGAGCACATTTAGCCCTTTTAGTTGTTATCTATAACTGCAATTATCTCCATGGTCCTTTTGTTTTTGCTGCAGTTATAACAACTTAAAAGAAACCCATTTGGCTTCAAATCAAGCCCGCAGTGTCATTAGTACAGAGCCCAATTTGACCCTTGATTACTGTGGAAATAGACAGTAAACTGGCCTGAATATGGCAAATAAAGCCCTATTTGTGCAGCACAAAGGCTCTCCTAAACCCTAACACAGGGTCAAAAACTTGTCCTGCATATTTTGTTTTATCTCCCATGTTGTTATCAGGCATTAGGGCTGATTTACAGACTCCTTTCCACAAAGCCTGCATTTACAGAGCCGAAGTGGCACATGCAGTTGCAGGGTCACTGCTTCTCTCCACAGTCCAACTAACTCAGATTCCTTCCTCTGCGCCGGGCAATAGGCACACACAAGAAGCCATTTTTTCTCACTGCCACATATCTGATTGAGTTGGACATGACCTCTGGATCGCCACTTAGAGGTGAGTAAGAAACAACCCACTAAGACCTGAAAATGACTTACCTATCTTACTGAAAACAATGATTTTTCTGAGAGAAGTGAGTGTTAAGTGTTTTTTTTTATTTTTAACTTGAAAAGTGTTGTTGCTTTGCAAAACTAAAAAAATCATCACTGTCTCACTTTGACAACACTTCATTTAAGTCATTATAAGATATCTTAATATCAATAAAACTGACCTTTTTAAAAATTGCATCACTGAGTCATTAACCTGCTCCATCAGTAATGGCCAGCAGGGGTAGCATGCCAGTGTAGCGAACTCCTCAGTAAGGTTACTCGCTAGTGGCTGTCCTAGAAGTCACTAGATGACGCCATCACCTAATTTGCGTAATTTTACATTTATTTCCATAATGACACTGCGACCAAGTGTCAACCTTTGGGTACCAGAAATAAGGCAACTGAGGAAGTGTTGAAAACTGCAGTTTCTCAAGTATCCACTAGGGGCTGGCTGCAAAATTCCAGAACACCACATCCAAGAAGCAACTCTTAACAGCAGAAATAAACATGCCACGTACAAAGAACAAGATCTAGGTCTGGGTAGCTCTTTATCTAAAACAGTTTTGTATTATCGGCACAGTTGACTTGACTGATAGGCAGGCAAACTGTAGCTGTTAGCAAGAAGACTAAAGGCCTACCACAACTCACTTCTTCTAGATTCATGGACAGTTAGGCTGAGATATCATTCAAAAAGTCATATCAACTGCAACTACCAAATAACAAACTCAAGGCTTCAAAAGGTGGGTAGTAAACCAGTGGGTGATGCCACAATCCCTGGGTAAAGTTGTGATGTTGACAGTATCAGAAGGACCTTGATTGGCATCCATTGGTCACCCACCATAACAACTGATCAATTCTACAACACATCTGAGTTGTAAAGTTTTTCAATCCTGCATTTGTAGATCTCTTGCACCCTGTTTTTTATCAGCCTCATGGAAAACTTTATCCACAATGACAAAAAGCACAAATTCCTATCCACATAAATTCCTCCAGAGTCGGAGTTGTCCAGATATAAAAAGGCTGTAAATGAAAAACAGCTGCCGACCAGCTGTACTCAACCTTTAACCCTGTCATAAAGTTGGCTCTTTTAAAACAAAAAGAACCTTTTAATGACCCTGAATGTGTAGGCTATGTGCAAACCTGGCTGAAACACAAGGCATGCTGCTATTATTTTAACAAACTCAGCTATAGGGCTGCAGATGTTATCCGAATCGGAGTCTTCTCTATAACCGGCACCGAACGGTGCATTTTCTTTGAAAAAAAAAAATGCAATACTTCTCTTTTTTTATGGTCCCCTGTTCCACCACGAATGGGAAGAAAACATCTGGAAGACATTTTTTCTGGCTTTTTTGGAGGGCTTAGCAGACAGCACAATGGAACTTATCGATTCCAGATGTGAAGGCGCTCAGTGAAACAGCAAAGGCCTTCTTCTGTTTATCCCCTTAAAATGTACATAAAGATAAAACAAATATCAGACCCTTAAATGTGGCCTAAAACCTCCATCATGACACAGTTTCCTGGTTCCTTAGCATATCCGCGGGTCTCTTTAGCATCCCCGTCTTTTACCATCAATAGCACCAGCTAAAAACCTGTCCTTGTTTTCTTTGCAAAAGGTATTCAAAGAATGTTATTTCAGTATTTTTGATGACTAAAGCACTTTACCAGAACAGGCTCTGGTCTTGTGTGGATGTTTGTCACAGACTTAAAACATCTTAAAAACTTATGGCTAATTAATGATAACAAACGGCTAAGAAAAGACTCAAAACAGATATTCTTAGTTTTGTCAAAAGAGTCCATTGATTGCGGAAACTCTGGAGAAAAAGCTAGTCAGCAGAAACACAAAGACACCCATTTGGAGCAGAGGCTGGATTTGGACTACAGAAGGTACGTTGATCATAAAATAACAATATAAACAACTGGGGTCCAGCTCTGGAGACCTGGGTGCTCCACCAAATTTAACTGGTTAGTAAGTAGAGTCCCAAATTCATCAAACCTGATGCAATGAACATAAACTTTGTTTTCACATTAACCTTTAAGAGTTAAAGGGGAATTTACTGAAACAAGAAGTGAAGATTCAACAGCAAGAATTCCTTTCTTCAGGCAGTGAAACTGTAAACCTGACAGCAGCGGCAAACCCCAAGTCCCAACCCTTGACCTCTGACCCCTCCTCTCATTCTTAACCTCGGTGTGTTATAGGCCTTCTGTTATGACCGCTTTTCACATGGTTTTAAAGCATGGTTTCCTCATTAATGCCAGGGCGATATGACCTCTCTAAGAACTGTGGGCAATGACTTCACTCAGTCTGTCTAATAAAGCTTGACTTACACACAGCACACTGATCCTGAATGACCTCCGGCTTCTTATTACTTCTCATAATATGAAAATAAATCATACTCTGAGGGCATGAAGCAACCCAAGTGATAGCTGGTTAGCATGCTACAAGCAGACTTCTTGCACCTTTTGAAGGTCAGCGAAACAACCTACTGAATGCCTGAACTTTTCAGATGATCAACTGTCAGATCGGAACAAAGGTATCTGTAGTTTAACAAACTTAAGTTTTCCAACCCAACAGTCTAGCGCATCTTCAGGGAGCAGTTAGCATCTTTGTGCTAACATATTCTGATTTAAGAGACTGCGATTTCGTGATCGTGGACGAATTATCAACTTCCTGTCGACCAGTGCCACATTGACTAGTTAGCTAATTTGCTAGCATGGTGAAAATGTAGCGAGTTGAAACTATCAGATGAAACTGGATAAATAGTTAAATAAATGTCTGATACTGAGAAAAATGCTTGTGCGGTTTGGAAAGGGTAGTTTGTCCTGCAGGACATGCTAGAAGTCCATACTTCACCACACATTCAGCACAGTCTGGAGGACGCAACACAGATAAAGCTTTCCAACCAGACAGACAGTCAGCACTAGCATTGGCTAACGATGACTAATGACAAACTTTCATGACTAGTTTTAAGTTTTATGAAGTGATGTGCTGAACTGCAGTACTTACAGTTCCTCTGAGGAATTTTTTATGTCTCTGAAATAGACTTAAACTCAAATTGGTCCCTTTTGATGACATAGAAAAGCAAACAAAACCATCAGCAGTAAGATTGATGATTTTTTCATTCTTATTTAACTGCCTGAAACCACTGTTAAACGTCAGCAGGATGAAATTTTTCAAGAGATTACAATCCTGAAGACTAGAGAGGACAAGACAAGTGAAGTCTGCTTTGTCCACAGGGGGCGCCAAATTTGACTCAAACCTAAAGTTCCTTACAGGAGCTTTAAACACAATGGCCTAAAACCAACTGTATCTTTTTTCTGCAGCGGTAATCCGTGAATGTCATTTGGTCAAAATAGGTATTTGTTTGGCCTCTTCCAATTAAGTCAAATGAATTCACTACTTCCAATCTTTCTTTGGTCCAAAATAGCAGTATTAAATGATAACATAATAAAAGTCTATTGTAGTAAAAGTATTCACTGTCACTTTTGTTGGGGGTTAAAGATGCCCCATCATCAATCTTCTTTTCAAGCTGGTAAATGTATGACAAGTCCCAGATAACCCTGGATGATGTGTCTGAACAGGCCTCTGCAAGCTCTCAGGTGAAAGTAGTCCTTCATTCAGCTCCTCCCTGAGGCTAAGGGGTCATCTGGTTTGGGTCAAGAGGATTTTTTAACTGCTGCCAAACTGACTGATTCTCTAACTTCACAGTTAGTCTGCAAAGTTGGAGAAAGATGCGCAAAAAAATTTAAAATTCAGCCAAAAAGCAGCATCAGTGTAAGTTTCGATGCAAATTTCAACTCTATCATATATTCAAATAGGAAAAATCTTACACCTGAGGGAAGAGATAATTAGTTTACATAAAGCGTTCTTGTGGCTGGCGTTCATACAGCTTCATGTAGCTGGCATGTTTCTAGCACTCAATCATCAAGTGTTTCCCATTTGGCATGTGTCAGGCGTCAAGTTTCAGGATTTGAACCGACACCTCTGACGCTTACAAGACTCTGTTTTTTCTCCATCATACTAAGAGCTGATTAAATCCAGCCTCCAACATCAGTAAAACTCAACTCCTCCTCCAGTCATACAGATCTTGATAAAACCGTTACACAGTTAACAACCTGTGTTTATGGGCAACATTGAAAATAACAGGCTGCAGCACTTCCTTTACATGTTTCACAGTATGGCCTGCGTGAGCTTGTAAAAACCACATCAACTGCGCTTTTTTCTGACTTTACATTGAGCATCTGGCTCGGTTACGTTCATGCCATCAGCAGAATCCTCAACACCTCCAAACTGTGCGTGAAGGAGACAGAAGAAGCCACCTGTTCTCCTAAAAGTCCTGTGTCAGAGCGTCACAGCAGACAGCAGACCACCAACCATGCCAGGCGGCCTTAAGGTGCTAATAATACATGTAGGCCGCCGGACCCCAGCCCCATTTCTACAGCACTGTGTGACCTCTGAACACCCAGGGGAGACAACAGTGCCACACAGGAGCGCCTAATGAGTATTCAAGTCATCTCTTCCTACAACTCAGCACTTGGGCCAACTTTAACTGATATTAAAGGGATGTACCAAACGTTTTCATCAGACTTTGAGTATTATTACTGTCAGGATTTTTCATATTAAAAAAACCCACACTTATGTGAGTTTTTTAAGCTAAGCAAAAAGTTTTGTGCATTACAAACTGTGCAGCCTGATGTTGGAGTCCTGAAGGCGGCTCCACCCTGCCACTTCAGAGCAGCTACAGCCCCTCCCTCTGATGAAAATAATGCTCATCCCTCTCATCAGTTAAAAAAAGAGAGAAAAAAGTCAGAGAAAAAAGCCTCTCCAAACTTTTTTGGGGCTGTCTGCTCTTTAAAAACATGCTAGAAAGCAGTTATATCTGCAAAATGCCTGAATAATCAAGATTATGCACTTTGGTTTGATTTTCCTTTTATGCATGTTATCGTTTTATTATCTTGTGCATGCAAATTTGAGCACAATAAGCCTTACTGAGGAAGATAAGGCCTATATCAGGCTGTGTTTATCAGATTTAGGATGTTTAAGCAGTGCCAAAACTTTTGCACAACTTTCTGCACACCTCTTTAACTTGGCAGCCCCCCTTTGCAGCATTTCATAGATAAAACACTCTCTTTCAGAAATCTTGCAGTCTTTTGATGCTTTGACGATTCCCATAGTTTCTGAGACTTCACCAAACTGAATACATTAAAGGCACAAAGATGTGTTTAGGAGGAGGGGCGGACATCAGAGTAACCATGGGGGAAAACTTTAGAGCGCAGCGCAGCTCCAAACTGTATCCAAAAAAAAAAAAAGAAAAAGCTCCTCCAAGCTGCATCTTACCTGAACTTGCTCGCGATGCGACAAAAAGGAAGATCACCGCTAAAGTGATTTGGGCGTCCCTTATCCTCCGTTTAACTTTCCATCTTATATGGGTATCCATGACCGCCAGAGACGTCCACGGCAAGTGGATTCACTTTCTCAACTTGTAGCAACTAATTAGACTTGCAACAACTTCTGGTCAGGGTAGAAGAAAAAAAAACTTATAGCCAAAAGTCCCAGAGAAAGAGAAAAAGGGGGAGGGGGGGTGTAGCGTTATTTCTCAAGCAGCCATAGGGGGTTTGTTGGTGCGCGTTCCTCCGGCTTGTCTGACGGATGTGCACCCGTCTCTCCCGCACAGCTCCTCTCCTCTCTGCGCTTCTGAACTGTCCTGCTCCGCGGTGTTGCCCCCTCTTTCAGTCGTCACGTACAGCCCCTTCAAGTCCAACGGGGCAACACATAAAAAAAGGAGAGTCTTCCCCCCCCCCAGGCTGTCAGTCACTGCCCGGACAGGAGACCCCGGCAAATCAGAGGAGTCCGTTCAGAAGAGGCGGCCCTCTTATTGGCCGTGGGTGGGAGGAAAAGTTCGAGGGGAAAGTTTCACGCCTACAAGTCTTGCGCTCCGGCTTGATTTGCATGGAGTCTGCTGTTTGCAGAGGAGAGGGTGAGAGGGATAGAGCGGGAAACGTAAACTTATTCCTATAAATCAGCAAAAATGTATGGGTTTTCGTTTGGTAGACGGGCGTGGTTTGGTAAAACGGATGTGACTCAGTGTCGTGATGAATCAACAGGTGGTCCTCACTTCTGTCTTCAATGCACAACCATAATATTTAAACTTTTGGGAACTTTAACTGCCTTTTTATCAAAGAAAACACTTGCCCACTTGTAGACAGCTGTTTTAATAATTTTTACTCTTAGTTAGGACCAACATGAGTCCCTTATCCTCTTACCCACTGAGAATTTTTTGGTCTAAAAAGAGGTCCAATAGACGTCTAAATTAAGGTGACCAGACGTCGCCGAATTGGATGACCTGTCCCCTGCAAAAGCTGTCCCCGAAAATGTCCTCGATTTTAGCATTCCATGAATGAGAATAAAAATGTTGCGTGTAGGCTAGAACAACGGTTATTACAGTAGCCCAATGGTTAGAAAGAGAGATGTTGTCTGTGATCACACAGCCCCCTTGAAATAGTTATCGAATAATGGGTTAAAGTGCAACGCCTAAATTCTGTCTAAAAATATACAGAATCTAGATGGTTAAAATTAGGTCTAAAAAAAAAAAATAGACGTCTAACAGCTGTCTATTGCTCAATGGGTACTTAATAGCTAGTATACAAAATCATTTCAGAGACATATTTTTTACAGAACATTAAGAGACTAAAATGAGACTAATAAATGAAGGAGAGCCTCAAATTACCCTCTGTTACCAACAAGATTACAGTTTATTAGGCTGAGTTAGCTGCTAACATTTGCTAGCTAAACCACTGCTAATGTTAGCTAAATGCGTAGTAGCACTAGCGTCATCAAATATGATCCACTGCTTCTACTAAAAGTTTATGACTGGTTAATAAAAGACTTAAAAAGATATTACAGCATAAAATTAAGTTATGGTCAAACACAGTAACACCGAGTTAGACACCCCGTCGAGACATGAATGTTGCCGAATGCTTTCTTCTCTAGTTATACCAACTTAGTAACGACAGCACGATAGCAATACATAGAGTCATGCCCTTAACCAAAACGTCACTCTATAGCTACAAATAATGCTCAGAATAGCGCCTAACTTCATCAACATACGTATAGGGTCCTAGCCACAGCACTAGCAGCAAAACATTTTTTGCTTTGCCTGATTTTTTTTAGCAAAGAGACTAAACACAACTCACCTACTCTCTTCCAGCAACCACTTGTTTGTACAGAGACCTCCGGGCGAGTCCATCGACTGCAGTGGGGGGACACAGCTCAAGGATGATCATTACTTTATCATTTCCTTAAAGTAATAATCATCATGTCAATCATTTTGCACTGCAGATGCGGTAGTTCTTCTGCCTTAGCGTCTCAGTCTGATTGCATTTCCATAGAGTAATGATCCCAGAGCAGGAAACGTAAACTTATTCCATACAAAACCCCAGACATTTAAAGGATTTTATAAACTCCCCCCAGATAGGCCGGACAGCACCCAGAAAGAGGACATGTCTGGGTAAAAGAGGGTGTATGGTCACCCTATGCTATGCTCAAAGTAACTGGCAAATACCATGTGGCCTAGCGGTTCACAGTAAGGATTTTGGATTTGTAAAGGATGGTTAAGGACAACATGTACCAAAGGATCATGGGATTTGTTTAATTAGAAGTTTCTGTCCCCAGAACATTATAATTGTGATTTTAAGCTGGTCCAATCACTCACTTTACAAATAAGATGGATGTCTACCAAAGGAAGTCTAACCGTAATGACAAATTGGTTCTTTTTACGTAAGAGCACTGGTGAGATTTAGGCATGAGTCCTTGCCGCGTTGTCTCCAAAAGAGCCAAAAATGGCAGCTGTCTTTTATAAGCCGTCACATTGCTGCACCAGTAGGGGGGCGGGCCTCCTTTAACTGCCCAGTAAAGTTTAATCACAGCAAACAAACAGCATGGAGGCTGTGGACAGATCTGACAGACACTGTGTCACATTGTGAGCAGTGTGAAGGATGAGTTTGAACAAGGATGCTAAATGGTCACCCGAAAAACATCCGAGATACCTTTTTATGTCTCTCGACTGGATGTAAAATGATGAAACCGAACTACTTTCCTGAGAAGCAGCTTTTAAAATAAATGCTGTTGTCGCAAAATTTTTAAAACTTTGAAGGAAATAAAAGAAAAAGGCTGACCATTTGTTACGTAACATAGTCCACATTGACATCCACTCTCTAAAAGGCTGTGCGACACCTGGTGAAGATACCAAAAATCAACAAATACACATGTGGAGTTCAGATGCCATCAGTGCTCAGACTTTTGCTATTTGTACTATTGAACCATGCCTAATTCTCCCAAACGTTCGCCTTCAGCTGTCACAGCAGTTTTACCTTAAGTGACCTATGAAACCATATGGCTGTGCTGTCTAGGGTTTAAAGGATTCAGCTGTATTACATGAAAAGGGTGGAGAATATTTACATCTAGAACAAGTACCGGTCCTTCTGAACTGACCACTTAGTCGTAGAATGGTTGCGTGGTCAAATATATGGCTCAAATTATGGTCTGAGCCCTGTATTTAGGGTGGTTTTATACCTACACCACTCTAATCTCAAACTACTCCTGAACAAGGCCTCCACTTGCTCCCATAAACTGTCCTCTAACCCAGAACATGGTGATTTATCTCAGGCTGGACCACTGGCAGTTTCCCTTACAGACTTTCAGACTGAATAATCTTTCACAAAAAAGGTCCCCAAGGTAGAAAAATTCTCCAACAGAGAGGCCATTCGTGATTTAAAGCTTTGACGTTCCTGTTCAAAGCCATTTTTTAGTCCCCTCACTTTGTCCTGGTTTTAACATCTACTTTTACCAGGTGTCAGGCTGGATGTAAAAGCCAGAGAGAAACCCACAATTCAATCCATCTTTTTTTATCGTCCTCCTCTGTTAAAGCAACACCTTCACATAATGAGACTTTTACTGAAGCCAGCGGAGAAATTCCAACCCCAAGCTTGACAGTTAACTAAATTTTACTCTCACCAGGAGTCCACTGCAACAGCTGTTCACCAGTTCAGCTTTAGCCGAGTGTAACAAAAGTGCTCACTGAGTGGGGCTTTCCACATCCCTTAATTAAAAGCATTTGCTCTAAACACACTAGCTGTCATGTTGACATCAGCTGTTGATAAATATTTACGTCAAGTAATGGGCAAGTGTTGCAGCTAGCATTAGCCAAATGAACCAACTGGCAAAGCTGACATTAGCTTGGTTTTACATGACAAATTTGAGGGTAATACACATTGACTGTATATACTATGGACAACTTGGTTCCGCCTTCTGCCTGTATACGGATTTGAAGCCAAAAAGCTCTATTTCCAGGATTTTTCTTCATTTCCTGAAACCAGCACTGCACAGTAGCGATGCACGCATCCCCCGGGAGAGCTACGCAATCCCTGAACACCCATAGGCTGTATCAGGTGTCAATTATAGAAACATGAACCCCCTAATAACTTTTAAAAACGGAGCTTCACAGAAAAAAAAGAGGACTTGAGCACAAACCAGTCTTACAGTAACTACATGTCAACATCACAAGCAGGGGGGAGAAAAATTTATGTTCTGTGTAAGAAATTTCTAAAGTTGGTCCACCCCATAAGCTTTGCTGGCGGAGGCGGGATTTCTGACCTATACTGCAGCCCATCAACAGAGGGCGCTGTTCTCAGGGTGGCTTCACCCAGCGAGGAGGCAGACACTGTCCATTCTATATACAGTCTATGGTAATACATCAAGCTTGACATTTGATTCAAAATGATGTTTATTAATTATATTAAAGGTGGGGTAGGCAGGATCTGGGAGAAATCTTGAATGTAAACACTACCCCGCCCAACCAGTTTTCCCCTCAGCTCCTCCTCTCCCTTCCCCTCCCTCCCTCCCTCTCTGCTCCAGCAAGCCCCGCCCAGATAAATACTTGATGATTACATGATTACAGATGATTACAAATGGGGCCCAGTGAATGTGAAAGTAAACAGCATTGGTGCTACTGTAGATGCCAACAGACTACCAGCAAACACAAAGTTTGCAGGACTTCTACAACTAGGATAAAGTGACATACTCCAGGACCCGAGGTAAACAGTTTAGCGGCGCTACAACACGCAGCAGGTCCCATTTGACAAGAAACACTTCTGTTACAGACACTTGGCTCACTTTGTTAAAGCAGTTTACCTGTCCAGCAGAAAGGTTTCAGGGTCCGAAAGATCCCAAAGCTTCCCCTGTCATTTATGCTGATGTTGACCTGGCTTCTTCGCTCTTGTCCGGTCTACCTCTGTTTTAAGCAGCAGAGTCTCCAGTATTTACTTCGTTTTCTTGCTTGTGTTGGCAGACGTGGCCAAAGGAGGATTCAGACAATTTTCTGTACTTTCTGGTTGGTTTCTACTGTCCGATATTGTAGCACGCTAACTTTGTTTGGGCTCATGAACAACACAGGGGAGCAGCATCTGCCTCACAACCAATCAGGTTGGGGGAGGTGGAGAATGGCTTTGTTTACTGTCAGAAAGAGCAGGCCGCTCAAAAAATTAAAAATGTTGACTACACAGACATAACAAAACACAATATTACATAACAATATTGTTATACTACTTAATGTAATCAATAACTAATAGCTATTGACTGATATTAAGAGATTTTTTGTATATACACCACAATAAAGATACTTCTTTAACAGAATCCTGCCTACCCCACCTTTAACTGGTAATTTTTTTAACTCAGATGAGGTCAGGTACATGACAGTGTGTCAAAACAACAAGAAAAACATGATACTATTCAAAACAGGAAATGCCAAACTTGCTAACTAAAGCTGACTAAGTTTGAAACCACCGGGTAGATTATTCCAG